GTGGTCCTTACCGGTACTCTCGGCAGTCAACATGTGGGCACGCTAACGGGAAACCTGCATGTGCATTCGGCAAGGTGTCTACAGTAATGCGTAACCTACTGTACAGTGTACGTACAGTGAACGGGGGAATTTAAGCCTCACTTCGAATTGGCATCGAGAAATATGATTGGTGGATGAACTACGAACTACGACAAATATTGTGACCAATAGTGTTAAGCTTAGCCCATCGGCTCGAAAAATATAATAAATTACAATAATGGGGGACCTGAAGACAAGTATAGAGTATACAAATGGTTTTTCAACCATATCTCCGTCATTATTTCTCCGATTTCGATGAAACCAAGCCAGATCGCTTCGTCTTGACGAGGACTATCGATTGCACCTGTTTTGAGCGAGAAATGTTTTGTGTGGACCAAATGGCGACCAAAATACTCTTTCTATTGAATTGGGATTGCTTTAAGGAAACTGCCACGCACCTGGTCAGGTGTGATCATCTCCCACGCTTTGATCGCTCGATTGATCATTGTAATCCTCTTGACCTTTGCTGTCGGTGAGTACCAGTCTTCGTCGTTGGTGTCATCCTCGATAACATCCTCACAAATCCACAGATCGCGAAGGTGGCGCTTGAAGGGGGCCATGATGGAAACGTCAAGTGGCTGGCAATGGGACGTGGCATTTGGTGGTACGGAGCAGACAGTGTAGCCGACTTGCTCGGCCAATGAGGTGGAAGCTTCACTGACATGACATTCCAGGTTGTCCAGTACAAGCAACGAGGGGCGCTCAACACGCTCGGCCAGAACCCGCCAAAGGTACTGCTCCCACACATCGCTGTCCATCCACGCCTTGTTCTGCATCATATAGACATGGTCTTGGGGATACGAGGAAAACTCCTTCAACTCAATGATGGCGCCGGGCTTTCCCTTGATCACGAACAAGATAGGCAGCTTCAAGCCGTCCCGCCGAATGGTGAGCACCGCCGTCATGCGGTACGAGTGTTTTTCCCCCTTGGAGAGTTTGGCCCCACTCCCCTTCAGAGACCAAATGTACCGCGGGGGCATGTCGTACTGAAGTCCTGTCTCATCCACATTGTAGACACAGTCGTCAGAGTACTCACCGTACTTGTCGTGGAACAGAACTGCGAAAACATCCCGAGTACTTTCCAGGTCAGAGAGAATCTTCTTGGACTTGCACGCGAGTTGATGTGTATAGCCATGGCGCCCGCAGAAGTCTTCAAGCAAGGAGAGGAGATTGCCGTACCCGGAGCCCGGCTTTTGGCGAGCGATGTACTCCATGAGCCAACATTGGTGGTTCTTCTTCAGGTAGTTTATCATGTGTGTGCATGTCAGGGCGCGTTCTTTCGCCCGGCGATCTTGCATGAACGACAACAGAGCGGTGGGTTCGGGAAGAATGGTCGGACGACCGGCGCCAGGGAGGTTGGATGTCTTCTTGTTGCCCTTGTAGTTATGGAGTTTATTGGCCACGCGGTCCCAGTTGCGAACACAGCTCTGCGGAACACACAGCTCTGCTGCTACCTTGCGTTGAGACATGACCTTTAGCATCTCGAGGGCTCGCAGTTTCAAGGATATTGGATAGCTGTGGCGTCTGTCAACGTCGGGCCGGTCAGCGTCGGTGTCGTCGGTGCTTGACGACATGCTCTCGGCCATGGCACTGTGTCACGAAACAGTTCTGTCAGCTTTGGCGGGCATTAAAATGCAATCCTGGCGCGAAATGTATTTTAACCAATCAAAATCATTATGTAATGTGATTGGCTCTTCTGTGGCATATGTAACACTTAACTTCGGTGAGGCTTAAATTCCCCCGTTCACTGTACTAACTTACTGTAGGAAGTCATGATATAATACAGTACTGTACTGTAGTTGTGCCATGTTGCATCGGGTGACGTCATTCACACTGGGACAATCATCAAGGGAGTGGGAAATACCCAGTCATTGGCATCGTGTAGCCAATGCTAGTATTTCGCGCCACCGATTCCTTCAATACATGTACTATTAATAGTAATGCACTGTTATGTATTACTAGTAGTATGGTACTATTATAGTACTGTACAGTGCAGTTCCATATGTGCATGTGCGCAGCCAGCCACCTACGGCACTGTGAATGTTCGCTGCAGGAGGATTTCATGCTGCATCCAAGCATCCGACCTCCTGTGTAATGCAGTACAGTACTGTACAGTATGGGCCCGCCTTACTGTAGTGATCATGATGACCTGATGCCGATAACTTGACCTACGCACAAAGGCCTTTTTCTACGTACCAGAGGGAAAGACGGTCGAAACATTGTTTGCGGAATCACCAGCGATCTCTTGTCTTGCTTCCATGATACTCTATCTCGTCATGACAAATGCACAACAGTCCACAACGAATCCTTTGGCAAAGTTGTGTGACTTGTGCAAAGTGCAATTCGCTTTACTTTCAAACGTCCCACACTTGTATTCTATTTTTACTCATATTTTCAATTCGTTTTCTCCCTAGTTAAATAAGCCAATAACTCCTGGTTTTTGCGACAATTTGTACTTGCTGCCTGGACTGACCACAGTGGGGTTTTTTCCACCCAATTGGGACAAACCGAACGCATTCATACTTCTGGTACAACGCCGCACTGCCTCCCTCCGTATCCTGCCGAGTGCTTCGTTATCTACATGCACATGACAAACCAGCAGCATAGCGAGTTGAAGTCGATATGTATGCCGGCCACAGACCTGGGCTTGACCGAGCGAGAGTGGGTTGAGTGGGGTATTCGCATCACCAGGTACGAGAGAGACTATGTACATCATCAACGACTGGTTCACGGCCTGTGTGCAGTGGCCTGTCTGCACTAGGGTGCATATACATCATCGGACGCTACGTGTTGGGTCGAAGCCGAGTCGACCGCAATGTGACGTCGATGCTCGTGGTGGCGCTGGCCGTGTTCGAGCTCATGATCGCCCTGGCCAAAGCTCCCGCAACCCAGTTCATCCAGTTCGACTTGCACAGCAGCAGCACATGGGTCAAAGCGGGCGTCCAACCTCCGCTGCAGGCATCGCTCTGCCAAGTCCAGGGGTTTCTCATCCAAGTGTTCATGCTCCAAGGTACCTTACACGGCGCCTCCTTATCTTAAAACGATGTGTACTTTGATAGCGGTGCTGTGGAACAACTGCATGGCGTACAACCTACTGCGGTGGGTGGTCTACCGAGACACAGAGGAGGCGCTCCTGGGCCGGTTTTGGCTCTACTTCTTCGCCACGTTCACGTTCTCGTTGCTGTGGGGCGTCGGCGCCGCCCTCCCCGTGTGGACCCTCCGATCCCCGTCGCCCGTGCCTCTGTTTGGGTTTGCCCGGTTCTTCTGCTGGCTGCAGTACCCTGACGTGTCTATCTGGGGGTTCATTTCGTTTGTGATGCTCACGTTGGCCTACACTGTGGGGGCGATGATCAAAATCCGAAAGGTCGTCGTGGACCGCGCCAAGCAGTACGATCGTCGTCATGATGCATACTACTACTACTAGTACTACTACTACTAGTAGTACCCATGCATATCGTCCGACTACATATTTATCAATCGACGATATTTGACTCGTTGGAAATACATGTTGCCGATGAACGTGACGACTCGTAGACACTGTGCGGCGCCTGTGGACGCGGACGTGGACGCCATCCAGCGCAGCTTGTTCCTGTACGTGTTTGTGTTCTTTAGTTTGCATGCCCCTCCCGTGCTCTATCGAGGTATCGATCGTATTGTTCTTCTATCGAGTGGTTTCCGACTGGCATTCGCATGATGGCTGGCGTAGTCGTCATCTACATGGCCGAGGGAGACGAGAGCTCGGAGGGGGATGTTGCTCACCACTGCGACTTTGACGCGGTCAACATATTTGGCATCCTCGCTCAAATCTGCATCAACTTGCAAGGTACCTAATATTAATACCTACTACCTAATATCTCCTTCGAGTACTATGTACCTACTACCTATCTACATACTCATGATCGTCGCGTACTATTTGTCAGGATTTGTCAACGCTTTGATCTATGGCGGGCTCATCCGCACCCCAAAGTGTCACATGGCGCATCGTGACGACATGTCCGAGGTGCTGTCTGGCAACGTACGGAGCATCTACCTCGAAGATGGGGGGTCGACTGCGTCCGCGTCTCCTACCTCCAGCGACCGCACCTCCATCTTTGCGTCGACGTTCAACATGGCAGAAGGCGCGGTGCCCCCCCCAGATCAGTTGGACCAGTGGATCCCCAAGGGCCACGATATTTATGTGATTGGGGTCCAAGAGTGTATAGACCTCCGCACGATGCGCCACGTCATGGCCAGTCACTTGCAACGCATCAATGGAAAAACGTACATCGAGTACGGCCGAGAAATCGGACGCACGGAAACGCTGCTGGGGTACCATGGCTTCATTGCCATCACTGTGTACGTGGCTGCAGACGACGTCCACGCTGGCCATTTTCACATGCATTTGGACGCCACGTCCAAGGTACCTAGCGTTATTGGGCTTGATGGGATGAGGACATTTGAGATAGGTGAACCGGGGAAAGAATTTGATTGGTCTCGGGCGCGCGTCCAACAAAGGTGCTGTGGGGTTTGCGTTTCGATACTTCAACGTGACGTTTGCTGTGCTCACGTGTCACTTGGCGTCCGACTCGACGGTGCACTTTGCCCTTCAACAAGTTAGTTCTAAATCAGTTTTGTATTGGGTAGGGCAAGAGCAAGATCAAGAAGAGACACCACGATGGAGCCAGTATCCTCACCAACATGCATCTGCAGTCGATCGAGAACGAGTTCGACTGCCACTTGATGGCCCACCACACCATCTTTATGGGCGACCTCAACTACCGCCTCACATCGCTGGACGCGACGCCCGACCGCATCCTCCACATGATCACAGATGTCGTCAACAACAATCTCAGCGACAACACCATCAAGTGTGGCGAGGTATTTAGTCTAGACCGCCCCATGGACACCGCCGGTGCGTTGCTTTCAGTCATCTGTATTGTCTGTCTTTTACCCAATATTTGGACTTTTGTGCTAATTCTTTGCCAAATCTATCGGTCGATTCTTTGTACTGACTTTTGTATGTATACATCGTACTAAATTCAATCACACACTAATTCAATGTTGAATTGGTCGAAGAGTTGATTTGATTGGCCATTTGACTCTTGTTGTGGTTTTTGATTGGTCGATCGATCGATTCTCTGTATTGACAATATCTCGTGTTTCCATTGGGTTACTTACCGCGTTATTGATAGAGTTATATCGATCGTCTGTGCCTGCCGCGTTCGACATCATGGAGGAACATGATAGGAAACGAGAAGGACGCCCGACGTACGTGCTCACACACACACCAAAGGCAGAAGTAGCTATTGATGACTCTCGATCGTCGTCTACTACGATGCACCCAAGCGACGCCCCCCCTCTATCGACGACGACGACGACCATGTCATCCTGGCGGTGTTTGATGGCCCACGACGAACTCAAGCAAAGCATGGACAACGGCGACGTCTTTGCAGCATTTGAAGAAGCCAGCATTGCGTTCCCGCCGACGTATCGCCGCGTGCTGGATCGGGCGCTCGAGGTGCGCCAAGTGGCCACATTTGACCAAATAGCCGACCTGTACACGACCATCTTGAGCGACGGCAGGGTCCGCGTGCCGTCGTACACGGACCGCATCTTGTACCACTCGCTGCCGATGCTGCAGGTGGCCATCCCATGTACCAGAGAGACATGGAGTACTTATGCACCTTGTAGGACCGGTTTATATGCGTCCAGTACACAAGTGCCGAGTACATTGGCACGTCCGACCACAAGCCCGTGTCGTGTGTGTTTGATGTGTGGGGGGTCGACAAGCAACCCCCGCCCCCTCCGCCAGTAGCCACCGCTTTGGCTATTAAACAAGAACCGTGTGCCTCCATTCCGTTGCCGCTGAATACATGTATGGCGGCGCTCAAGGTGTTTACAGTGCACTTGGTCGCGCTCGACTTGGTGTGGGGGCCCCCGCTCGAAAAGTTATCGGACGACGACTGGACCAGCGACGACGACGGGTCCACATCCGGGGGGCGCGACAAGGCGTTGTCGTGGACGTCCAGTGCGGCGCCGAATTTAGCAGACCCACGAGGGGAAGGACGGATGATTCGAGGACACCGCCGCCTGCGGGTACGCAGTCTGTTTCCCCTGCCCTGCGAAGACGAGTTTGCCGAAGAGCGCAAACTGGCCGAAGTGGCCGACCACTTTCAACCGCATGTTGGGGCCAAGACGAGGCGGCGTCCGACGTGGAAAGTCAGTGAGTGGAAGACCGTGGCCGACCAAGGCCTGCGGCAGTCGGCGGTGCTGCCGACCACCCGAAGGAAGCACGTGGCGCTGAGTTTCGTCCTCCCGTCAGGCCAGTCGGCGGGCCAGTGCGTTATCAGTTTGATCGACGCGAGCCATCGCATGGGAAGAATGGTCGACTTTGAAACACACGTGACCCTCGGCGGCCGACGGACTGGTGTGCTCTCTGGAAAAGCAACCCTTGTTGTGGATCATGCTCCTGCTGGGGAATAATGAAAAATTGTATCAATAGTACTACTATTATTAGTATTACATACTATTAATAGTATCTTTTTATTCTTGTATTCTCATATTATTATATTATAACAGTAATAGTACAACGTATACAACGTACCTGTGCACTGCGTAGTAAGTTACTAGTAGGTACTACGTAGTAATCGAGGGGATTTATCCGGATTTCCGGAGAAACAGCCAATCCACTGCGTTCAAGAGTGGATCTCATTACGGCGAGGAAGGTGCAAGATGGGCGACGAGAACGACGATGCCTGCACGCCGCAAGTGACGGGAACAGCCCCCATGACACCCAAACTATCCAGGACGCAATCGGACATGAGTGGACTTGGTTCCGTCCAGCGGCGTCGTGTTTTGACCCACTCCAGCAAACGAGCGCTCTTCTCGTCCCCTGAAAGTGCTTTGGATTCCGACTCGAAACGCGCGCGAAGTTTGACGGACGAGTCTGGGCGACGGCGAAAGCCAACGGCGTTCCAAGAGGCGATAGCTGATTCTGAGAGCAATTCGTTCAAAGAGAATGAATTGCCCCCTGCCCTCGTCCCTAGCGTCATGATCAACCGCAGTCTATCTTCTCCTGGACCCTCGACCCCGCTTCACGCGTACACGCCGCTCCTTCCGCTGATCAAGTCTAGCAAACACCCCGATTTGAACGTGATTTCGCCGTCCACCGTCGAGAAGCTTCTGGACGGGACGTACAACGACGTCCTCCACACATTCCACTTGATCGATTGCCGCTTCCAGCACGAGTTTCTCGGCGGCACGTTGCGCGGCGCGAGGTCTCTTGCGTTGCCCCAACACGTTGAAGCTGCCTTCTTCCAACCACAGGCGCTTCGGGCCAGCACGCGCACCGCCCTGATATTGTTTTGCGAGTTCTCTGCGGAACGGGCGCCGAAAATGTGCGTCCATCCCTTTCCTGGTTTGTCCTGACTCACTCCATCATGAAGGGCACGCCACATTCGAAACCTCGACCGCCGCATCCATGCGGACGTGTACCCGACCCTCCATTACCCCGAGGTGTATGTGATCGACGGCGGGTACAAGCACTGCTTTGAATCCGTGAACCACGTACGTACTACTGCACTCATACAGTTCATGCTCGACTGGTTGTCGTCCGACCTGTCATGTTTCTGCATATAGGACGTGTGCCTTTCTCCCGCTGCTGCGTATGTGCCGATGAACCATCCAGACCATGTCGACGCATGCAAGATGGAGCTCAGTGGGTTGCGATCGAGTTGGAAGCAACTCCGCAGCACGCCGTTTTCCAAGCGACATGCCAACAAATGGTGCTAACACCAGCAACTACTTAAGCAATTCTTCGTGTTTAATCCTTTATTCCCACTGTCCCCATTCGTCTGGGGCCCCAGTAGCCGCCGTAAGTGGCAGCGTGCTTTCATCATCGTCGTCATCGCCCCAATCCACGCCCATGTCGTCATCCGCCGCCACCGCCGCCGCTTCGGACGGGGCTTCCACGGCAGTCTCGTCCTTGTCAGGCACATCCACCCACCCATCTTCTGGCGACGGAGGTGCTGGATGACGGGTCGACAGGTCCTGGGGTACGTCCTGCGCGGTTCCTACGTCAACCGCCGCGGCCTCCTCGTCCCGGTCGCGTGTATCATCCATTGCAGCCTTGGTCTCCTCCTTCTCTTCTTCGTCCGCCATGCTTGACTCTACAGTCCCCAGTGTTATCACGTCATCATTTGGCTTGGGCATGCTCCATCATCGCACCAAAACACGACCCAGCGGCGGCGGCGCTTCCTTCGTGCGTAGGCGAGTCCACATCCCACGCAATCTCTTCGTCGTCGTTGCCGCCCACTGCAATGTCGTAAACGTCAAAGTGCACTTGGATGTAGCTCGAGACAGTGCTACCTTTTTCAAGCAGCAACGCGCGTCGCTCTTCTTGGGCGGCCAGCAGCGACGCTTTGTACAGATAATGGCTCCAAAATGTATCGGCGTCCACCGTCCCGGGGACTATTACACTAGCACATGACAGGGGGTTTCAACTACTGCGACGTACCCAACGCCTCCAGCTTGTCCTGCACCACAGGGTAATGGACCAACACTTCAGACTGCAGCAATTGCATGTCGTCGTCCTGGGGCAAGTTGCGCTTCCATGTCTACAGGGCCCGCGTGTGTCGTGAGAGGAATGGGAGGACGGCAACGGACCTGGAAGGTTTCGAAATCGGGCGGGACGTCCACATAAGTGTCGGACGCCTCTTGAAGCGCAACCAAACGGAATCGACGACCGCTACGTAGCATGAGCTTTGTGCAATGGAAGACGTATTGTCGCGTACCTGGACAGTTCCTCTGGGGGAGTCACGCGGGGCGGCAAGTCACCAGTCCACCCGCCGAGGAACTCGTCGGCACTGGATGGGGGACGGGGGGATCAGTCGAAGATATGACATGTGATCCGCGGCATACCTAAGAAGCAGCGTCGCCCCAACAGATTCCAGACGAGATCCAAACGCAAAGATGGACGCGGCCACTGACGCCGATGCAGAGGACGTCGCCGCGAGTTGGTCGGTACTGTTTCCATTATCACCGTCCGCTTCGTCCTTGCTTGCTGCTTGTTCCGATCGCTCCGCTAACGTAGCTTCGACTTTCTTCTTGACTTCCTTAGCGGCGTCCACGACGTCCTATCCACACCGACACACACATATCCATGAGCAAACCACGATAACTCGACGGCCGTACCCCTTGGACAGTTGCCGTGAATTCTTTCAAGTCCGAACTGAGCGTGGACAATGCCTTCGAGGACTACTGCGCATGAGACGAAAGAAGAAAGCATGGACTTCGAGAGGCTACCGAATCCTTGACGGCCGACACGAGCGAGTAGAAGTTGAACGACGACGCCATGAAGGTAGGTTGTCGAGGTCGGCACCGTTTCCAGGTGAAGAAGCGAAAATGTAGTTTGATGGGCCAATCAGATGGCAGAACATTGATTTTAACCAATCGTATGCCGAAGAAATCGAATACAGAATTCTCCGTCAAGTGCATGAAATTAGCTAACTGTTAATGCTGGAGTGAATTCCGCAAGTCTGACTTGAGCTGCTGAATGACGTTGTTCGATGGCAGAGCGTAGTTTTGCGGCGGCCCTTGACCGTACCCTGGATGCTGCCCACCATTCCGAGGAGGCGACCTTGGTGGGTACTGCTGTTGCTGTTGTTGCCATCCCTGTGGATGCGGCAGTGGCCTGTTCATAGGCCTAGGCGGTGCTGGACCGGCGAAGTTATAGTCATATGCAGCGGCTGGGAATCGACCCGCCGCATTATACCCACCAAATCCCGCCGGCTGAGCCGGTAGTGGTGAGGGAGGTTGGTGCCTCGATGGCTGCTGCTGGTGCTGCACGTGGTATGGGACGTAGTAACCTCCGTGTCCATCCTACCACGACGTTAGAATACCTGAGCTTGGGACCCCAGTCGACATCATGCCGATACCTGTTGTGGCATTGTAGAATATCCTCCATATCCATGATTGCTGTCATAGCTATCCCGTCTTGGGTCCGCGACATTGGAGGTTGTGCTAGCGCTGTTGTAGCCGCTAGGATTAGATGGCCCGCGGCTGTAGCCTTGCCCGTGGCTGGTTCGGGCACTTGATCGTTCAAGGAGGGACCCTCCCGCGGGGGTTGTCGACGGAGGTGTCGGAAGGATCGACGACGGAGGCGTCGGAAGGATCGATGGCGCCGCCGATCCCGACGTGGTGGCGGGGATTGTCGCATGCTTTGCTCCGTATTTACCCGAAAACTTCTGCATTTTGGCTCGATGCGCCCCGTCGGCATGGCTCTTGACGCTGTTCTCATGCACACGGATTAATTCGATATACGTGGCCACGCGGGGGTTAAGCTGGGCGAGCAGGGCTTGCGCGGCAAACTGCTTGGCGAGTTTCTTGTTGCTGGCGACTCCTTCCGCGGCGGACGGGCCGGCGGACGCCGTGACTCTGAACTTGTTCCTGTCCCCGCCGCTGCCCCCGGGTACCGGCACCGTCGTGTAGTTGACCGCGATCCCCTTGTGTTTGGTCTGGAACTCCATGAGCAGCTGCGCGGGGGTCTTGAACGACAGCTCCATGCATCCTTGGAGGACGCCAGGGTCATCGATGGACATGGTTTCGAAATCGTCCATCGTCTACAGCAGCACGATGGTTTAGTCGACGCACACCAACAGCGACGACATGTAAACGAACAGTCGCGGTGGAGATGGGTTTGGCCCAGTCCGTGGCCGGGGTTTGGGGGACGTTCGACACGACGTCGCGCACCGCGCCTTCCTTCTTCAAGCCAGCCCAGTACCCTGGCAAACTACACACATCAGTCAAATTTGAATAAAGGTGTTCGAGGACACAATAGAGAGTTACAGGGCTTCGAGGGCGTTTTCAGAGGCCACTTGTCGGGCTAAGGCCTTCGTGACTGCAATGCCGTGGCTGTATTCGGCCCCATCGAGCACCACTCCGCAGCGGAACGGCAGCGTCGGATCTAAACGCATGAGAGTGAGGACGGCATGGAATGCGTCGACCAACGCACCGGTCGAAGCCGACTGGACAAACTGTGGACCCGCGCGACCCGCGGCGGCCAAGTACTCGGTCAAGAAGACCATCGCCGTCTTGCCAGCAGGATTGTCCATCGTGACATCGCCCACAACCACACGTTCGTAGTTGGCTGCAGGTGGCGGTGGTGCAATGTCGGAACTGGTGACGTCGTCGTCGTCGTCTGGCAGCCGGCGCTTGCGACTGGCAGGCGCGTCAGCTGATTGGGGAGGACGACTGGGTTCGTTGTGGGTTCGGGCGTCGGGTACTGCTGCAGGTCGTTGGTCCTGTTGGTGCGTGGTCGGAGCTTGTGCGGCATGGTTCAGACGTCGGAGAATAGCTACGATTTTGGATGCCATGAGAAAACATCAAGACGATGGATTGATTGCCACGTACATTCGGCTTGCGCGAGCTTTACCGGTCGATTCAAGTCGGGCTGGCGCATCCCACATCCAGCCGCAAAGATCTCAATAGGCGGGCGGTGGGCTTGGACCATGTCGTCCAGGGTGGTGCGGCCGTTGCGGTCGATGACCTGGACGACATACGGCTGGGACCACGCCACCACGCCAGACGGTTCATGGAGAAAGCAGAAGAGGCCAGAGTTGTGGGCCACCCTCGTCCACCCATGGGGCAGGGCAATGTCAAAGTACGTGCTTTCATACACCAACTCGTCGTCGTCGTTCGCGTCATCCACTCGAGTCATGTTGCCAAAGGAAACGTAAGTGTCTTTTGTCAACGGGAAGATCGATTTACAGAGGAACATAAAATATATCAATAGGGAGGATATGCATTATACTCAGGATTCACTTTCCACAACTTTGACGATAATGAACGATTGTGATTGGCTAAAAGTCGAAACTTGTTCTCACGTGAGGTATACAAACATCAAATGCAATCCAGAATGTCGGCAAAAGTGTTGTCAACCGAATGTTCTCACAGTCGAACCGGCAAGGTCCATATTGCAGCATCGTCATCACGCAGGATGGGCATCACGACGATCAAGCTGCTGCACAAGGAAGCGCAGGACATGCGACGTGTGAAGGTGTCCGACTTGCTTCACACGATCGGGAAGACGACCACATCGTCGGAACATGCGTTCTCGTTTGACGAGTTGAAAGCGTATGCGTTGGATCATGCGTTTCCTGACTTGAAGAACTCGGACGTGTTCTTCTACTACCTAGACGACGAGAATGAACAAGTGCGCATCACGAACGAAGCCGAACTCAAGGAAGGCGTGCGACTCATGGAGACGGAGGGGTCCATCTTCAAACTGGTCATTTCCGGTACTCGGCAGGTGGTGGACCAAGACGTCGCCACGGGGATCGTGTCGTTCGATTCGGAATGCTCCATGGCGCTGTTCGTGGACTTGAGTCGGTTGCTGGACAAATGGGACGCCTCGCCAGAACAGCTCCAGATGAAGAAAGACATGTCGGCATTGTTGCATGAAGCCGGCGTCCAAACCGCCCTCATCGACATGATGGCCGACCCCAAGGTACAACGACCCCATGTGTACACTGTCGCTAATAGTCGGCATCCCTGGTAGTTTTCCGTCTCGTTTGAAAACGTGTCGGCGTTGATCAAGACGGTACGCCAACGACGCTATTCCCTGCGTAGGTATCCATTCTCATGCATTGTCTTCTCTCGCAGGGCGGCTCCATTCTGCACGGCGTGGCGGCCATGTTCGCCGCGGGCAAGGTCCAAGAGATTGCCGGCGTGTTGATGGACACGTGCCCTCATGTGAAGGACTTGCTCGAGAACATCATGCACGCGTTGCAAGTGCACGTGCACGCCCACACGAACCTATCGTCGTCGCCGTCCCCCGAACAAGTTGACACGCCGCTGCCGCCGCTGCCGGACGATCCGTTCATCGTGCACCGCGGCCTCGAGTTTGTGACGGGCCAGTTCTTCACGGACATTTCGTCGCTCACGAACGACCAGGCGGGCGAAGTCATGTTCAACTGCGGCGTCAGCGGCGACGTCCTGCGCCCCCTCCGCCGCGACTTGCGCATCCGATGGATCGCCGAAACCATCTTGAAGCTGCAGCAGGTCAACCAGGCGCTCAAGGACGCCAAGCAGGACGACAAGGAGATCAACACCCACGGCATCATGGACGCCGACGACGTCGACAAGAAGCCGTCGGCCGCGTTTGTCGGCGATGTGAGCTTCCCCGACGGGTCCACCATCCGCGCCGGCGACACGTTTGTCAAGACATGGCGCCTCAAGAACGACGGCAAAACAGTAGGATTTTGCTGGCTTATATGTGTTTTTCCCGTGTTTTGAGTTGTTTATCAGACGTTTTCACATTTGTTTGGATTTGTGGATATGGTAGTTTTCCTAGGAATATTGTGATTTATTCGCTATAAACTTGCAAGATTATTCTCGAATGAATATTGAATCACGCTGGAGTTGTGATTGGTTGAATATACAATTGTCCTTTATGTAAGAGCCAATCAAATCCACTCAAAATATTGGATATTAGCCAATAGCGTCGATCATTCGTGATTCAAGTCGACGACGAAATATTCGATAACATGAAATTCGAATGTTTCGATTATTGGGGTTTGGACGACTAAAATGGAATTCTTCGTCGAATAAGTTGTATTAATATTATCACTATCTGATGTAACGGATGATGAATTACAATAAAAAAATTCAAATTTATAGATGTAGATATCCTTGTAATGACTTGCATTGGACGTGTCATATGTGCTATGCTTTTGACATGTCCAGAATCATGAGATGCTCATGTAGCGCTGGCCTGCCAAGTCGCGGTTGGTGTGTGTGGGGGGCGACCATTTGGAAGTCGGCGACAACTTTGTGTCGGTACCGATCGTCCCTCCAGGCAAAATGATTGACGTGTCGGTGGATATGAAGGCGCCCACCAAGTCGGGTACGCTATATATATATATATATATGCCCCTTGCTTTATGTATGCATAAGCGATGGAATGTGTGTGTTTTGCGTAGCGCGGTACACTGGGTACTGGCGTTTGTGCACGGCCGACGGCAAGCGGTACGGACAACGCCTATGGGTGGACATCTTGGTCGTGGGCAAGCCGGACCTACCGCCGACCCCCTCTGCCGCCGCGTCCCCCGCAAAGCCTGCCGCCGTCGGGGCTCATGCGTCCAACGAAGTTCATCTGCCGGCGCCCTCTGCCGCCGTGTTGAAACGACCAGTGGCGCCTGTCTCGATTCCGGCGCCGGCGCCAATCGTCGTTGCTCCAGTCGTGAGTCGGTACCAGGACCAACTGGACACGTTGGCCAGCATGGGGTTTTCAGACGCGGCGCTCAACTTGACGTTGCTGGAAGAGGTCGACGGTGACGTGGCGGCCGCGTTGAACCAGTTGCTCCAGTAATGATATAGTTAACGAAAACATTTGCTTGTTTGGATCAAATAAAGTGCCAAAAATTGACGCCATGGACGAGGTTGAGGCTGCGGACGTTGGCTTCGAGCTCGCCGTCCGTGCGGCCCATGGACACGCAGCACACGATGGGCGGCACCGCGTCGCGGAAGTGGATGATGGGGATGTTGATGCGGGTGACTTGGTCGTGGTGCTTGGTACCAATCTTCTTTTCATTCACGTCGCAGAATGCCACGACTTTGCTACAATTATACTATGTGATATTGTCGATTTGGTACAAATTTGGGGTGCAATCGAATCGCGCCGACCAAACCGATCCACAATCGATCTGATTGGTTGAATTTCATTGAGAAGGTTTTGATTGGCTATTAATTTTGAGCTCATCTGAGGTAGCCAATCAAATCGATTTGAATTCCACTGAGAAACCACGAAAGTTCACTCGAATGCACAATAACTAATATGAACCACATTTGATTCGAAATAAAAAACGGTGAAAAATAGTGGTTTTTAAAGCCCATACTAGTTCATACTAGTATATAATGTGAAAAAAAAGTAATCAGTAGGTTTTTTACCGTTTCGAAGCACTGGACAGTTCGTTGAAGACCGCTTTGCCGTCGCGGCCGCATCCCCAGATCGTAAACGTCGGCCATTGACTCAACACGCGGCGCTCGAATGACTCGAGGCGCGTCCGCAGCAGCACGCGCCTTGGCAACTTGCTGCACACGCTGCCGCTTGAGTGTCTACGTTTGCGCTCAACGACGTGAGCAACGACGTGAGCAACATGCTTGGTGGACCTGTAGATGACGAGCGTGTCGTTGGATTTCTTCAACGTACCGCCCAATTCTAAATGCTGCTTGTGTGTCATATTGAGAGTAAACAAAGGTGGGGAATGATGAAACAACTTACTTTGAGAAAGAAGATCAAGTCTTCGGGGATTGTGGCGGAGGTCTTGGCTTCGTCGAACCCACCCACAAACTCGAAGCGAGCTTTCGCCATGAACCACGTCGGCATGATGATGGTGCATTCTCTAAGTGTTTCATAAGGTCGGGGTGATGTGTAGATATAGTGGAGGTCGGACCGATATTGCTGCAGCACGAGCTGTTCGTCGGTGAGGGCATTGGCCCAGGCAGTGTAATGCCATGTCGACCCTTCAGGGATGCGCGTAAAGTTGGCGCCGACAATGACCGACGGGTCGTTTTTCGCCATGGCCCTAGACCACACATGAAACAACGACGATGATAGACACGATGGGAGTACAATTGCACGTCCACGCGGTGGGGCAGCGCCATGTCGTCCGAGTCCAAGAACGCAAAGTACGCGCCGGTGCACACTTCGGCAGCACGATTCTTGGCGTACCCTGCGCCACCAGGAGTGTCCTTCTTCTTTTCAATAGCGTGCAGTGTCACGCCTGCGGCGGCACATTTGGGCACCCACGCCTGAAGTTTGTCGAACGTGTCGTCAGTGGATGCATCGTCGTACACGGCAACTTCTAGCGGACGGTACGTGATATTGCATATGGATGCGAGGCAGTCATCGATGGTGCTGCTCGCGTTGTGCGCTGGTACGACGAAGGACACCAGTTCCTGTGGCGGTACCTTCGCCACGCCGTCGACTTCGTCATGTGTCACCTTGGGTTTCTTTGGCGCGGGTTCCTCCATTTTCAAAATGCAATGAGGTACAGAGATTGGCTAGTACAGCATCAATTTTAGCCAATACCAGGGCCCCATTTACTGTAGCAACGAACATCGAACATATCGACTGAAGATCTCATCTTCGAACCATGGCAACAAGCCGACGACATGTCATGGTGCTGCTCGCGATGTGCCTCCTCGTCTTATTGCATGTGAAAGATGCGACAGGGCAGAAGATCAAAACTGGCGGCTTGACGCAGCCGGCAAGTCACACTCCCAGCGCCACGCCGCCGCTGGATTCGCCCGAAATGCTGGCTGGAGTTGCCGCCAATGACAAACCATCCACGGAGCTCAAAGCAAGCCTTCGGTCTGGCCAAGATGTCCATACCAGTTCTTTTGATGTCGCAACTTCGATTGTGACAACACGCGTTCCGTCGTTGCTTTTCGATGATCCTCTCGACGACGGAGACCAATTCGAATTCGACGACATCGACTTGGACGACGAGGCCGCCGCCGACACTGCCGACGGCGACAGCGGCAGGACGGCGTGGTGCACAGACATTGGACTCACGTTCGAGCTGGACTTCCACTCGGCGTTCGCCGACCTGCGCGGGTTTGGCCACAACTTTAACCAGCGCCTGACGAGCGACCTCGACGACGCATACTCCATCTTGTTTCGCGACTTGAGTCCGTCCCAGTTCGCCGCCGGAAAGCCGTTCGTCGTGTTCTCAGCATGTTCGCCTTCCACTTCCGCCACACCGACCAACACGTCGTGGCTCACGGCGTTTCGCTTGAGCTTCCGCCCGTTTCTGGAGACTCAGGGCACCACGTTGCTCCAAGCGTCGTCCGGCCAAGCGGGTGCTTTAAGCGATCTTGTCGTGTACGAAGCGCCCCTGGATGACGAGTCCGTCGGGGCCGCCAAAGTCGTCGTCTGGCCCACCGCCGCGACCATCTCACTCGTGCCAGCCGATTCCAACGGCGTGCCGACGATTCAGTTGGCGCTGCGCGTGCAAAACACTGGCGCGCTGCCCGTCCGCGTGTTCCAAGTGGTCTGTCACGACGTCCGTGGCTTCCGCGACACTGTCCTGTCGATCTCCCCCACTTTCGTGGTGGCTCCAACGTCAGACAAGTTGCTATCACTCAATGGCCCCCTCGTTCCATCGTCGTTTTCTCGCAAAGACGAGCATGCAGAAGCGCCCATGCGGCTGCATGTGGTGCAGAGCTCTGGGGCGTTCATCGACGTCGGCGTGGTCGCGACCGTCGTCCATATGCCGTCGGCTTCCCACAACACCAACGGCAAGCATGACGATGATGATGTAGTCAACGAAGAGTGGCTTCACATCGGGACGACTGCCGCCGTCCCCCGCGGCGCGTCCGTCCGCCACTCTGCCAAGGACCACTCGTCACCTCTCGACACTTCTTCGTCCCAGAAAACGCGAATGGACACGTCGAGTCCGTCGGCCGACGTCCGGCCGATTCGAATCGTCGGCAGCGATGCTGCCACTGCCGCATCAAATGAAGAGCTTCCCCTCTCGGCGTTTCCATCTTCGTCTTGGAAAGGTGCCAACAACATCCAAACGCCATCCCGTTCATATATATGTGTGTGTTCGTCTGCGACGACGTTTATCGTTATATCAAGTAACAATCCCTTGACATGCAGAGTGTGTAGCGGCGTCGACGGTGTTGTTAGTCGGAGTGTTTGGCTACACGGCGTTCTTTGTGTACGGCAAACTTCGGCACCGCGGCGGCAGGTCGTCGATCGGGTTCAAGCAACAGAAAACGGCGGCGGCGCGGGGCCATCCGCGGCACGCAAAGGACAAGGAGTGCGAAATGATGCTGCGGACCTCGAACGACGACGAACCACCGAGCAGCCCCCGTGACGACCGTCCGTCCAAAGCATCGGCACCTCCTCCAATCCAACTCAACCAGTCATGGGGGCGACTACCGCCGCCGTCTACCACCGCCGCGCCTCCGCTCCAACCGCAAGCCATGCGCCCTGTCGTCGAGGTGGCGGCCTACCAACTGCAGCTGGATGCGACTGTGCGGCTGCACCCGAAGCGGTTCGAGTCGCTGTGGGAAGAAAGCGTCGAGCGGTATGTTTCGTAGTTATTGGTGTCATCCTCACATGCACGTTACATTGTAGCAAGGCGTGGACGCAATCCGCCGACGATAGCGGCATGTTGCCGCCCACGGGGGTGGTCATCCAAGTGCTGGAAAGCCAGGGCATATTGTGTATGGCCAGTGGTTCGGTCGCCAAAGTCGAAAAGTATCTGTTTTATGCGTTCGAGGTACTAGTACCTGTATAGTTTGCATGGCTATATAGAGAGCGATATATGACGGCGCCATCGTGGAACTGGTGTGGTTAGGTGGCAGCAGGTCAGTTTGTGTTTGTGGAAATGGTGGCCAACCCCGTGTCGTTGGAGATCGCCACGAGTGTGCGATGCCACCGCGATGTGGCGGCGACGGCGGTGGACGCTGTAGCGGCGCTGGTACATGCCCTCGTTGAAGCCATGTTGGACTCTATGAGGACCCGAAGGAGTGGTGGTGGCGGTGCATGAGAAGGCTCGTGGTGGTGGTGTCATCGGCTGTTTGCTTGTCAACAACTCCCCATCCCATGCACTCACTGTACATGCATTGCCCATGTGCAGTAAGATGATCGGTACAGTTCAGCGGCAAACCTCAACTTGTTTTCAGCCAATCAAAACGTAGTTGTTGAATTATAGCCAATCAAGAAATAGATCTTTGATATTTCATTTTGTTTTCGTCCAATCATAGGTAGGGCATGTCACATGCGACGACTCTGGACCGACTTCAACTACTATTATACATACTGGGATGGAGGCTGCTGTGGGCTCTGAATGCTTTTGGCTGTACAGCGATATTCTACTACAAAGTGACTTGAAACGAAAGCGATGGTATGTCAAGCGCGAGATTTCACGCGTTTCGGTCGTGTGTATCCATAACTTGAGCGTCGTCTATTGGGACAGGATTTGACTGGCGGTGAGAAATCGGACAAAAATCGTAAAAAAACTGCCGAAATCTCAAAAAAGAGTATTTTGGCCCCATGTTTGTACTGTAACTACCGTTATTCTCGCGACACAATTCTTCTCGTGCTTCTTCGGCCGAAATTAAATTGGCATGTGGAGACGCCTCACTTGAGCTTAGTATGGAGGATAGATAATATCCAAATAATATTATATTGCACACAGTCAATTGGCCGACATCCAATGCTCAACTTCTCGAATCATTTTGGAACTCCACCCCTGTCGGGACGTCTACAAGGCAGTGACGGGTGAAGGCAACTGACGACAACTACCACAGCAACATCATAACCACCAGCCACGTGACAGAGCCAGGACGACCGAGCGACTGCACCACCTCCATCATCTGCCCTCCACTGCCAGCAGCACGATCTTATGCAAACTTCGTCGTCTACACAGCAGTCCACCGATGGCGATGACCGAGGCCGCGCGATTGTCCAAACCCTGTCGGTAGTACTTGAAGGCATGGTCCATCCCGCAGACTCGATTCCCGTGGGGTACCTACGACGAACAAAATTTGAAGCGTTTCGGGCGCCACAAATCTCCATCCTCGACTACCTCGTCAGGATTCACACATATGCCTCATGCAGCCCCGAATGCTTTGTCCTGGCGCTGGTGTACATCGACCGACTGCATCAGATGCAAGGCTTCGTCATGACCGACCTGAATGTCCATCGCGTGATCATCACGAGCATCGTCCTTGCCGCCAAGTTTTTCGACGACCACTACTTCAACAATGCGTATTATGCCAAAGTCGGAGGCGTCCCGTGCACGGAAATGAACGAGCTGGAAGTGGAGTTCCTCCTCTTGACCAACTTCACCCTGCACGTGTCCACCGACACGTACACACGGTACTACAACGAGCTGGCCAACCACTACATGTTCTCGGCCCAAGGCAGCGCGGACATCAAACACTTTGTCAAGCCCGACGCCAGCGGACTGCTCGTGTACGTGACCGAAGACGTGAGTGCGATCCTGGACCAGGACATGTGCGGCGATGGCGCCGTGGCGTCGACCGCCAGCTGTTCGAGTCTCGGGTCGAGTGTCGGGTCGAGCTCTGGCGGAAGTAGCTTTGGCGGCAGGACAAACTGCAAAAAGCGGTCAAGGTCGACCACGTCGGGCCAAAAGCGGCGGAGTGTCGTGGCCCCGTTAGGTGTGAATGCGTGACGTCGTGCCGCCGCCGTATTCCTTTGTACCAATAAGTAGTCAATAATAATAGTCCCATAGAGTAGATGATTGCACTTTGCCCTCGTACCTACCTACTGTACCTAATCACACAATATAACCAAATACCAACTGTACAGTGTACAGTACTTACTGTACACTTCATCATGTTGTCAGCATCTGATGTTACTGCCATGTCCGCTTAACGCGATTCGCATTGGCATGTTGCGGTTGGTGTACACTGTACAGTACAGTCGTCCTGGACGTCCTTGCGATATGGAATCCACAGAGCATCCGACCTCATACGTTAGATGGCTGCCACATATAGGCAATTGCACCAGTACATACCCCTGCCAGCCACTTGTACATGGTCGAGTTCGGTTAAGAGTAACCGCATACGAGGTAAACTAGTATTTATCAACGAGCAGAGGAATGATTGAGATGTTGTCTGTGTACACATGTACTTACTTCGAAGTAACTAACTACCGTCTTGGCTCAGTCTCAAACTCGGCGCCAGAACGTGCCGTCTGAGACACCGTACTGGAACTTGCGATCGTGTTCGCGGATCAGAAACGGGTACTGCGTCCGGTCCACGAGGGTAAAGTGGGGCGCCAGCAGTCGTTGGATTTCCGCAAACGAGTCGACGGCCGTGCCATCTGCAAGCACCGTGCCGCCAATCCAATGCTCCTTGGGCGTATACTCTTCCAGCCACGAATATGGGCTGATCAGCGCCAAGAGGCCGTTCGGACGCACGAGAGACGGCAATGCGTCCAGAAATTGCTTGGGTTGGGGCAGCCGGCAGAGCAAGTTCGACGCAAACACCAAGTCAAACGAGCCCAGTGCCGTAGTGTCCAAGTTGCACGCGTCGCCTTGTGTAAACGTAACTTTGGACCGATCGATGTCGGCGGCGACCTTGGCCAAGCGGGTCTGCTTCACGTCGCCCTGAATCAACGCTTCGTACTCGGCCGACCCGGTGGCCTTGATGCCGTTCGCCACCTCGATAAAGTGGTGCGAGAAATCAATGCCCACCACCTATATCAAGCGAACATGGAAAGTCGATGGTCACCATCTACCCTCTGGAAAGAGAGCGACGTGGAGCCGGAGTGTCTACCTCGTCAAAGTGACGGGCCAATTCAAACGACGATCGACCAACGGCGCATCCGACCTCCAACGCGCGTTGGCGACGATGTTCCTTCGGGAGATGAGTCACGGAATCCTGCACACATCGAGGAAGGAATTGCAGTGCGTCTGCCGGGGTAAACGAATACGGCACGACTTCGCTGGAGTCCCCTACGAAGTTGATCAGCGTTGGTGGAGGATATGACAGCGAAGGGGGAATGTACCGAAGTGGAACTGAAGATACTCGTGAGCCGCACGATCCGACTCATACACGGTAGAGCCGCTGGCTGTGGTGCTTCGCGTGGACATCTGACGAAGCTTGGACGTGACTCGTAGCATGCTACAGAGAGAATGGACGGCGGGAAGTGATTGCGACCTCCACACCGATGACAAAGCAAGCTTAACGTTACAGTAAAAACACAAAACCTTCGTCCGACTTCCTCAAAAGGATATTTTAAACCAATCCAAATGAACAATTTTGGCGACACGTCAAACTTGTGAAATTATATTTCGAACCGCAACTACAGGCGTAACCTAACTAACCCCTGGCCCCCCTTACGATTTTTACCATCCGTTTGCGTTGGCCGCGCGCCAAGCCGGCTACAAGGACACCGCCGGAGGAAAGATGGACGACATCACGGTCGTGGCGGCGCTCGTCCAGGAGTAGAGTTCAGAAAAAGTCGATTATGTATATTAATACAAGCTTGTAATGCAACAACGATGTCGCCCATTGTGGTTCAGTCGGCCAAACACCTCAAACCCATCCGAAGAGCACGACAGACGCGACGACGGTGGTGGTTGGAAGCCAATGGCCTGCCGCCCAAGACGTTGTCGTTGCCAAGGGCGCAGCTGTCGCGGTGTCGTCGCTAGTCGCCGTGGTCACTGGAACGGACACCGGCTCGATCGTAGTGGTTGTGGGCGGCTGGCACGAGGCCACCACGCGGCGGATCATAAAGTCGAGTGACACAGGAGCACTGTTCGGCACCGCCACGGTGCAATTGGGCAAGTCCAGTGCCACGAGCGAGTTGAGGGCGGTCGTGCACGTGGGCTGCATACACAACGCCTGCGTCTGCTCGGCCGTGGGGTACGACACGGGGGGAACCAGCGGGTATTTGCTGTCGGTCGTGCAGTTTTGAATGTCTGCCAAGTACGGCAGAAACACCAGCGCAACAGTGGGGTAGTCGCAAGGCTTGTTGCCTTCCAAGAGGTTCAGAATGGGGGGTTGAGTGTCCACAATCATGTTGTCGTTTTGTCGTTGGGACGTTGCGACAGACATCAACAACACGAGCAGCGCGGATTGAAGGAAGATGGACATGTCGAATGTAGAGAGCGAAATGTAAAGTGAGAGAAAAAGGTGGCAACGTACTCAGGGGTAAAGGAACGCTGCACTGTTACTGACAGTGCTCTACTGACAGTCCATTCTGGCAGTTCGACTGCGAGGGGGGATGTTCTTGTGCAGCCACCCGACACAAGGGCCAATAGTTGGTGAAGCCGTCTGCGACACCGTGGTGTGGTCATTCGGAGAAAGGAACACAGGACTGTCAGGAATCCGTCGACCTGAGGACATATCTTTTTCTCTCACTTTACATTTCGCTCTCTACATTCGACATGTCCATCTTCCTTCAATCCGCGCTGCTCGTGTTGTTGATGTCTGTCGCAACGTCCCAACGACAAAACGACAACATGATTGTGGACACTCAACCCCCCATGCTGAACCTCTTGGAAGGCAACAAGCCTTGCGACTACCCCACTGTCGCGCTGGTGTTTCTGCCGTACTTGGCAGACATTCAAAACTGCACGACCGACAGCAAATACCCGCTGGTTCCCCCCGTGTCGTACCCCACGGCCGAGCAGACGCAGGCGTTGTGTACGCAGCCCACGTGCACGACCGCCCTCAACTCGCTCGTGGCACTGGACTTGCCCAATTGCACCGTGGCGGTGCCGAACAGTGCTCCTGTGTCACTCGACTTTATGATCCGCCGCGTGGTGGCCTCGTGCCAGCCGCCCACAACCACTACGATCGAGCCGGTGTCCGTTCCAGTGACCACGGCGACTAGCGACGACACCGCGACAGCTGCGCCCTTGGCAACGACAACGTCTTGGGCGGCAGGCCATTGGCTTCCAACCACCACCGTCGTCGCGTCTGTCGTGCTCTTCGGATGGGTTTGAGGTGTTTGGCCGACTGAACCACAATGGGCGACATCGTTGTTGCATTACAAGCTTGTATTAATATACATAATCGACTTTTTCTGAACTCTACTCCTGGACGAGCGCCGCCACGACCGTGATGTCGTCCATCTTTCCTCCGGCGGTGTCCTTGTAGCCGGCTTGGCGTGCGGCCAACGCAAACGGCGTGAGCCGGGTATGCGATTTCGCCACGTCATGGGCGACGTCCCCCACTGTCGTCGCCATAAAGGCCATGGCTTGTACCGCCTAAGCAGCGTTAGGATATACGACACCAACTGCGACAACGTACGTCGTGGCCTTGCACGAGGCTTTCAGCAGAAATGAGGTTCAACAGCTCGAGAAGGTGGGGCGTCGACAAGTTGTCAAAGCTACAGCAGCCATGTCAAATTTCAAACCGATTGATGACGAGAACGACGTACAGGCCGTCCGTGGCCACCAACACGAGATCGTTGGGCTGCGCGGGTAGCGTCTGGACGTCGCCGTGCTCGGGCTACAAGCAGGAGTTCTGTTAGAACCAGGAAACGTCTGTGTCTAGAACTACGGACAGTGTCGCGGCTACCCATGCCGAGCTGGAATGGACAGTTGAAATAGTGACATTGGGACGGCGACGCATACAATAGCGACCATTTATTGTCTCCCTGCTGCCGACACATGAGGAACCCAGAATCGCCCACGTTGATTGTGCTTAATGACGTGCCTACGGTGTGCATTCGTGATTGGCGCCATGACATCAATCAACACAGCATCGTACCATTCAAGTGCACGACACACGCCGTGGAACTGCCTGGTACCTACTCGTGTATCACGTATAGCGTTATATTATGAGGAACCTTGTGAACAGGAAGAGTCTGTGTTCGTACGTTGGTTGCACGGTAGGCTTCGGTTAGTCGATCCTTGGGATTCGTCAACGTGCTGGATTCACACGCAGCCATGAGCATGCGAGAATAAGCGCCAGAATCAATGCCTGCGGAGAGTACTTGGCATGAACATAATTGCGCACTGATGGATACGTACCCTTTCGAGCCCATCCGCCAACGCCGTCGGCCACACCCAGTGCCGTTGGTGTGCAAAACGCAGAGTCTTCGCCCTGTTTCTTCTCTGGATGCGGCAACGACACCATGCCAGACACGAAACTCCAGTTGCTAAAGCGTGACCGAGCGCCGCCCCACGACACTCCCCATCGCCGCGTTAGTTGCGACGTTGTCGCCACCGCTTGTGCGTGCCGCAACATGATTGAATTTGGGTGCCAGCAAACACTATCCGGAATGTCCCAATCTATCCGGACGCCTCAAACGCCTGAAAACTTGCCGCAGTTGGGTCTTCAGTGGTGGTGAGACTCGATGTCGTTAACGGATGAGATCAAGTTGGCGAGCCAGCTGACGGCGACGACGTCCGAGATCCCGTTTGACTTGTCCGATGCCATCGAGAAGCGCGATCCGACGTCACTGAGCGATGCCATCTCGGCTAACTACGTGAATGACGAGACGGACGACGAGCACCAATGGGGCCAGACCATTCTGTTCCTCGAGGAAGCGTTGGCGATTGCCAAGCACAAGCACGAAGCCGCGGCGCGATCCAAGGGAGCCGACATCAGCAACTCGGCTTTGGTCACGCTGAACAAGGTGCCGTCGATTGTGCCCAAAGGCAAGGCCCTCGACATCGTGTTTGGCGAAGCCGACCTGGTGATCCAAGGCAAGGATTTCAACATTTCAACGCCGTACACCAACATTGACGTCGTGCTCAAGCTACCTCAATACGTACGTGGTCTCCCTGCACCCATCCTTTCTCATACTCGGGTGTAGGAAGCGGTGGCCAAGCTCACAGTGCACACGTACCAGTTTGTGCTGCGCCTGAAAACCCCGCTAACTCATCGCAAGAACCGCTTGTCGTACTTGTCGTTTGTGATCGGCAGTTTTGCCCAACAGAGCGACGCGAACGTGGTTTTCCACGGCGACGAGGCCAAAGAGGACTTTGCCGACAAGAAGCTCCACCAGGTGGCCGAGATGCTGCTGCAGTCGCTCACGTCCACGACGGTGATCAAAACGTATCCGGAACTCGGCGGCAAGCGGTACGTGAGCACGACGGGCGCGCCGTTCGTCAAGTGTTACCGGCGCACCACACCCGGCATCCTCTTCTTCCTCCCCCAGGGGCTGTGCTTTGTGAACCCGCCCGTGTTTCTCAGCCGGCAAGAGATCGACTCGATCTCGTGGAGCCGCGAGACGTCGGAAGCTCTGCGGACGTTCGACGTGACTGTGGAAATGGTCGACGGCCAACGGTACGAGTTTTCGATGCTCGAAAAGGAAGAAATCCCAAGCATCACTGAGTTTGTGGGATTTTTCAAAACGTTGCGCGACGAAGACGATGGGATTGCACCTGAAGACAATGACGATGACGATGACGAGGTTGCCCCTAAAGAGGAAGAAGAAGAAGAAACGAAAGATGACGACAGCGAGGACGAAAACGGTGACGAAAACGAACCACCGAAAAAAAAGGCCAAAACTGGTGCGACAAAGGGCAAATTGAGCATAAAGTCCAAAAAGCAGCCTGCCAAAGCGAAACCGGTTCAAGTTGACGATGACGACGAAGATGCTGACTCGAATTACGAGCAAGATGACGACGACGACGGGGAAAGCGAAGAAGATGAGTGGGCAGGGAGCGAAAGCTGCAGCGACCAAGCGATGGACAGCGACGACGACGACGGTGGCAACAACGATGCCGGAAGCGACGACGACTCGGATTAAAACGGAATGACAAAGTACATGTAAATGTGGTGCTCGACGGACGATGCAAAATGGTAGGGCAATCTCGTGACGTGGCGCGATGCTGTGCCTGGCCGAGTGCTATCTATGGGTTTAGTTGTGACTTGCAATTGACTGTGAGTAGTATGGTATTCTTGCTGGCAAGGGCAGACAGAGCACACGGTGCATCCGTGACATGTTTTTTGTGTATGCCAGTTGTGTACCTAAGTACAGGGAGGAGATACGTGGATATCTCGCATCGTCCAATGGCCATCAAGTACACTTTGAAGTGCTGGCATGATGCCCGTCTTATGTCGACCAATCAAAGGACGGAGAAATGGAAATGCAACCAATCAAATCGCTCTCCGAGATTCGTGCATAAAGTGTCGAAGATGTCAGGTCCAGCGTATAAATTGTGACAGGTTTCATGAATTGAAGAAATGGCTGTCTTTTTTACGTATACAAATACCAAGTACAAGGGGATGTTGACCCAAACAGACACCAACTCACACCACTTTCAAACGCGCTGCACAGCCGACGACGATGGCGGCGACGGGCGACGTCCGATACCAAGGGATGCTGTGGCTCGCATGTTCCTTCCTAGTGATCCTCTTCCTCGACAGCATCCAAGAAGTCACACTGCTCCAGAAGATTGTCCTTGTCGTGTGGTGCTTCCTCGGCAAAGTGTACCTCCACGACCTGAACGCGGTGGCGGTCACGCCTGCCAAGTCCCCGTACCCGCTGCATTCCCCACGTCGCCGGTCGTCACAGAAAGGGCCGTCAAAGCAGCAGGTCAAGGCGAGTCCCATTGCCGCTCCGATGCCGCTAAGCATGAGCAAATCGGTCTCGCTCGGGTCGTTGAACACGCTGAACCCCCCACCGGACGACCACCCCACCACCATCAAGCGGTCGCAGACTTCCTCGTCGTTGACCCCTTTGAATCCTGAACCCATGAGCATGCTTGAGCATTTGCAAGAGCCGTTCAGTCCCCGTACCGACTCGGAAACCGGCTCGTCACCAAAATCCGACGGCGACTTCCTCGTCGGAGACGACGACGCGTCGCGCTTGGACACGTTTAAGTCCATGTTGAATCTCGCCGATTCCGTCGGGTTGCCGTACACGGACGAGTACCTTCTCAGCGTCATGGACGTCCCTGGTCGCGCGCTGCAATACGCGGCCGACAAGCTCAACCGCATCATCGCGTGGCGCAACGAGTACAAGGCCCACACGATCACCCCCGACGAAGTCGCGTCGCAATTCCAAAACTGCTCCATGTACTGGTTCGGCTACGATTTCCACAACCGACCCATCTTGTGGCTGCGTCCAAAGAAGAAGGACTACGCCAACATGGACAACGACCTTGAAATCCGAGCCAACGTGTACATCCTGGAGCTAGCAATCAAGAGGTTCATGCCACCGGGCGTCACTTGCTTCACGCTCATTTTGGACTGCAAGGACGTCGGGTACCGGGAAGTGGACATCAGCTTGACCAAGAACCTCGTGCAAGTCACGACGGGCAACTACCCCGACCGCATCGGATGCATTGGCGTCGGCCCCCTCACGATGCTGGTCAAGACCCTGACGCGCATCTTCTCGCCGCTTCTGCCGCCGCGGCTGCGCGACAAGGCCAGGTTCATGGACAACCCGCTGGCCACGCTCTCCGAAGTCATGCCACTCGACGTCATCCCGACCTTTATGGGCGGCACCAACCCCCATTTCCTCAACGCTGACGACGAAGCCGGCCGCTTTGACTATGACTTTATGGTGTCGGAAATGCAAAGGCGTATGCGTGCGATCGTCATGACAGGAGAACCCACACCCCCCTTGTAGTGTTCAGTACCGAGCCATCCTTGTACAGTTAGACCCTTTTATCATTATGCTGCGACTGCAAAACCAATAGAAATCACACGAGTCGTCGTGTATGATGTATACATACTATAAAGGATGAGAGGTTGACACATCTACGTGTACGCCGCGCGGTGCCGCTGCATGTGGTGTGCGATCCACCCAAGAGTGTCATGAGCCTGCCGCGTCTTTGCCTCGAGCGCGTCGAGCTGTGCGGCCCACCTGCGATCCTGCAGCCGACTGATGTGTCGAGCGACGAACGTGAACAAGGAGCGGTGATGAGGAAGCACATCGTTGTCATCATCCGCTGCCCCGACTGCTGCCGATAACGACGACATGGTGCTAAGAAGAGTTTGGATTCGAACGCGGTCGATAATGGCAGCTGGAATGCACATGGAGGTGGTGGCTTGTCGGCGACTGATCGGTTGAGGGGCAAGTGGTTCCATTTGGAGGCGGTGAAGAAGACTCATGGGCACGAGGATGGACTGTGATGTCGATGCGTTCAGGGTGTCCCCGCTGCAGCAAGGTTCGGTCGATAGTTTCTGCATTTTCGAGGCCACGAACGATTGCAGGTTCATCGTGCAGGCTGCTGCTGTATGTTGAGACGTAGGATCGTGTATCGCAGACGAGGACTTTTCTGATAGTTCTTCCACGTTGGTTGGTCGGTCGTCACAGGTACCGACAATAGTAATCACTGGGGTAGACGAAGGTTGTGATGTTGCATGGGGGTTGACTTCTCTTGGTTCGCGCAGAGGCGACGGTGGCGGTTCGAAGCTCTCGTCAGCATATTCTTCTTCCGATGATTCGACTTCAAACTTGTCCGAGCCATATTCATCTCCACCTTCTACTTCCCTTGGGGCTGCATCTACCGGCACATGCGACGCACACGCGACTGCATCGTCGTCGCTCTCGAACGATTCGCCGTCGTCCATGATCCAAAAAATGAAACGGCGTCGGAAAAGTCATTAGAGATTTTGTTATAATACAATTAGTTGTGTTATATAAAGTTATTACAATGTTCTCAATTCCTGCAATACTGGTAAAAGCTACTGGTGCGGCGGCGGCACTGCTCCCACTTCGGCTACACTAAACTCCGAGGTCGTGTTCGTCCCGGTGCTGACATCTGCCACAACCTTCACAGAGACATCGTCTCCAGAGATACCATGTGTGGCAGTCGCCGACGACAGAGCAGCAGCAGGCAGCATAAGCGCCACCGGCGGCCTTGAGATGTCGGTCATTTCGGTGCCGGCGTCTTGCATCGCCAAAAAGTCTGTTGAGTTGGTCCGCGACGACATGACGACGCTCTGTGTCGAGTAGAACACGCCTCCCACCGACGACGACCGCGACAGCAGCTGGGCCGGGTTGGCTGCAGGGCAAAACTCCTAGCATTTCATGGTGATCAACTAAACCAACTAAGCACATCATACCGGCTCCAACACACGAAAGCTGTTGGTAAACGAGCCCGAGTTGCGACGCTGCAGGTCCACCCGGCTGGTCTGGAGGTTGAACTCACCCACCGTGTCCGTCGACGGCGGCGGCGGCGGCGCTGCGGGCTCTGCCGGCGCGCCCGCCTAGCCCATCAAATAAATCATCAGGCAAAAAGCAGCATATACTTTTAACGGATGCAATCGTACGTCATGTGCCATGTCCCGGGAAGAGAGCACGATGACGCCGGCAATCGTGATGAGCACCCCGATAGGAAAGACAATCCACTGAGTCATGGTGAAGTCTTTGAACTCTTCAAAGTAGACGGCGCCGCCAATCACGGAGAACGTGATGAAGAAGCACTGGAACACCGGCACAATGTACAGTGCGTCAAAGTACTTGAGTCCGAGCGAGAGGCAGTGGGTTTCCAGGGAGATGGTGATCACCAGCGCCACGATGATGACGTATGTGAGGAACTTGTCAAACTGGTTGTCGCCCCGCAGTGTCTGCTTGAGCAGCTCGCCCGAACTCTTGGCAAACATGACCGACTGCGCGCCAAACACCCCCGCGAGCCCCGCGTACGTCAGCGGATGGAGCTTCAGCACCGCCTTGTACTCGAGCGACGCCGGACCCTTCTTCTTGAGCACGAGCTCGGCGCGCTTGAGCATGCCGATCAACACCCACACGACCGCGATGATCACGATCAAGTAGATGAGCATGTCCCAGCGGTAGTACAGGTGGATAAGGATCTCCAACGTGTACTCGACGTTTTCGTGGGAGCCGTAGATCGTTACGACTACCGCCCCAATGCAGATGAGGACTGTTCCAATCAGGTCGTTCCGTGTGAGCTTCTCCTTGAGCCAGTAGTGCGCAAAGAAAATGTTGCACACCAACGTGAACGCGCCGATGGGCATGATGATACTCTGTCATTGGATGAGTCATGGGGTCGAAGAAGAAGGAGAAGGAGGCGGCGGACACACACCTGCGCGGCAAACGACAGCGCTGCGAAATCCGCGATGGATCCAAGCCCGACGCCGAAGAACCCGAGCCACCACCTCCACTGCGTGTTGTACGGTTTGCGTTCGTGGTCTGGGAGATGCTGCTGCAGCATGAACGAATACTTTTGGATGTTCAGGCCCTACAACATGCACACGTGAACAAGATGCACCTGGCAAGTTGGGCGGCGCGTACAAAGTTCGAGACGGTGGACCCGATCAAGCAAATGGCGATACCAATGAACAAGTTGGTGGAGCTCACACGATGCTCCTCTTCATTGGGAGGCATGTTCCTACACACAATCACGTTATAGACGACATGCCCGAACGTCGCAGGCGCTTACCGCGGTAGAGGGTTGCGGCCACAGACGCAACCAATACAGTAATGGCAACTGCCATCGCAATCCAAACGGAGATATTTGATTGGCTGGTTTCTACGTCCCTTGTGTATAAATAGACCGAGAACTCCAACTTCGACGCGCCCTCAATGCGATGTCACGCCGACATGTTCGACATGGGGCGTCATGGCGTCCAGAAGTCCACGCGCGGCTGCAGCTTACACAGCGACGTCCACGCCAGACCAAGATGCGAACCCGTTACGCGTATGCGCGGGGCCGCTCGCACTGGTTTAAAACATGTCACCACAGGGTAATTCTTCCAGTGGGGCGATATTGTGAAATATCGGGTCCTATTGTAACTGTCCCGAATTCGGCGAGGGTAAAATGGGCAGTTTCACTTTTCGACCTAGCAGCTATTACTAGTAACTACTAGTATTAGTGAGTCCCGTCGTAGAACACATACAGTGCGATATTGTAGTACACATTGCACTTCTGCAGCAAACCCAAGAGTGCTAAGGTCCCTGTGGTGCACGAGCAGCTCACTTCAACAAAAACGTGCGATACAGTTCCTCACAGCATCGCGTGCATAATCCAATATAAGCACAAGTCGAGCAAATACTTGGGCGTCTATAAAGCCACCGCAATACACTATACAAGTATAGTACACTACCGGTATGTACTACACGTACAACGAACGGGTTCAAGTGTGTATGCAATGTCCTAATAGTAATGATCTTAGACTATACCGTGGCCTACGGCTTGCTGTGCTTGAGTCACGGTCGGGTCTACGGCCACGACTGGCGCGCCGCACTCTGCCGCCGGATGCATGTCCACAGACGCGATTTGTCCTACTGACGCTGGCCTTGAGATATCGGCCATTTCCGTGTCTTGCATCGCCGAAAAGTCTGTTGAATTGCCTCGTGATGACATGACGACGCTCTGGGTCGAGTAGAACACGCCCCCCACTGACGACGACCGTGACAGCAGCTGGGCCGGGTTGGCCGCAGGGCAAAACTCCTAGCATTCCATCGTGACCAACTAAAGCCAACTAACTAAACCAACTAAGCACTCCATACCGGCTCCAACACTCGAAAGCTGCTGGTAAACGAGCCCGAGTTGCAACGATGCAGTTCGCTGCGGGCTGGCGGGAGGTGGATGTCTGCCATGCTGCTGTCGGTGAACGACGCCGGCGCGCCCGCCTATAAACGAGTGAGAACCGCATGCGACAACGTTCCGGCCAACACGTACATCATGCTCCATATCCCGGGAAGAGAGCACGACGACGCCGGCAATCGTGATGAGCACCCCGATAGGAAAGACAATCCACTGAGTCATGGTGAAGTCTTTGAACTCTTCAAAGTAGACGGCGCCGCCAATCACGGAGAACGTGATGAAGAAGCACTGGAACACTGGCACAATGTACAGTGCGTCAAAGTACTTGAGTCCGAGCGAGAGGCAGTGGGTTTGCAGCGAGATGGCGAGCACCAGCGCCACGATGATGACGTACGTGAGGAACTTGTCAAACTGGTTGTCGCCCTTGACCGACTGCTTGATGAGCTCGCCCGTGCTTTTGGCAAACATAACCGACTGCGCGCCGAACGTGCCCGCGAGCCCCGCGTACGACAGCGGATGGATCTTGAGCACCATTTTGTACTCGTTGGACATGGGACCTTTCGTTTTGAGCACGGTCTCGGCGCGCTTGAGCATGCCAATCAACACCCACACGACCACGAGGAGCACGATCAAGTAGACGAGCATGTCCCAGCGGTAGTACAGGTGGATAAGGACCTCCAACGTGTACTCGGTGTTCTCGTGGGCGCCAAACATGGTCACGAGCACCGCCCCAATGCAGATGAGGACTGTTCCAATCAGGTCGTTCCGTGTGAGCTTCTCCTTGAGCCAGTAGTGCGCAAAGAAGATGTTGCACACCAACGTAAACGCGCCGACGGGCATGATGATACTCTGTCATTGGATGAGTCATATAATAGGCGACGAAGGGGTGTGTGGAGGACACACCTGCGCGGCAAACGACAGCGCGGCAAAGTCCGCGACGGACCCAATCCCGACGCCGGCAAACCCAAGCCACCATCGCCATTGCGTGTTGTACGGTTTACGTTCGTGGTCTGGAAGATGCTGTTGCAGCATGAAGGAGTACTTCTGAATGTTCAAGCCCTACGCATCACATACGTGCACGATGAACTCGATGGAACGGCGCCGAAGGCAACGACGTACAAAGTTGGAGATCGTAGACCCGATCAAGCAGATGCCGATACCGATGAATAGGTTCGACGTGTTCACGTAGGTGTCATGTTCGCCGTCCTTCATCCTGCAATATTTCCATGAGCCAAGAATGAGGAATTGCGCGGCAGTTCTACCTCTCGGCGGCAATAATGGTCTGGCAGCGTCGTGTGCAGGCAGAGTTTGGACTGCGCAAATTATAAAAACTATTTCCAAATTATTATAATCTTATTGGCTGGCTTTCACATGGATATTGAAATTTCTTTCAATAAATGTCGCACGTAATTATAAAACCCTGCGTGTTTCCGGAGATAATGTATCCGAGGAACAATAATTTATTTGATGTCAGTCTTATTATCCCACTGCATTGTAATTACAAATGATCGGATAATGCCATTTTCGGATCGTATAGCTTGCCATTTGTATGAACCTCTGGTTCGTAGCACCTTCTTTTGTCATGAATACCCAAATGTACCGCTTTTTGCGAGAAATGAACCCGTTGGCAGGCGGTTGAAACGGCCAGCGATCCGGAACGTACCGCCATCATTCATGGATGGATATGGCAAGAACTCGAAGGACGTTGTAGCGCTAGGTACATGCAGATATGGAGAGGCTATTGCCCTACCTAGCTGCATCTACAAGGTCGTTGCCAGGGAGACAGATCAATGTACACAACGACTTGCGGTCGAAAGTATCATGATGTCGTTACAAACGTGAGGTTGGCTTCTTCAAGCCAGGGGCGGGAAAATGATATTCGACTGATTTTGCACATGGGAATATTCCAATGCAAGGGTCCAATAATTCTATTGGAATACTGATATGTTTGTGAGAATTTCTGACTGGAAATTTAATTGGCTGAAAATTCCAGTCGTCTCACTGGATCCTTTCATTGGAATATTCCCATGTTCAAAATCACTCCAAGTTACTTAGAGTCATTTGGCGAATGGGACATGCAAGGAGGAGAACTTATATACTAACGTTACTTACTATTATTTATGGTAGGACACCTTGTATTCTTACTTGACACAGAATAAATAGTTCTTTCACCCAGTCGGACTTATTTATTGACAGAGAATAAGTCAACAATAACCTCTCAATATCGATGGTTATCACGTCTTCGCAGAATGAATACTACTATGTACGGTCATGTAAAGCCTGGAGGGTGCCGAAATTACCAAAAAACAGCGAACCTCAAATGATTTGGAAGCATACCAAGCAGCTCGATCGCACTAGCTCTTAGCATACCTGATAGACACACTTGGGGTTGAGGACATTCGATTGGCCTTTCGACAAGACGCGACAACCGGCATGGTGCAGTGAGACTTGAGCTCAAAACTGTTCGGTAATTTTAATGGACTGTGAATTGCGAGAAATTTTAAAAACCAATTAACTTAATAATAAAACATGCTTCAAGACAATATGAAGGTAGGAATAATTTATGATCAATCTTGTTACCTAACCTAGAAAGTACCTGACTTTGACATCGAATATCTCTCTGACGGCTTGTCTACGAGCAATGAAATGAATGTAGATATTGCAAACTTAGTTGCAGGCTATCGTTCAAAGCTAGAAATATGGCGATTGCAACATTGTACCATGAGTGAATGAGTCCTCAAAGTAGCAATAAACGCAAAAATAACCTACTTTGTAAGTAAATACCTCGATAAATATAGCTCGTAGCGACCTCTATGATACGTCATTATGTAGATATAATACTTGTGCACACGTGGATTGAGTCTCGGGCTGGTCGGTTTACATTGGCTCATGTTGTGTGGCTTTGAAAGTGGCTGTCTCAAATATAACATCCAAGTTAACCAACTTTGTTAACCATGTTTGCTTCCAAAGATAACATTACATCACATCGTTTTGATGTGTTGTTTTTAAATATTCTATTCACGCCATGATAAATATAATGAAACGGATTCTTCTATCGAAGAAAAGTACACTTCCATGGAACACGGTTGAAGACCAAATTACCAGCGCAGATGCGGCGACGAAAGTTTCTGTCAACCAGGTGAAGTAAGAACTCATCCGATCGTGGACACATTGCGATTATAGGCATCAGCTCCATCGAGTTCGCTCTAATATGACCATTTCCCTCACCTTCCTGTAATTTCTGAAAAATGGTTCACAATCAAATCAGGAAATGAAAAGGGGCTAACGTTAGTAGAGGTAAAATATTATTTTTGAGGTAAACTATTGTTTAGAGGTTTTGCTATAATATATCAGAGGTTTGGTTAACCTGCGCATTATCCGGTACAAAATAGCTTATCTGGGTATGAGACCACTTATCCGGTCATGTTCTATTGTCACTCTGGCCTCCATACCATACGTTTTGTCATTAGTAATATATTTATTTCTTAAGGCCGACTCTGGATGCCACAGAAATTTTGATGTCAAATAATATTCTGGCAGGGAATTCCCATTTCAAATGGGAGGTGACAAATTATTTTCAAAATGTTTTGATATGACCTCTGGAAGCCATCACGGAATGAAAACTATCGATAGAATAACATGTAGGTATACTGTACTAACATAACGTTAGTAGGTAAAAAATGGACAGGTGCAGTTCCAATCTTTTTCTATCAGAAAATAGTGAAAACTCGACGTATTATGTTGCTTTATATAGGTAGCCAAACACACAAAAGCTGTCGTTTGAAAAATTGTCATAATATTTCTGAAAAGTTGCAAAAAGGGATGTTTTGTGAAAAAAGTTGTGGCAGACAGAGTGGCCCTAATAAGGCACATCACAAAACTACTTTGTGTCCTTGGCGTCCTCCAGCGAACAACTTCACTTTGACCAGGTCCGTCCTTTCAGAATAAATAACTCCATATATTGTGCTTTCGAGTGAAATTTCGTGGTTCAAATTTAAATCGATTTGATTGGCTACTTCAGAAAAAATTATTAACCAATCAAAACAATCTAAATGAAATTCAACCAATCAGATCGCGGTTTGGCCCCTCCCCAAATTCGTATCAAATCGCAATGAATGCATACTTCACTCTTGTCGAGAATGTGTTTTTCCCACCTCTGCTTCGACCTTCAATGTGGTAGACGACGTTGCCAGTGGATTGGAGCTAACGTTACCAATGGGACTACAGCGGTGGATTTCGTTCATTTCTACGTCACCGACCGAGTTGTCGGAGGTCGGGCCCTCCACCAACGTACAGCATGTTGTCATTGTGAGGGTCTTCACTCCATGTGCCCTTCGGACAAAGGCGGCGATCGAAGCAGGACGACGACGCGCAGCAATTTTATTATCCCAATTGCTGGCTATATCCTACTTGTCCGAGCTTCGGCAGCAGTGGTTGCCGTACGTCGCGGCGGTTCATATCTCGCTTGGACAAGACGGCGACGCCGCAGATGGTCACAACCACCCCACACGGAAAGCCCAGCCACTGCATTAGGCCAAAGCTCTTGAACTCTTCAAAGTACACAGCACCGCCGAGGACTGAAAACGTGATGAAAAAGCACTAGCTCCCCAGCAAAACCCCATTCATCACGATCACGTTTACGATGCCAATATCCAGAATGACAGAGGTCCTACATACCGTGAAGACTGGCACGATGTACAGCGCGTCAAAGCTCTTCAAGCCCAGGGAAAGCAAATGCGTCTAGTGACACGCAATCACGTCACCATGATGTTATTAGCACACATGCAAAGTGATGACAATACTCACTTTGCATGGGTTACCTGCATGGTGATGGTCCCAGCCAGACACGCCAAGATGATATAGCTAGGGACTTTGTCGAATTGGTTGAGTCCGTGTGCTGTTTGCTTGATGAGTTCGCCCGTGCTTTTGGCAAACATGACCGACTGCGCCCCCCACACCCCTACGAACAAGCAAATGAACGAGCGAACGAGCGATGTGACGAATGGACGATCGGTTCAATAACGTCATGTGGGTAAGTAGATAAGTAGGTAATACCTGCGAGCCCCGAATACGCCAGCGGGTGGATCTTGCGGAACGTTTTGTACTCGTCCGAGAGGTTGCCGTGGACTCGAAGCGCGTCTTCGGATCGAACCAGCGCCGTGAAGAGACCGATCAGCACTGCGCAGACGGCACAGGCGTACACGAGCATGTCCCATCGGTAGTACAGCGCCAGGAGCTCGTCCAACGTGTGACTCGTGCTCGAGTGAGACCCAAACACAGTCACCATGATCGCTCCAATGCAAATGAGCATCGTCCCGATGAGGTCGTTGCGGCCAAGGCGTTCGCGAAGCCAGTAGTGCGCAAAGAAGATGTTGGCGACCAAAGTGAACGCGCCCACGGGTGCAATGACACTCTATCTCGTCAACGTGATAAGATATGCGACGTGGAAGATGTAGGAAACCTGCGCGGCGTATGTGAGCGCGGCAAAGTCGGCGATGGATCCGACCGCGACGCCAAACAGACCCAGCCACCATCGCCATTGGGTATTGTACGGCTTTCGGTCGTGTTCTGGCTGTCGTTCCTGCAGCATGAACGAGTATTTTTGGATGTTCAGGCCCTGTGCACACAGATTGAGACTTAGGAATGATGAGCGAAGGCAAGTCTCGACGTACAAAGTTGGAGATGGTCGTGCCGACCAAGCACATGGCGATTCCCGTCACGAGGTCATACTCTTGGCCTGACAACACTGTGCCCATACTGCTGCTTTCGTGGCTGCTCGTGTGTACGGAGGCGTCTCGCGTCGTGATGTGGCGAAGGGACCCCTCGTGTCCTTCCTAGGCTGTTGTTGCCAATTCTGCCGAGGCAGGTTTGCGATGACGAGAGGGTAGACATGTCATACAATAGTCAAGTATATTGTTGTAATATGTTAGAAGTAGGAGTTCATTTGGTCTGCGCCACGGTGGTCTTGACCATGCCCATGGCATGCGGAGATTGACTATCGAATCGCTGGTACCAATGCAGTAGTGTGTGTACTATGTGACTACACACAACAAACTCTACATCAGACTTTACCCTGGCCATTGGCGTGAGAGCGCTGGTCGTGGCGCTCCTCCCTATGTGTTCCAGTGACAGAAGGACATTTGGAAGGACATGGCATGCCTCTGGTACTGTAGCCATCACATGCGTTCCCTTGAAGCTATCGGGGGTGAAGAGCGCCGTGTGACCAATTTGGTGCCGTCAGTACGTAAATGTAACCAGCAAAGGGGCTGTTCATTTTAACGCTATAGACGATTTCATTGCTATTATATCCAATCAAAACTTACGCCCTTTCGGCACAAGATCGAAAAGTAGTGTGGCGCCATCCACGTCGACGTGTGTGTATGACGTAGATGGCCAGTGGACGGTGTATCTACCTCAGCTGGAATCGGTGCCATACGTCATTTGTATTGTGCTAGCTGGTATGACTGCGAAAAGTACAATGCCTAATTATAGTCCAACAATCATCTACTAATTTCTGGCTCAGTGTCGCCGTCGTCGGCTACTGGACGTCCTTGGTCACGACCACATCGAACCATGGTATACGATTTGTCCAGTGGCGGCATGCAGACATGCGGCTGTGCTGTTGGCCGGCCATGCACTTGTGGCTACCTTCTTCGTCGCGTGGTTAACGAAGGCGTGCTCACTGTTACCGAGGAGGACGAATTGCTTGAAGTTGCTCCAGGCGTCGTCCTGCGGCTGAAAAAGGAATACGAGTAAGTCAATACTTATACCCCTAGTTTGTAAGCCTGACACAACACTGCGACGACTGTGGCTAGGGACGTACCAGGCACTCGACTCTTCCGCCGCATGCATCAGTACCGCCTCTCGTTGCGGGATGCGATCGCCGAGTTCAGCAGTGCAATTACAATCGCCAACAGCCACAGAAAGGTCGTGTCGTTTGAGCTGCTGGACGTTGCCCACCGCCGCAAACGACTCGTCGAAGGGTACATAACAGCCCAATTCACATACAAAAACGACGAAATGACGTGGCACGTCGTCATTGCTTCATGGGTAGGACGACCCCCACATCGACCGGCAGCGGTAAACCAGTCACCAAGAAAGAGCTGCAGGATATACAGTACATGGTGTCTGCCTACTCGGACCTCACTACGCACTTGAAAGGCCGACCTGAGGGGTTCGCACCGAGCACCATCCCCGTGTCCATCCACGTACTTGGCCCCCACTTGGACCTTCTCCACGCCCAGCTCACAGCCACCATTCAAAAAGCCAAAGCAGACCTTACAGTATGACTGACACCACTAACTCAACCCTGAGGGGTTCACAATCACGTTTTCGCGATTGCCCTTGATTCACTTCTGTTCATTTGAAACGTCCTGTACTTGCGACCGTAGGGATGCAAAACGTTTGTGCACAACTACGCCATGTCGCGCATCCAATCGATCGTGCGGGGTCGCCGTGTGCGCGCCCATCACACGGCATCCCTCGTCACGACCTGGTTTGGCGGCGAGTTGGCGGCCGCCGTGTTGTTGCAGTGCTTTTCCAGGACCGTTCGAGCGCGGTGGCGTGTCGCCGAGTGTCGACGGCGGCACCAGCATCGCATTTGCATGCTCGCGACCATCCACATGCAGCGCACTGTGCGCGGCTACCTCGGCCGAAAGGTGGCTGCCACGAAACGAGTCTCGCAGCGCATGGTCCAGGAATCGCATGCCGTCGTGACGTTGCAGTGCTGGGTGCGCTGTCTCGTGGCATTTCGACTGGCCAAAGTCCGCCGGAATCTGCGAGACGCCGCGAGGGCTCGCGTCCGACGGCAGGTCCGTCCTTCGATGCTTAGCCCCCCTCTTGTTGTCATCGTGAATGGGCTGGAGGAGTTTCTCAACTTTCAGTTTGTTGAGATTAGGAGGCCGCCCTGAATGTACAGAGAGTGTATCGGGGCCATGTGGGTCGGGTGAAGGCGCGGCAAGCCAAGATCCAGCGCAGCTTGAGTGACCCCGTGCGTAACCTCGTCGCAGAATTTCAAGCGACGGGCGACCTCTGGGCGTTTGTGCAGGCGGTGGACAAGGACTACCGGCAGTTTGACCGCGACCGCCAGGCCGAAGAAGACAACGCGACCACGTTTGTCACCAAAGTCCTACGGGAACGCATGCTGCACCAAGAACGGTCGCTGCTGGTGCGTTTGCTGTGTGTTGTTCATCACACCTTCGAAATGCCTTGTATTCTTCATTGGTTGGTTGAGCCATCGTCGTACTAGGCGTGGCATGCGTCAAGAGCGATGGCGTCGCCGGTGGTCGCCCACCAGCGCCGCCTCGACTCGGCATACGAGTCCCCGCTGCCGTCCGTGTCGTCGTCGTCTTCGCCCGGGGTCCTCACGTCGCCCGCTGGATCCTCGACCCAATCGGGTGGTGGCGTGGTGGCCCCCCACTCGCTGTTTGAATTGACTACGTCGGACGACGCCATCCACATGCATCAGATCGCTCCAGAAACTATCGACCTTCCTGACAAGTACCCCCCGCATGTCATTCGACATGCAATGGCCCAAGGCTACGCCGTCGACGAAATCATCGCTGCTTTGTAAACCTTTTATGCTATTATAAGATCGATTGATACGGGGAGATGTAGGCGAGGGCTGGAGGCACAAGGCAAGTCCACACGCAACGTCGCGTTGGTGTTGCGTGAATTGAAGCGCCGGACGCCACTCATGCTGAATGCGTTCAAGTCGGAGCGCGTGGTGCGGCAGCAGCGACACAAGAGTCCCCCAAAACATCATCCCCTACGACATCAACCCCCCTCTCCACTCACAGCGTCGCGTTCCTTCGATCAAGCGAGCAGCCCCATGTCGTCCACGCCTTCGTCATCATTGTCACCATCGAGTGATACGTTTGAAATTGTCGACATGACTGTGGTGACAACGTACCTGCTACAGATGCTTCCGGATGGTCTGGACGAACCCATGGCCAAAATCACGTTTGCCGCGGCCATGCTCGTGTACATTCCGCCCCTGGTGGACGTGAATGGGGGCGCGACGACAGGCAGCACCTCCCCACCGTGGACGTCGTCGCCCAATTCCCACTTTGCCGCGTACGTCAACGCCCCGTCGGCGCTGCTTCAGGTCCACACACCCATGTGATCCCGTCTTCATTTCGAACTTTTCCCTCAACACTGTATTTGACTAGATCCGACGGGAGCAACTCGTGACGGCAGCAATTGCACCTTTCGCCACGATATTCAAAACCCATGAGGTCGTCCATGGAGCCGACTTGGACCGTATTTCGACGCCACTGACACAGCTTCAGACGTGGGGGGTGCCAGTGGGAGTCGCCCACAGCCTTGTCCACGTGCTCAAATGCTGCCGACGACGACAACAGCACATCGACCCACGGTACATCCGACAACAAACGGCGACGAGCCCTGCTCGCCGTTCCGTCCAGAAAGAGTCGCCAGGAGCGCCTGCCACCCCCCGAGGCTCCACGGCCGACACGGTGGCGTACGACGTGTCCTCCCGCGCGTCGACGGCGGTTGTCTCCTCCACGCCCCCGACTCCCCCCGAAGGTTCCACTTCAGAGTCCGACGAAGACCTCCACCGCCGGCAATTTGCCGAAATGAAGACCCGCATCGAGGCCACGGCGCTGACTCCCTTGGGGATGGACAGCTCGCTGTTTGACTTGTTCTTCCAAGCGCTATTTGTTGTATTGCCGACTGAGGCCGACCTGTCTAATAACCACGAGTTGAATGCAGCGACGTCGTTGGACGCGCGCCACCTGGACACGTTCGTGTACCAGTTGCTCGACCCAGCATTAAGCATGCATGCGTCCCACCGCCTACTCAAGCGACGAAGCCAACGGACGGCCACCATGGCCCGAGCGTACAGCAACGCGTGCAAGGCGGCCAACTGCCACAGCGTCAAGGACATTGTACGACCTCCGTCATGTATTAAGTGGTCATTTTTGTGTGTCTGTGTGGCATGACCCTTCGTAGGTAAATCGGTCGTTGGAGCCGTTCCATGTACCAGACGTACTGGCCGAACAAGTGCGTGTGTGCATCGGCAAAGTGCTGTTTCCGGTACGAAATGATGATATCACGTATGACGTTATCGACAACCATGACGTTATGTTTACGTAGCCATGCCATCGTGACGTGGACAAGCACGAACGCGCCAAGTCGCCGAAACAACTGGCAAAGCTGATGCCGCTCCACGTCCGGATGGACTCGCCGCTCCTCCGATCTCGAGGCAAGATGCCAGGCATGGAGGAGCTGCCGACGATCCTCCACCTCGTGGACGACCTCTAGGTAAATGCGTCCATGGTCGCTCCGAACGCCGCGTCCATCACGAACAGCCGCATCAAGTCCAGCTCGACTGGGGACTCATCGTCTGTCGGACGACACAACGCCGTCGTGTTGCCTGGGACATGGAGCTCCCGTCGAGATTTCTCGAGACTTGCTTGCGTTGCTGCCATGTGTTGAAGCCGCCGCCACTGGCCTTGCAGCACTGGTTGTAGACTGGTTAGGTCATGATCCATCTAACACGTAGACGTGTTTGTGTATATTGAGCCATCAAGGAAAGGGCCATCCATAGAGATAGATGTTTGAGCGAATGTGATGAACCTTATCGCGAAGGAGGACAAAACGAGCGAGGCTGAGGGCGCTCACGATGGCGTCGCTGTACCGGACAAACTCTTGATCAGGGCGGGGGCGTAGCATGTCTGTTAGAAACGGCGCCAGTTTGGAACGCACTGTGGAGTCTGAAAACAGAAATATTGATTAGTACGTGGACGATATATATATATATATCCAATTCGTGGCCATTGGGCATTCATACAAAAAGGACTGACCTATCCAATGCGTGGTGGCTACTTCGGACCGAATACGGTCGATGATGATGGCAATGCAGTTGGGAAACGGGCACAGGCGGGCCAACTGCGCGAGAAGGTCAAATCTATGTGTGGCTCCATCAGATATATATATATGGCGATTGTTAGATAGGGTGATTGTTATATATGTCTCTCTACCTCAACGTCGGCGCGACCATATCTACTAGACGTTGCCATGATGCAAGGGCGTGCGCTCGGTCTGCGGCGTCCGGCAGCATGACCATGGCGCTAAGCACGGCTTGAAACAGTGAATTCAACGACTGAAGGTTGTCATCCAGATGGCCTAGTTGCATCCGTGAGTCAAACATAGCGCATTCCTGTACGATTGTAGACGTCACACGTACGCCGTGCATATTGGTCGAGGCCAGTCGCGTTGATTGGTGGTGGTACCTTCTCGTTGGACGAAAGTAGGCATGACGACGATGATGGGGTGGCTACATGTGGATTTGATGCTTGCAAAATGGCAGTTAACATGGTGAGACCGCCGCGCTTGATGGCGACAGCAGTGTGGTGGAGAAGGGTCTCGATATGAGGAGCCAAGGGCTCAATGGCGATCAAGTTAGCAGGGGACATGGCGTTTGTCTGGCTTCTGAGCGAAGGGACAACTGCAAGCCAGTGCGCTACCACGGCCAGACCAGCGTCCGACCACGCGGGGAGGTCGCCCATGTACTTCAGGCCGAACGGGTCTGGTAGCAGCGTTCGCACCATTTGATTTGTGTGGCGGTCGATGTCGGCTTGAAGGATCAAAGCTCCGTCGTCGTCGTCATGATCATCTTCGTCAGAGTCGGAGGGACAGCTTTCAATGGAGGCAGTGGGAAGCACCATGGCCATCCATTCGGCGCGGAACGCTTTCCATTTTGCAAAGTGGACAATGTGACAAATGGGAATGCCACATAACCCAAGGCATGCCATTGCTGTGACGACGAGTGGAGGCGGTGTCGACGACTGCGCAACCAAACGCTCCAAGTTTGCACCAAGAATGCTGAGAATGCAACCGACAATGCACTTGGACTGTCGTAGCAGGGTAGGGGAAGCGTCCGTGTCGTTGCCAGGGATTTGCAAGTGGACAAGCAGTTGGTAAATGAAATCGAGGACGACGTCGTCCAACGCTGGACTCTTCGCCTGCGTCTTGCGCAAGAGCATGGACAGCGCATCTTCCATGAAGGGTGCTCGTTTGTCATGGGGAAACCCAGCGAGGACTATGCAATTTCATCACGACGGCGTGATAACGAAGTGCATCATGACAGCATGTCCTTACTTGCTTGTTGTGCACGGAGCAAGCGGAGGAATCTCGAGTTCCCCCCGCCACACACTTGCTCCTCCACCCGAAGCAGCTCCATCACTTCCATGAAGACATGCTTCAATCCCTCGCCTTCCATGTCACTTAAGGAGACCGCATCACCGACGCAGATCCGAGCCAATAGCTCGTCCATCCTGCAAGTGGCCTTTTCCATCACTTATCCGGCAACTCTGTTGTATTTCGGATAATGTCAAATTCGACAATGACAGCATCGATTGTGACGAGTGTCGAAGCGGCGGCGCAGGTGGACGTGGACTTGCGCATCAAGCACTCCTGGATGCTGACGTATCCACACATTCCTCTCTACGTGCATGACGTTGGTTCTTATTGGCAACACTGGCAAGACCTTATGTGCATTCCCCTAGGTATGGATGGACGTTGTGCATCGCAAGGGCATGGAGAAATGGCGCGTCGTACAATGCATGTCGAGCTCTCACAAGTCGTTCGTCCTCGTGGGCATTCTATCTCTACAAGCCCTAACGGCTCGTACTTCTCTACCTCGTCGCGATGCCGATCCCAACGACCTCGACCGCGCCACTTGGACAGCAGTGATTTGCCATGCCGACCATTTCCCCTTCGACATGCGGGAGTAGGTGGACGACGATGCATCTCCATTCTCGTCATGATATACCCTCTTGCCACTCACCGTGCCATGGCTTCTAGGGTTGCCCATGTTCGTTCCTCCATAGCTCTGTCCTGCGACCTCGATGCCCAGCTTCCACGACACCTCGTCCTCGCCATCACGACCCAATCTCCTTCGAGCACCAGCTACTACACTTTACACGACAGCCTTGTTGTCTAACAATCCACTCGACTCATTCGTATCTCTCTACCATCCATCGGTCCTCTGAAACGAAAGCTCGAACATATGCAGGCTCATCATTATGATGGGGTTACAAGTTGGACTGGCCCACGTAAATCACGTTGCGGCTGAGGCAGAGCTCGACCATGTCCAGCAGCGCGGCTTCCAAGTGGCGCTTGAACGTGGCGGCGCTCGTGGTCGGGTCCGTGTGGTACGCCGTGATGCTGAAGTTGATCCGATCCGGCTGCAGCGCGTAGCAGACGCCGTACCCGTCATTGTACATGGCCGAGAACCCGCCCCAGATGGGACTCGCGCCCGCCGTGCCGCTGATGTTGCTCGTGCTAATGCGGTACCGCTTCGTCAGCTCAAACGCCTTGTCCGTGAACAGCGACGGCCGCGGCGAGATGCCAGACATCTCCGACACGATCTGCAGCCCCATGAGGTGGCGGTCCACGCCTTGCGCCAGCAGACTGTTCTTGAGCACTTGGCCATGTCGCTTGAGCGCGGTTTGGAGCACTTCCCACTTGACCGACGCCTGCAAGAAAATGATATCACCTCATCAGTACTCGGTAGAACAAGTACACTTGGTAGAATGAGTACTCGGTAGAATGAGTACTCGGTAGAATGAGTCCTCGGTAGAATGAGTACTCAGTAGAATCGAGTACTCGGTAGATTGGAGTACTCAGTAGAATGGATGAGTACTCGTTCGAATGGGTACTCGGTAGAATTAGTACTCAGTAGAATGAGTACTCAGTAGAATATTGGAGTACTCAGTAGAATGGATGAGTACTCGTTCGAATGAGTACTCGGTAGAAAATAGTACCTCGGCAGTCGACTCCATCGTCTTGACGAACGCGAGTGACTCGTTCGTGAGCGATCGAACGGTCTCCGTGCGTCCATGGTAGAACAGCCGCGTGTGCGCCGTCTCGTACACCGCTGGGAGCTCCTTGTACATTTTGTAGTAGGCCAGTTGGATTGCTTGCTGGATAAAGTAGTCTGGGGACAGCTTGTATCGCTTCAGGAACGCGTGGCCGTAATGCTGAAACAGTAGCGTCGAGAGATCGCTCGCCTACAAGCACACAATAGGAGTCACGTACGGAATGCCGTTTAGCCAAATATGGGGTCGTGGCGATGGACAGACCTGGATGAGTTTGCTGATGGCGGCGGACGCACACTCGATGGCGGTGAGCGCGTTGTTGTCGATCTTCCACTTGAGGCGGCGGGGAGTGTGCTTGGGTGGGCCCATGACTGTCTTGTGCGCAAAGAACTGCTTGAAGTTGTCATTCACGTACTTGGCGCAGTACGCGAAGATGCGCACGACCACCAGCGCGTCGGCCCACGCGTGCTGGCCGTTGATGCCCGTGCGGGCATTCTCATGGACGACCAACACCACAGGCTTGTCGTACCAGCTACGATATATATCGTTCGTCACATACAAACTTCGAGAGGAATGTCCGTCCCAAGAAAGAAAACAGGGCATCTATACAGGATGTACCGGTTTCGACCATCTCCCAACAGACAGTTTTGCGCGACTTGCTCGGAATTGGCGGGGGAGGTTTCGTCCAAGGCGACGACAAACAGCGCCTTCTCGATGATCTCGAGCGACTCCTTGTTGCATGCGTCCAGGGAGATCAAGTACGCCCGGGCCTATCAAAGAATGGTGAAAAACGTGAAAACAACACGAAATATAACTGTACTTTGGCCCAATTCGTGCGGTTCTCCGACGTCAACACGCTCACGGGAGGGTAGCGTTCGAGGTCAAACAGGCCGGTGGCTTCGGCGCGTATCGCTTCAAAGGCGCTGCATGACACGAGTGTCGTGAATATGGAGGAGTAAACGGAAGGGGGCGACGACGTACTTGACTAACTCGGGCACCGACAACGCGTTGCCTTGCTCGTCGAGCACGTCCAACACCCACATGCAGTTGTTGCGGAGGATCACAATGTGGCGCTGGTTGTGGTCGTAGACTTGGATCTCGTCGCAGTCTTCGCCTGGGATGACACACGAGTTGAAGAAACGCGTGTACTGGAACATGCACAGCGGTTTGCCCATCATTTTCTCGGGCGGAATTGCTTCCCTAGTGGCGTAGCAACATGAGATTTGCATTCCCTCTGGCAACACCTTACGCGAGGAATTCCTTGCGATATTGCAGCAAGGCAACGGTGAAGATGGCAGCGGCTTCGCTCTGACTCATTTCTCGCGGCCCCCAGTTCCCAGGCACCACGCCGTACCAGTTGATGTTGATCGCCGACGGATACCGCGGCTTCATGTACCCGAAGGTTTCCCACCATTCCTCGATCCAATTCTTCTCGGACCCGGCGCGCTCTTCCAAGATCGCTTGCAACTGCGGCCCAACGCCGTGGAGAAAGTCGTGGCACACGCCTTTCGTATGCTCCAATTCCGATGCCGACAGCATGGGTTCGCAACTCTTGATGTACGCGTCAATGGTCTGTTCCAGGGACGGAAGGGGCAATGGAGGGAGCTCATCTTGGTACTGGAACGTCTTCTCCGCCGTCGCCGCCGTTGCTTTGGTCTTTTTGCTCATATTGCAAGATCACCACGCTTGTTCAAAATGAAACCATACCCAACCCAAGTCGATTTTCCAAGATACGTCAACAGAATTTCAGCCAATCAGCGACGCACTTCAACTTCAATACAGGTTCTATTAAGTGCGCATTTGGAAATAGAACACTGCAATTTCCAAGCGCATTTAATTGGATCGATCGAACCGCCCTCGTGACACGGCAGCATCCTCCTCCAGCTGCCACCACCAACATGGTGACCCCGAGCACTCCAGCACATGCCAGGACAATGCAATACTAGTATGTCCATTGAACATTCTCCATGTGTACAAGGACCTGTCGTGGGCGATAGGCATTGCACATTCCATCGTCCATCCTGCGGTCGCATGAACCAAACCTCGTCAACTCGACTTCATTCATTCATGGTGTCTGTCGTCCATTACAAGTACAAGCCTTCGGGGATGTTGGCCTTCTTCTTGTACAGCGCCTTTTCCTTGGCTTTTCTGAAATCCGTCTGCGTCACGCGCATGCGGCGTTCGCGGAGCGCAAGGAGTCCCGATTCGGTGCACACGGCTTTGATGTCGGCGCCCGAGAGTTCGTCCTTGGACATGATAAACTCTTCCAAGTCCACGTCTTCCGCCAGACTCATGCGGCTCGTGTGGATGGAAAAGATGCGGCGCTTCGTCTTGACGTCCGGCAGCGGAAACTCAATCTTCCGATCAATGCGTCCGGGGCGGATCAACGCCGGGTCCAGGCTTTCGATCGAGTTTGTCGCCATGATCACCTGTCCAATTCCACGTTTAGAACGTTCAACAACCCCCCAAATTGTTCGAAACAAACGTCTCGAACACACAACAGAGAATTCCAATATGTACCAGAACGTTCAACAACCCCCCAAATCGTTCGAAACAAACGTCTCGAACACACAACAGAGAATTCCAATATGTACCAGAACGTTCAACAACCCCCCAAATCGTTCGAAACAAACGTATCGAACACACAACAGAGATATGTACCTTGACATCGCCACGTTCGTCAAACCCGTCCAACTGATTCAGCAGCTCCAACATCGTTCGTTGGATCTCACGGGTGCCGCCGCTGCTCGAGTCGTACCGCTTGCTTCCGACGGCGTCGATTTCGTCGATAAACACAATGGATGGCGCGTGGTCGTCGGCGACGCGGAACATTTCGCGCACGAGCTTGGGGCCGTCGCCCAAGTACTTTTGAATTAGCTCGGACCCGACCACGCGCAAAAACGTAGCAGACGTTTGGTTCGCCACTGCTTTGGCTAGGAGCGTCTTGCCCGTGCCGGGCTCGCCGTACAAGATGACGCCTTTCGGGGGTTTGATCCCGATGCCTTCGTACAGTTCGGGATGGGTGAGCGGCAATTCCACGGCTTCTTTGATTTCTTGGATCTGTTGATCCAACCCCCCAATGTCCGCGTACGATTCCAGCGGCGCCTTGTCGACCTTCATCACGCTCACCATTGGGTCGGTGTCGTTGGACAAGATCCCCACGACCGCCATGACCTTGTTGTGGAGCAACACGGAACACCCGGCTTCAAGCAGATCTTGGTTCACGAACGACATGACGCTTACGTAGTACTCGGGCCCGACGCTCGACGACACGATCGCGTGGTTGTCGTCGATCATTTCTTCAAGGGTGCCTACCCCCATAGGCGTCCCGCGCAGGTCGTCGACCTTGGAGCGTTCCTCTTCGTCCTTCTCTTGTTTCGGCTTCATCACTTCTTGGTTCTTGATGAATTCCTCCTCCATCAGCAAGAAATCCTTGATGCGCTCCAGCTTGAGCAAACGAAGCTTGCATTTTGCGGTCGGGAACACCGCCGGAATGCGCGTGGCTGCCGACGGGCCCTTCTTCTTTTTGCGCTTGCGGGTAATAGCTCCCCCTCGGGGTTCGAACTTCTTCTTCTTCGGCGGCTCGTCCTTCTTGTCGCCCTTCTTGCTCCCAGGGAGCCCGCTCTGTCCTTGCCCCATGTTCTTGCTTCGACCTCAAACCCAAGATATCGTTTGATCCGCAGATTTCGTCGAACTTCGAAATTCGACCGTTCACGAAGAATCCCCTACAAACTGCAAGTCGAATCCTTCATGGTCTTTGATTGGTTATAATTCAACTAAATAGACCATATGATTGGCTATAACCTTTGACTTCAACATCAAGCAAAACAAATTGGAGTCCCATTAGACAGCCCTCTTATACACACTACCCCTGCATTAGAGCTGCACTTTCTCCACCATGGCCTTGAAGAAAGCGGGGGTGACTTCGAACAAGTTGCGCAAGATCGTGTCTTGGCTGTTGGCCACCACCGACGTGTCCGTGTATTGGTCCATGATCACCTTGATGCACCACATGCATTCGGTGGCGGGACGGCCTTCGTCCACCGTATCTCGAAGCATGATGCCCACGTTCATGTTGCGGCGCACATACGACGGGGTCGGCGGCCACGATGGGTCGTCGTTCACGCTTCGCGACGCAATATACACGGCGTTGCCGACGTTGCGGCGCTTGACGATATGCAGGCGCTCCGACTTGACCTTTGAGTTGCCGTTCTTGTCCGGGTTTGGCAACGTCAAGTTCAAGATCGACCGGGTGTACTTAGTGTCGTTGTCGATCGCGTCGAGCACTTCGAACGATTCGGTCAAGGGAAAGTCCAGGTGGAATTGGCGCGACGAATATAGGTCCCAGATCTTGTCGGCGGCGCCGACAAAGTTGACGTGCGGAATCGTCAACCGCGAAAACACATTGATCGCGTCCTTGGCGACTTCGTACTGCACCGTCATGCCGAGGTACGTCATGTTTGGCACCAGCGGCGCGCGGAACAGTTGCTCGCCGTATTGAATGCTGTCCGTGCACATTTGCATCCCTTCGTCCGCGAGCTTTTGCAGTGTTTCACGGAAGGAGACAGTCGGCAGTTGGAAAAACGAAGACGGCATCGTCGGAGGCGGCATGAGGGCGGGCGCTGGCGGTGCGGACATGCCCATGGACGGCGACGACGTCAACATCTTGTTGAGGGACGGCGCGTTCAACAGAGGCTGCTTGGTGAAGTAGTCTTGCAGACGTTGGATGAACTTCATTTGTTCCATTAGCGTCTTGCGCAAGAACTCGTTTTCTTGGTCCACGCGCGCGCGAATCTCGGCATGCTGCTCCGCTTCTTGCTTCCACCCGATCTCCGTGTCGTGTTCCGATGGCTCCGAGCTCTGCAGAACTTCAATCTGCTCCTTCAAGTCCTTCACCTTGTCACGAAGCGCGACCAGTTCGTCCTTTTGGCGCTGGCGATGCTTCCGGGCGGCCTTAGCAATTTGGGCGCGACGACGGGCTTTGGGGTCACTCGAGTTTTCGTCGCCTCCCTTCGAGGACGTTGGACTGTCCGGGGCATCAGGGATCGATTGCGTCTCGCTGGGAGCTTTTCGCTTGCGCGACGCAGCGACAGCTGGTTTCGCCTTGGCTGCTTTGGGCGCGTTGTTTGTCGCAGCAGGCATGGGCGAGTGCGCGGCCGAGGACGAGAGAGATTGCATGCCACTGCCACCGCTTTGGGAATGCATGGCAGGGGGTGGTACATTCAAATAGCTCGTTTGGTTCATGTAGCTGTTTCCTTGGTCATATCCGCCGAGGTCATAGCCGTTGGACATCGGTGGCATGCCGCCCATGTTGAGCTGCGGGAGGCCGTTCATGTTCAATCCGCCGTTACTTCCGTTCATCGAATGGTGTCCATGCTGCTGGTTGCCACCATGATGTCCGGGGTGCTGTCCTGGATGCTGGTTGTGTTGACCGTGGCCACCGCCGCCGCCAAGGTGATTTCCATATCGATCCATGACGTGATTACTAAGCAGACGCGTAAGCCAGCGATGCCCTCTGATTACGGAATCAAATTCGATAATGACGGAACGGTAGGAAGAACGTTTTTACTGGCTACCAACGGCACTGCAATGGCGTCAACCATACAAAAGTCAAGTTTAATGGGGGTTTAAATGGCGTCTGCAAGAACCCTACCCCGCAAAAGCTAACCCAATCAAATCACATCATCGAGATGTACTCACTCTCTGATCGAGAAAAGTCGAATCTGAACAAAAGCTTACATAGTAAAACCAAGTCAACTCGTGCGTATTTATTTATATCCCATGATTCGTTGTAAACGACGCATTCCAGTACAGTACACTGAACCCGGATGCACTCGTGCAAGAACACCTCATAACTCGTTTGAACGATATGGATGTTATTCGTAGAACGTTAGTATTCATACACCCTGCATCCAGTGCACCACTTTGATACAGTACGTTCACAAGGGTACTTTACATACAGGAACAGTTTCTTTGAAAGCTACAGTACAGTACTGTAGCATATCGGTAGGTACATATAGATCAATTCGTTCAGCTGTGTTTAAAACACGTTTGTTTCATTTAAAACTAGCCAATCATATGGCTGTACTATATAGCCAATCAAGACGCCAATACGGAAAACATTTTATCCGGATGATCGAGGAGGGATAATTCGCATGGAGCACAACCATCGATTGGTTAATGCAGAATAGGATAGTGCACATACTATATTTTGTCCAAGTATAAATATGTATGTTATTGTATGTACGACCAAAGCTTAGTGTTCAAATCAGGCTTATTATATATTGATATGCCATGCGGTCCCTTTACATTTGGTCGTGCATGTGATTGAGAGCTTCCTGCTTAAGGCAGGGTGGCGCAGATTTTGCGACCGCAGATTGACAACATGCCGACCGTTGGAGTAAAGCGCGACGAATTGTTCGCGGCCATCGGCCAGACATTCACGGACGAAGAGTTCGATCATCTGTGCTTTGAGTTCGGCATCGAGCTGGATGACATCACGAGCGAGCGCCAGATCAAGCAAAAGGAGCAGGGCGTGAACGCCGCCATCGGCGCCGACGACACGGTCATCTACAAAATTGACGTACCAGCAAACCGATACGACTTGCTCTGTGTTGAAGGGATTGCGCGTGCGTTGCGCGTGTTCATGAAGAAGGAACTGCCGCCGGTGTTCCAAGTCGTCGCGGCCAAGAACCACGCCGTCCACCGCCTCACAGTCAAACACGGCCACGGCCTGGAAACGTCGCGTCCGTACGTCGTGTCGTGCGTGTTGCGCGGGGTCACGTTCACCCAGCCGCGCTACGACAGCTTCATCGACTTGCAAGACAAGTTGCACCAGAACATCTGCCGTCGCCGCACGCTGGTCGCCATCGGCACGCACGACTTGGACACGATCGAAGGTCCGTTCACGTACGAAGCGCAAGTGCCAACAGACATTTCGTTCGTCCCGCTCAGCCAGAGCCGCGAGTTCAACGCCAAGGAACTGCTTGATCATTACCGCACCAGTCCCGACGCCAAGCACCTCAAGCCGTACACCGACATCATCTACGACCTTCCCGCGTATCCCGTCATTCGCGACAGCAACGGCACCGTGTTGTCCCTGCCCCCGATCATCAACTCGGAGCATTCCAAGGTGCGTCTGTACATCTCGTCTGTCGTCACCCATGTCTTGTCGTCGCGAGTAGATCAAACTGTCGACGCGCAACGTGTTCGTCGAGTGCACGGCCACAGACATCACCAAGGCCAACGTCGTCTTGAACACGGTCATCGCCATGTTCTCCCAGTACTGCGACGTCCCATTCACGGTGGAACCCGTGGAAATCACGTACGACCGCGACGGCCACCGCGAAGTGACGCCGGACCTGTCCAACCGCCAAGTACGTCCACCACATGTCGTCGACTTGTCCAGATGTCCTTGAATTCGCCAGATGTCCTTCATGGCAACTCTTGTTGGAGATGGTTTTGAGTTTGAAGGTTCATAGTTGACGAGTCTGGTGAGTAGGTGGTCACTAAGGTGGACGACATCCACTCGATGCTGTTTGGCAAGCGTCCAGTGATCGACCTGGACGTCCAGCGCATCTGCGACTTGTGCGTCAAGATGCAGCTGGCGGCCACGTACCTTCCCGCCATCCACTCGATCGAGGTGCAAGTGCCGCCGACGCGGTCCGACATTTTGCATGCTGTGGACGTGATGGAGGACGTGGGCATCGCGTACGGCTTTGACAACATTCCCATGACGTTCCCGCCCACGCTCACGGTCGGCGGGGGCCAGCCGCTCAACAACCTGGGCGACCACCTCCGCAACGAGATCTCGCGCGCCGGGTACCTCGAACTGCTCACGCACGGATTGTGCTCGCATGACGAGAACTTTAAGCTGCTCAACCGCCCCGACGACGGCACGTCCGCGGTGGTGCTGTCCAACCCAGCTACGATCGAGTTTGAGGTAGATACTACTGTCGACATGACCCGTTATTTTTTTTTATATATATTTTTTTTTATATATATTGACAGATATATTGGATCTTGTGTATGGGGTAGGTTGTGCGCACAACCATGATCCCGGGGGTGCTCAAGACAGTGCAAAACAACAAGGGCTTGAGCTTCAAGGACGGACTCAAGTTGTTTGAAATCTCGGACGTGGTGGTGCTCGACCCGGCGGGTAGCGACGTGGGCGCGGCCAACATCCGCCGCCTCTGCGCGCTCTACACGGGCCAGACAGATGGCTTCGAAGTGATCCATGGGCTCGTGGATCGGGTGATGCAGCTGGTTGGCGTCCCGTGCGTGCTGGACCCGCACCACTCCCCCACCAACTACTACGCCATCGTCCCATCCGCCAGTACGTGGTTGTTCCTATAGAAAATGCGGAGAAACGTAAACACTGACAACACCCCCCACCTGTTTATGGCTGTAGATCCGACGTTCTTTGAAGGACGTTGCGCCGACATTGTGTGGCACTGCGACGGCGCCGCGACCAAGCTCGGAACGTTCGGCGTGCTGCACCCCCAAGTGCTCCACAACTACGAGCTGCTGTACCCGGCGTCGGTCGTTGAAATGGACATCCAACCGCTTGTGTAATGACTGGACACAACAACGACGATGATGGAGAGGATCATCATGTAGTTCGGAAACAATATATTTCAAATCGTTAAGATGGCAGACAATCGATATACGACCAATCAAAACCCACAACACAAGTCAAGTGACCAATCAAATACTACGTAGTAGTACGTACTGTATATATACTCTCAACACTGAATTAGTGTGTGATTTAAATTAGTGTGACAATGGACGATTCTTTTACATACAACAGTCAGGACAAAGAGTGGATCCATAGATTTGGTGAATCAACACAAAAGTCCAAATTTTGGGTAAAAGGACAATATACACTGTAGATAGAAGTAGATATCACTTTCAAAACCAAAATGCAAAGTGGGCGTTTCATTCATGGTTGGAGCATCGTATATTAGTCGACTATCGTAGTAGTACCTGGGCGTGGAATCGGGGGTTATATTTAGACTCGTCAAGATGAGCGAAAAGGCCAAGAAGGGAGGAGGCGAGTCGTGGGTCCAAGGCGATGCGCTGGACCGGGAGCTGGCGTCGCTCAAGCAGACGATTTCGCTGTGCAACCCAATCTTTCAAGGCCATGTCAACGACTGGTGCGCCCGTCGTTCTTCTTAGAGCTCAACCAGGACGACTTGTTGTAGGCAAAGCACTTCGCAAGTGAACCAGGCCATAGTGGACACGGAGAAAGCGCTCTTCGCGGCCCCCGCCAAGCCCTCCCGCGCCTCGAAAAAGGTCAAGCTCGTCGAACTCGATCGGTCGTTCAATACCACCCCCCTCGCCAAAGACAAGGACATTGCCATGTACTGTATCCAAACAATCTCATCCACTTCGTTTTGTCAAAACAACACTAATTCTAGTGAATATAGATTGCTAGCCCAAGCTCACGGGCCCCCGGCCGCCTCATCGGTACATCTCGCTCTGTGTGCATTATTGTTTTCAATACGAAATGTTGGATGTGTGACCATAAGAGTTTTTTGGCTGGCATGTAGGGTGGTATTGGTAGTCGTGGCAACAATCCCGACGACGGACGAGGGGTGGATGTGTACGTGCCATCCGCCGCCGCCGCGTCCAAGCCGGTTCCGAAAGCCAAACGGATGCACATGGACGGCATCTTGCATGGGCTGCCCGTGGCGTCCAACTACAAGCTGACGACGACAACTACCGACCATTTTGCATACAATGCCGAGATGTCGACCATGAACCGAGACAAGGACACGAGTCACTTTCGCAAGCGAGACTCGTACTCGGAATACGTCGAAGCCCGTGCCCGGTTTAGCAAAATGCACAGTGTCACATAACAACGTTAGCAGACAGATTCAAACAACGAACGACATACTTCAATCGAATGAATGGGTGTTGTTATTACTACTGTGTGGCCCTACAAGTACGTGGCTCCCCCCTCGTCCATGTCATCGTGGCCAGACGAGTCGGCGGCGGCGGCCGGCGTCGAACTCGCGGACATGGCCATGTCGTCAGACGCGACCGAGTGCCGTTCACTGACGAGACCGTCGGGTAGTGCGTCTGAATCTCCCGTGAACGGTAGTTGTTGGGTAGAGATGGCCAGTTCGAGAGCTCCGTCTGGCTCCGTTGACGACATGTCAACGGGGGTCGAGTCAGAGGTGCCGTTAACTTCGTCGTGAAATGTCTGCGATGTCGAGCTTTCAGTAGACAGTGGAAGGATCAAGTCGTCGCCGAGTCCAGAAGTCAAAGACGGTTCTTCCGTGGAGGGAGTGGGCGGACTGCTGCCACCCATGGGAGGTGTCAGATGCCGGGTGTCGGTGCCGTCGTCTACGTCTTGTGGGCGGCTGGTCGCCGATCTACCGGTGAGCACCATAGCAGCAGGGTCAAGCTCAGATTGAAGCACCCCCCCGCTGTGGTCATCTTGCAAAGGCGGCTGCCGTAACAGCATCGCGGGTGTCGCTAGGTCGGCTTCAATCTCACGACGAGCTGAACCACCATATGCCCTGCGCTCGTCGTCGTTCTGGTCGTCCTTGATTGCATTCGATCTATGATTCTTCTCCTGTAGGTCTTCTGTGCTACATGCATATTCGTCGTCGTTGGAGTTTGTGGAATACGTGGTGGCTTCTTCATCAAACACAGGCGTCCGTGCCGACTGCTGCCGTCGATCGCTTGTCCATGCATCTCCGAGCACGTCGGCTAAAGTGTCGGGGGTTGCCATCTACAGAAACGATAATACCATATGAACGACCAAACTCTAGCTACACGAAGGGACCAACCTGTTGCTGGATCTCATGCAGCGACTGCAGAAGGAACTCTCGATGTTTGAGCGACGTCACGCGCTCCTCGTCGGTCGGCACGAGCCGTTGAAACGTCATACTCGCGGCCGACGATTTCCTTGACAATCGTGCAACGGTTGACTTCTTGTGGGGCTTTTTCCGGTCGATTTGGGCGGAGGACGCCGCCACCCCCCCCGTGCCGTCACCTCGCAAGGTCTGGACGACGGTGTACGGATTCCGCACCGTCTTGGCCTTTCGCGGCGGCCCCGTCGCTTCTGACAGACTCGAGATGGAGGCGGCGGCGGTTGATGTAGTCAACTTGGACGCACTGTCGACCATGTGCCGCAGCGGATGGTGCTGTGCCAGCGTCATGGACGAGGCCGAGAGGTCGGCGAAGAAGCTGTCTTCCTTGGCCATGGTTGTTAACGCGTTGGCGGACAAGAGGGGGTTTGGCACCATGGTTGGCTGCTGCCGCCACGCTTCGGGAACGTACGCGGCCGCCGTGACGGGATGGTGGGGGTTGGTTGTTTGGTTGGGAGGGGGGGGCGAGGATCGTATGGTTGGGGCGGACGCCGACGATCGCAGTAATTCCGACGGCATCTGGCGCTCCACTTCGTCCAGCATGGTGTGGTCGATGCGCTGCGGCAGCGACGGCGGCGGTTTGAACGTGTACTGGCGTTTTGGCATGGCAGCAACTATCGACGAGGGGGACTTGCCCCCTTTCTGCGGCATCCACGCCGAGTTGGGCAGGGTGCTGGTGGACTTGACAAGACCGCCTTGTTTGAGCGGGGGGATGTCGCGTTGGGGGCGGAGCACCGCGGGGGCTTCTTGGCGTAGCGTGTTGACTTCGAGCGCTGACGTCGAGTAGTCGGCAAACACGAGAAAGCAGTCAGTGCACACTGTCGCTGTCTTGTACAAGAACACTGGGTCGTGGGAGAACCGGCCAAAGTCGTCGAGGGTCAGGTGCGGATGCAGGGAGCGCAGCATGGGGGGGATGGTCACGTCGGTTTCAGTGATGGGTTTGGAGACATTCGGACGACGGGGGGCGCCATGTTGTGATGACGACGACGACGGGAGGTGGGGGGCCGTGTCCCGGAGGATGCCGAACCCGACGCCGCCCGCCGCGTGGATGATGCTGTCATCCGGCGGCCACAGCACCGCCGCGGTCGGTCGCCGCAACATGTCGACCTTCAAAGCATGCAGCAGCTGTCGGAAATGCTCGAGGATTGCTTTGTACGTGACGGTGGAGCCTACGGACGCGTCGATGGACGCGCCGCAGGACCGACAAGTCGTAAACTGCTTGATCTTGGACTTCGGCTTCCCGTCGGGCATGACGTTCAAGTGCACGAACGACGGCACGTGCGCGTCGGCGTTGATGTCGAGTGGTTTGATCAAATCACATAACGTGGCAGCGTGAGCAAGACGAACGGATGACGACCACAACAGCCACACGTTGTCGTCTGAGTCCGTCTTGAGATGCAGCACCATGCGCGAGATCCGGTGCTTGTGAAACGACACTTCCATCACGTGGTCCACGATCTGCTCGCACAGGTACTGGATGTCCCCCGGGAGGATGGAGCCCCGGACAGGATCGGGGTTGCTGTACGCGTCGGCTCCGTCAAACGTCACGGCGCGCTCGTACAAGCCGTACCGGAGGTCGTGGAGCCGCCGCGCATTCGTCTTACGTTCCAAGAGGCACATCTTGGGCGTCCAAATCGCTCGAATCATGGCTATGAGATACAGTACTATCGATGAGACACTGGGTGCACACGAAACGTGCAAAGTTGGCGTTGTTGTTAAAGTCAACTAAGCTAACGTCTTGTTGGAACGATGGAAATGCATCAACGTTGTTGGCACAGTGTACGAGAAAGGGATTTCAAAGGACGCATGCGGCGACGTACAATTGCACGAGCCTTTGGGCACAACGAAGCGCTGCAACACGCCGTTGTGGATCTTTTGCCGAGCATACAAAAAGTCCCCTGCGTGTCCCGACATGTATGAGTGAACATGGAAATGCAAGAGTACGTACTGAGACCGTCGGCGTTGAAGTATTCGATGGTTGGTGCGTCTAGAAGTCCCAGTGCGTTAACGTTTATGACGCCGCCACCCACAACGACACGGAATGACCAGCATACGTTAACAGGGACGGCATGATGGCAATCGGTTGAGAGAGGACATACCGTTAAGCATGTAGATGTAGTACGCGACGATGTCAACGCCACAGGACTTTCGGCAAAACTCTTTTTCGATTTGCACATTGGTCAAGCTGGCCTTGACTTTCTTCTTGACCTTGCCAGACGTGCTCGTAAAGTACCAGAACGCGGGCTGCGTGAACTTGTACACGACTGTGTCTGGGATGAGCAGGGACGGCCCGCCGCCAAACTCGTCTTTGCACCACAGGTAGTAGAAGAGGTTCTCCACGACGCCATCGCCTTCGAGGCCCCAGTTCGCCTCGTGCTCCATGGAGAAACGATTCGTGATGATGTTGAAACGGTTGTCGACAAAGTATCGAAAAGTTCCCTTCCCAAACGTATTCTTGTCCGTTTTGGCTGTACTTTATAGAAAGGTTTGAACCGGCACTCGGTTCAGATCTTTGCCTGAAACGGCCAGCCGACAAAAGGGGAGAATCATGGGCAATCAGCTATGCGGATGCTGTCGTCCAGGCCCCGCGCTGGACGAAGACTTGAATGGACTCTTGTCTCCGCGGAACGAATATGTTCCTCCGACGACCTGCACGGTTCAGCGCACGGTGCTTAGAGTGTCGCATCCCGCGTCGCCACGGCAACCGGACGGAAATGTCAAGCATCACCGTGAAGGAACCAACAGCACTCCCCGCAACAAGATCGAGGAACCTCGTGATGAAGAAGTTACATCCAGCTCGTCGACTGAGGTCGTGCCGTCAGCGGGGGAGGATCGCGTGCATAGCCCGAAACAGCAGCACAAACAAATCCACAACCGACATCATCATGCTGCCGACAAAGAGGAAAAAGTCGGAGAAGGCCACGAGCACGTTCATCACGAGCGACACCATCGCATACGATCGCATCACGACTCGGAAGGCGGCGGTGGGTCGGGGCGTTCCTTGGACTCTAGCAACAGCTCGTTGTTGGACTCACCTACACCGTCCACCGACGGCGACGGCTGGACGACCGCCATGTCCCCCAGCTCCAAGAAGAAGTCCAAGCGCAAAGCCAAGTACGGCCGCGCCAACTACCGCGCCGACTCGACCAAGCGCAACGTCGATTAACCCCCCACGTATTATTGTCCCATATGTACTGTAACACGACCCCCATCAATTAACAGTAAGGTGCTCTCATCACGTCGTGTTCAACGACGACATGCCGTTCGTCTACTTTGGAATGTGTTGGATGTACTGCAACAACTGGCCTTCCGTGAGGCTGCCATCGAGCCCGCCCATCATCATCATGCTGGCATCCGTGACAAACTTGAACACTGGTTCATCTGCTTCAAACCCGCCGACGCCGTACGTGGCTTGCTTGGGCGTGAAGATGAGCCCTTCCACGTCATGGGTCACCTTGGGGATGAAGTTCCGAAGCAGATGCTCCGTCTTGTCAAGGCGAAAGTGATCTTTCATGCGCACGCGGAACGATTCGTCGGCGCCTTCCAGCGTTTTGTCCTACCAATATCAGGGTCACAACAACATGAACGTACGTCGACACATGAACGGTCATATCGTAAGTACCGTTTTGCGAGGAAGGATGATTTCATTCTGGAGGCACTGCAGCCGCTTCTCCAGCTTGCTCTTGTACACGGACGCCCCTTCCCACGCAATCAGGTCGAACGCGAGGAAGCGCCGCACCACCGCGCCGCCGTCCCGATCCAAAACCAGCACGCCGTCCACCAACGTCTTGTCTGTGTTTTCATGCTAGATACAAACGTCATGAGTCCTTGGATTCGTTGCTGGCATCGTAGCAACAAGTACAACATGGGGATTATTGGTGGTCGTCGGTTACCAGCGCTCGTTTTCGTGGAAACTTGACGTTGATCTTGGTAAATGTTTGAGCCCGAGACACGAGGTAGTTGGCGTCCTTGAGGGCTAGAATCAAGCATCGCGTTCTATACCCCCACATGAGGTGTTTGGTGGATATATATGTACTAATATCATTCCAAATGCAAGGCAAATATATATATATGTATATTCATAGATGATCTAGATCCAACATAAATGCATATATATATATATATTTCAAGATGAAATGCAATATATTTCACGATATAAAATGATACATATAGTTCAAGATGGAATGCATATATATTGAGTTTACATAGATTATCTAGATCGAACATAAATGCATATATATATATATATATATATATATCAAGATGGAACGCGTAGATATATATATTTCAAGATGAAATGCATATATATTTCACGATATAAAATGATACATATCGTTCAAGATGGAATGCATATATATATATTCAGTTTACATACCCACGAGCCCGCCACGTGACGAGATATTCCTTGGTCAACGACCCCGGCGCTCTTCTAGTTGGGTCGCGAATGTGAATCTTGGTCAAAGATGTGGCCTACACAATCAATGGACATGCAACTACTGAATCTTTGGAACAAGAGCAAACGAATGAACGTACTTCGCAGCCGGGAAAGCCGTCCGAGAGGCCGCCCGTGAGCTCCGCCACCACCGCCACGAGGCGTTCGTGCTCGGCCGAGTCGACGGGCACGGCATCCCCGAACGGAAACGGCTCCACGTCGTCCTCCCACGTCCGGATCTTTCGCTTTTTGGTCAGGGGCTTCTTCGCGACAGGCGGCGGCATGTGAAACACTGGAGGGGCCGCCGGTTTGTAGCTCGGATGATGATGCGACGCCGTGGACGGCATGCTGCTTGGTGGAGGGGGATAGGAGGCTGCCGGTTTTGGAGGCGCGATCGCCGCCGACTGGCTACGAACGAACGGCTGCGCCTTGTCGTCGTCGGTCAAGATGTCGGCGCCGATGGCCTCGGGCGAGTCGTCCGCGGCTACAGGGTCCCACGATGGCGGATCAGGCCGCCGAATCCGCAGGCCTTGCGGTTTGAGCGTGGAATAGTACCGCTTGTACAGTACCTACTTGGATGATCAGGCTTTGACGAGAAGGATATGCGTACTTCCAAGCACGCAGTCGAGTAAATGCCCACGGGGTTGGTCTTCTTGTATGCTTCGAGAGCATCGTTCAACGAGAGTCCCTTCAGTTCCACCAAGTAGCTACGATGACATGATGTCAAGCCGACGACGACGACTTTGAGGAGGTTCGTACCACACGATGAGAAAGGCCGACGTGTTGTAGCCCCGCGCCCCAAAGACAGCAATGTTCTCGTCGCATCGATCGCCAGCGAAATGCTGCTGAACACTCTGGAGAAACTTGTTGACGAACGATTTGGATGGGACGATCTCGGTTGCAGACGCCGCATCATGGACGGCGTCGTTGTCAGTGTCAGCGGGGATCTTGACGTACTCGACGTCCCAATCGTTCCATTCCCTGTGTTTCGCGCCGTCAACACCTCACCATCCCTTGAAATACGTATACGACACCAGAGCGACGTACCCTCGTTCATGGTAGTATACCCCGTTACCAGACGCATCAATGACCGTTGCCACGTTGAACACCTTTCCTCGCTTTGCCTGTTCAATCAGCCCTTCCATGAGGTCCGTGGGCGTGGCACCTTTGAACGAGCTGTCGTAGTGCACTTCGTACAACGTCGACAATGGTGGACGGATCGGCACGATGTTCTCGACCAAACCTCCAAATGGAGGGGTCTTCTGATATACCGACCATTCATGATCGTTCCATTGAAGCAGCCGTCTTCCGCCGGACGACGACGACGCCGCCGCCTTTCCTTGGCGCTTGATTGCCGCTTGAATCCGCTCCATGTTCTCGTCCTTTGCCGCCTTCTTTCGATTAAACTCTCTGCGGAATGTGATTGGCTGGATTTGAATTGACTCTATTTCGTTGGCTGAAATTCCACGGCAAACAACCTTTTACATTTAATTATATCTGGCGTGATATTCCGTTTCAGAGGTTCGGCCAAGGAAGCGTTCTTGCAATGTCATTTTTGCATCCGTAGTGCGATGGCTACACGTCGTTGGAGGCTACATCTTGACGCATGCGCTGGTACGATGCAAACTGGGTGATGTCCACGCCAAAGTCGGAAGCAATCCTTTCCATTCAACCAACGGTCAATGGGCTATCATCCTTGTGACAATGCTTACCTCGCGAGCTCTTGCATGTCCAGAAACAACTGCCGCCGCATCTTGTCCGTGTCCGAGACGGCGTCATCCACCAATGCAGACGACGTTTGCTAGATTACCATCCACTTGTCATAGTATGATGCCTTGGTAATAACACATGTACCATCATCAGGCGCTGGTTCTTGCGGCTTTTCAGCGACTCCTCCAATTCCGTGGCCGACTTGAGCAGATCCAACGCCGCCGACGCGTACGAGTCCATCGTGGTCGAGAGCACGTCCGACGCCAGCGGATGCGTCCCCACGTCCTCGCGCCACTTGGCCAGAAACTCGTCCAACGGCCGGGTCACCGTCGCCACGTACGTCGACGGCGTCGTGGGCATGGGTTTGTTGGTCATTTGATACTGGCCTTTGATCGTTCTAGACAAACGCCCTTGTCATGGTATCCGCTTTGTGTTACTAGTATTACTATCCAACATGCGACTACATACTAGTAGTATGTACATATACATACCTCACCGCCGGCAACACCTTTTTGCACTCGTCCGACACCAGCACGGCCACAGTGTCCCAGCATGACCGCTCCATGCGCGCCAATTCGAAAACGTGCTAACTCCCATATGAGAATATTCGAAAAAGTGGTCAAAATATATTCTAAAAATAATATTTTCATATGTAGTACTAATAGTACCAGTTTTCGAAAAGTGGTCAAAATATATTTTAAAAATAATATTTTCATATGTAGTACTAATAGTACCAGGTTCGAAAAGTGGTCAAAATATTTAAAAATAATATTTTCACGTAGTATTAATACCAGAAGCAGGTAATAGTCGTCCCATTCGATTAAATTGGTCATGTATGGAGATAGAATATATTTCATTGTCATTTTTGCATATCGATTCTCTCAATCACGTTAGCTACTCAAACTACTATAGCATGGATAACCATACTAATCTAAAGTGTGGTTATAGTATACTACTACCTACTGTACCTCTTCCACCAATTTCAATGCAAACTCGTTGGCGTCGTGGTCTTCGTCAGCTGATATGGCCTCAAGCGGCACTCGCGACGCTAGCACCCGCACCAAGTCGCGCGTCACCTGAGCGACATTACATTCCGATGGATGATTCTACATACACCCTAGTTGTACATACATGCATCCCGAGGCGGTGCAGGTCACTGCCCAGACAATAGACATCGTCGCAGCTCGTGAGTCCTGGGTGGTGGACGTCCGCGAACAAGGTGGCGGTGGTCTTGGAAGCATTGGCGACCAGCGCCACCGCCGACTCGAGCGGGTCCCGCCAGTACGCCATGTACTGCGACAGCACCGTGAGCGAATACCTCGCCGATGCAGCGACGAGTGGCGCCAGCACGACGCCGTCCGCCCACGTCTTGACGAGTACGTGCCACGTCGCCGTCGTCACTGGAAACGCAAACGTCGAGTCCACCACGGGCCGCGGCGTCGCTTTGCTTGCGGCCAACACTTGATTGAGTTCATTTTGACGCAACTACGTATCGCCATTCGCGGGTAACAAGGGCGACCATCCAATGCGACCAATATGTATGATGGACAGATGGAATGTGTAGGTCCAGAGAGATGGATGTGAAAATAGAGCGTACAGTACCTACCTGCATGTACACGACAAGGTTCCACGAGTCGCGGAACGGCTGGACGTGGGTCGAGCGGAAGCGAAGGGCGGCACCGGGCGACAGACACAGCTGCTCCAGCGAAGCCACGAACGACATGGACGTGGTAAAGTTCTACGCAAATACATGCACGTACCACGATTAAGCCGACCGATTTCGATCGATCATGGAGGAAGAGCAGATGATTGAGACATGGTAAATGCTCAACTAGTCATATAATAAAGAGAGTAGACGGGGATACATGGACGGACGTGATGGAATCGATCCGGGTTGGCTGGCGTAAACACTTCGCCCAGCTTACTGCGCATCGTGTCGAGCACGGGCGTCCATACCTACCTAATATTAGTCCATCCATCCATTCCCACCTACCTCCTTTGGCATGGTGGACGTACACTTTGGCCCAATAGATCGACGCTGTTGGTCGCGTCGCCGCCCTGACACACGGCCAGCGCAAGCACCCCCCCCAGCGTCCGCTCGACGAACGTCAGCACGCTCGCGTACATTCCCGACAGGCCTTCGCAGGACCCGCGGTGCTTTCCATCGAGTCGTCCCCGCGTCATTGTCTCGTCTAGGAAGGGTTGCATGACCAGGCGCGCCACCATGGACTCGGCCGTGGACGCGTCCTCCAGCAGCACGTACGCCCGGAGGAGGTGGGAGACGTTGGCAGTGTTGATCGTGTGTTCCCGCGCGTAAAAGCTGTCGGGCACGATCTCTGTCGCGAGTTCCGCCTATCGACATATGCAAGCCATGGCATGAAGGCGACAAGGCCGAGGGATTGTGTGACGAAATGGAGTGTCCAAGGGTTACTACCTCCAGACGGTGGTGCAGCGTGCGTTCGACATGGGCTAGTCGAGGCTCCTCGGCCTACAATTGCATGCAATCCTGGAGCTAAATGATCGGATGAATGGCCACAATACGTACCAAGATTGAAGGAATGTCCAGTCCTTGGGCGAGGAGGCTGCCGAGTTCGAGGACGAGTCGCGCGGAACGCTCTAGCCGGATGGATTGCTCGGTCGAGGTGAACATGGCAGAAGCAGCATCACATGCATCTGACGTGGTGTTTCCAGCTGGCGTAATGCCAAGCAGCGACTCGACTGCGTGGAACTTTTCGGCAATTCTACAATGCTATCGGTGAATGTTGGGAAGGATGCACTCGGGCGACAGGTACGTACGTGATGCTCAGCTGAAGATTGGCCTTTTGGGTCTGCAGCTCGGTCAACTCTGCCACGTGCACCTCTGCTTTTTGCACGAGTGCATGCTACCACAACAAGCAGCCTCATCAGGAGTGTTGGAGATGCGACGGAACAAACCGCAGCGGTTTTCACAGCATGGACACGTTCTAGGATCTGAAGCAACGGACTTCGTAAGGACAATACAGCGCTGTTCACGCCTTTGAGCTTGACGGACAATTGCAGGAACTCAGCGTAGTCTTTGTCGATGATCGCGACGAGCTACTGTTGCGTCACGAAGGGTACAGCGAATCATGGTACGTACCTGGTTCTCCAGAGACTGCATGAGCTTCTCCAGGTCGTGGTGCACTTGCACAATGGGGCTGCGACTTTGGCATTCCTCCAAGAACGTCGCAGCATGGAAGTCATCCGCCTCGAACGCCGCTTCCTCAAAGCAGTACCCCATCGTTGCTTTTTTATTTGGCATCTCACCTCAGTCAAGTTATCCGGTATCACATCCGGATACGCTATATTTGCAATAGAACATTGTAGTAATACTAGCTGACTCCTACTAGTACTCTGGCATGAAATTTCTAGAATGGAAGATCCGGATAACGTTACATCATTCTAATCTCCGGATTTCACATTATTGCCACTTGGCATTTCATTTTTCGCCGAGTAAGGAGCGGCCGTCTTCGCCTCTTCAGCGAACTTTTCCGCCCTCTGGATCCGTCGGTCACACCCATAGCTGAACATTCCTCTTCAAGCACACAAGTGACCTATGAGTTCCGACGAGTCCACGACGACCGCTGCTCCGATCTCGGCGCTGCACTCGAATATCCGCGATAAGGGCACCAACGCATACTACTACGCGCACAAGAAACGTTCGGGTGCCGACGACCATCAATGGGATGGCCAGTGTGCTCCTCGATTGATTGCCACATCTGAGAGTTCAATTGCAGTGTCCACAGACCGCCCCATCACCGCCTACGCGTGGTCGGACGGCAAGAAAAGCGCGACTGTATACATCGACGTGCCGGCGATCGGTACCCACCCCGATGATTTGATCACGTTGGACTGGTCAGCACGGTCGGTGGACGTGCGCATCCGCGAATTCGATCCATCGGGCGCTGACCTCGTGTTCAAGATCAAATACTTGTACGAAGAGGTGATGGCGGTGACGTTGAAGAAAAAGGACGACAAGCTCGTGTTGCGGCTGACCAAGGCCAAGGAGCTTACATGGTACACTTTGAAGAAAGATCACCCTTGATTCCGTCTCGTATGCTCTTCAACGAACGTCCCGTCGTCATCTCTCACGACTCCAACGTCCTTGCTTGGCTCCCGCTCAAACTAAACACATACTGTACACTTACTAGCTCAACCACGAGCCCCCTTCTTCATACTTATCTAGGCAAGGAATCTATTGCATGTCATCTGTTGTATACCACGAGTCTTTGGGCGTATGTCTATGCCTTGTACACTTGTTCTGTGAACGACGGCACGGGCATAAAGTACGTCTGTTCGAGCGCATCCACAAATCGCTTGGCATATTGTTTGGGCTGGACGACCGTGGGCGCCGCCTGGCCAGCGATCATGGTCACGCTTTTGCCCACGCTCTCCATGCGCTTGAGAAAGTCAAAGTGCCGCAGGTAGTCGATGATACCGACGAGGAGCACGCGGTTGGTCGTCACGTCGTGGTTGGTACCGTCGTGGTCGTCGACGTTAACCGGGACCTCGGGCGCGTACCCAATCACGAGCGAGTAGTCCATGATGTTGTTGTCACTGAGAAACTGCACGTCGTTCCGGATGGCTTCGACGAGCTTATCGTACGATCGACAGTGCAGCGGGCACGGGAGGCCGAGGTGCCGCTCGAGAAAGTTGCCGTCGAGGAGCACGTCGTGGGGCGGGTCCAGGTACCGGTTGCGCGTGCTGCCCTTCAAGTCGTACACGTGGTCGATTTGGGTCGTGGCTTTGGAAAACACGTTTTCCATCACGACCAAGTGCTCGGTCCACCGCTTCGTCGTGACCGTAAACACCCCCACGAGTTTGCTCAAGACGCTGTCCACCCCGTCAAAGTGCACTTTTGCAATGTATGCAAAGTACGACACGGCCGACGCTAGAAAGCTCTACACGACAACGATGTCACATATAGACGCTTCTGGAACGTTGTCACAAGTAGTTTGTACCTGTAGCTCCACTTGGCTAATGTACTTGATCACAAACCGATCGTCGGCCGTACGGAAAAACGTCGCGCCCGACTTGCCCCCCTTGGCACTCCAGTGCTCACTCGTAGCCAACGACTTGATAAAGTCCACCGTATCGCCGTAGAACAACGTGCGCAGTGCTTCAAACTATACAAGAGTATAAAACGTCATGATGGAGTATAAAACGTGTCATGGTGGAAAATAAAACGTGTCATGGTGGAGTATATAACGTGTCATGGTGGATGTATATAACGTGTCATGGTGGAGTATATAACGTGTGTCATGGTGGAGTATATAACGTGTCAAGGTGAAGTATATAACGTGTCAAGGTGAAGTATAAAACGTGTGATGATGGAGTATATAACGTGTCATGATGGATGTATTATAGTACCTGAACGGCATAGTGCACTTGGCACATAAAGTCAACGTCACTGGCCGCAAACTTGAGCTTCACGGTGGTGTCGACGGCCGACTTCAATCGATCCTCCACGCCCGCCTGGTGCTGCCACGTCACGGAACTTTGCGGGGCGATCCCTCCTTGGACGGCAACTTCGGCCGCGTACTCTGTCGAGTTGAGCGCGTACGCCACGTATGAGAAGCGCAGGTGGTCGTATACAAACACGACGCGGTGGTGGGCCCCCGCCGGAAGAAACGGATGGCCCCCCGCGAACGCCTCGGGCACGTCGTGGTGCCGATCGGCCATCGGTTCATCCTTCTTGTCCCCGAGGAGGATCGCCCCCAACGAGTTGCTCAGGGCTGTGGTCCACGACACCGGCGACTCAGCGCCCATCGTCGGCTCCTTGACAGTGATGGAAAGTGGAGGCAGTTCAAGTTCGGCTTCGAGTGTCGACACGCCGCCTTCCAGCTCGCCGACCACCGACGGCACTCTGGCGGGGGTTGGCACCGGTCCTTCCACCTCTCCGTTCATGCTCGTCGTGGCATCGGACGTGTCCTCGGGCGTCGCGTTGGCCGACATCGTAGCAGTGATCTTGTGCAACATCGTCGACCATTCGCAACACGAGTGGTAGAACGCCCGGCGCACCGAGTTGGCATCCACCTACATACACCACCGTCCGTGCAGCAATGTCGTAAAAACGATATCTCACTTTTGGAAAATGATATATATCATCCCTACCACAAACGTAGCGCCGCCCGACTCGGCCAAAACTTCGCCTAGCCCTTCCAACAAGGTCAAGTCGGCCAAGTACCCCGTCTGCGACGTCCGCACGAGCAGCTCCAAGCACATGACGTCTCGAGAAGCGGCGGCGGCTGGCAGCGCCTTGATCTTGCGGAGAAGCGCCGCGAAATGGTCGGCCACGGCGGCCTTGAGCGCCGTCGCTTGCTGGCGCTGGTGGTCGACATACCACCGCTGGTCAAAGTGCAAACAATTGTCGTGCTGGATGTACCACGGTTCGTGCTGCATGTATTCGACGCGAATCGCCCGTTTCCCACACTTAAAGTAGAGCAGGTGCTGGGTTTGTCCGTCGTGGGGACAGCCCACGTCGTCCTCCGTGGGGGCTCCGACCGCGTCATTCCCTTCGACAGGTGCCGCTTCGGCCGCCGGAGAAGTCGACGAGCCCACTCGAGGACGAAGTAGGCACGACGTCGCTTGCGGCCCCGGGACTCTGAAAATGGTCTCCAAGAATCGGGCAAATGAAAACTTGAGCGTCGACACGGGCAGCAACCGCGGCGGGGTGACCATCCTGGAGCATTCGAGGCAATGCCGCCAAAAGAAGATGGTCGGCCCCTTTGCATCGTCGTCCACACACGTGCCGTGGGACGGCGGCGGCTGCGGTGTCGGCGGTGGTTGGGTGTCTGCGGCATGCTGCCCTTCCGTCCGCTCGATCTCGGACCGCGCCAGGTCTGGCATTCGCTCGGTCGAGATGAGCACTGTGCCGTTGAGGAAACTGTACGCTTCCAAGTGTTCGATCAACGGCACTTTGCAGTTTGGCACCTACATCCACATACATCTAAGCACACAAATAGTGTCTGCATACTCTTCCCCCCCAATATATATATATATCCACAGCACTTACCTGGCACTTGGTCGACGAGTCGATGCCTTCTTTCTGCAAATACGACCCCAACGCCTTGTCGTGCTTGGAGTAGAACGCAACTTTGTGCGGCTGCGGGCGACTGCACTGCGAGAACTTTGGCTTGTGCACTTCGTCCCGATGCTTGAGCATGTACTTGATCACTTGGACAGCCCATGCATTCTCGTTCTCGTCCAGACTTGGCACGGGGTACGCGAGGTCGCTCAAGGCTTGCGCGCGAAGCATGAGGTCATACGCTTGTGGGGCCACCTGCAGCACCAGCGCCTTGAGTGCCCGCAGCACGGCTTTGTTGGGACCTTTCAATAAGATCGTGCACCCCGCCGACGCATCGCAGCCATCCACGATCAAAATCGAATCTCGTTTCCAACCTCCCGCCTCCTTTGTCTACCATCCACACACACACACACACACATCAGCATATATATATATATATATATTCCTCTATATATATAGATATATATACATGCCAAATCGATGGGATTTCGCACATGCAAGCATTCTTGTGCATCCATGTTATGTACACAAACATGATGTAATGACATACACATTACGTACCGGGTCGACGACTTTGGTAGGGACAACCGCAAACGACCGGCACGACGTGCCGAGCACACTCGTGTCCTCTGGTCGCATGGCATCGATGGACGGCACCATGGTGGCCCGCGTGAGCCGCGCCAGCCGCTGGAGCGTCGTGCCCTTGACCTTGAGCACCAGCGCAATGTTGTGCTGCTGCAGCTGGTCCTGCGCCAGCCGCGACACGCTGTGCTCGACAAACACGACGGTCGGATTCAGCGACAGGATCTTGTCCACCAGCTGCTGCGCGTACGCGGCCTCGTCGTTGATCAGGTCCTCAAACTTGGTCAGTTTCGCCGACTCACGGTCCGTGACGATGCTGCCGCCCAGCAGCAGCACGCGCGGGTGCTCCAGCCACCGCGGCGCCTTCTTGTGGCTCACGTTCTTTCGACACACGATGCCGTGAATCACTTGGCCGTGGACCAATGAAGATGAAGTTGGTGCGGTGTCGTCGTCGGGGACTTCTGCAATCGTCTTGACGTGGAGAAGGTCTTGGTGGTTGAACATCCCGTCCACCGCGTTCCGGCTGTACGTGGCCCGCACCAGCAGCGCCGTCGTGTCTTCCACGAGGCGCTCCAGCTCCCCCAGCACCGCGCGGCGGTCGGCCGCGTCCGGCAGGAGGGTGCCCATCGTGTCTTCCAACGCCCGAGCCAGCAGCTTACGAATTTGCCGTCGACTGGCCATCTATAGAAAGTACACACATGCACTAGTTTAATCGAGGGCAAACACACACATATATATATGGCCTTCTATATGAAGTGGACAATGCGAGCGAGTGTACCTGGTGGGCTTCGAGCGGCGTCGCCGGATCGAATGGCGGCGTGTGGTCACTCAAGGGCCACTGGTGGCCATCGATTGTTCCGTCGGTAAAGCTTGGTCGCGCAGAACTCGCCTTGGACTTGGTCGACGACAGCGGCGGCGGCGAGTGGCAGCAGTCGGGGTACCGGTGGTGGTGGTACTCGTCCGGGTACCCGATGCTGCTGCTCCGTCCGCCTTCGCCGTCTTCGTCGACGATTTCAAGCATCGACGACGACGACTTGTCCAAGTGCTCTTCTGCGTCGTGGATGGCTTTGAGCGCCGACGCAAGTTCGAAACTCGGACGTCGGGACAAGTGCTGGTACAGCGAGTTAGTGCGAACGGTCGCGGCATCTGCGACGCCGTCGGACAACGTTCCGACGTCCAACTCGAGGTCAAAGCCAGCAATGTTGCCGTAATCAAACACGGTTTGGCTCACGAGTGGACTCATCAGCCCCGGCGGAAAGTCCGCGGCTACCTCCGTCACGTTCTGGTTGGTCAATGTCGTGCGCTGGTGGCACCGCTTGCAGTTGCGGACGTGGGTCTTGACGCCCTGCTCGATGGCTTCCGCCGCGTATGGACTGCACGAATGGCAAAAGATACCGCCGCACGCACGGCAGTGGTGTCGCCGCCGGAAGATGTTGAATGACTCGCCGCAGTCCGAGCACACCTACATCCTCGTGAGGACAATATATATTATATACATGCCACATGGAGGAACACACAACCTTGCAGACTTTATCAGGCATCCAGTTTTGCGTCGTCGCGGGGGGCGATGTCGCCGCCGCCGCCTTGGGGACTGTCAACGGCAAACCGGGTACTGATGGAAGGACATGGGCCGTAGGAGACGGTCGCGCGGTAGATGCAGGGTGCCGCGATCCGTCGGAGAAGAGTTCCTATGGATCGTTATGCGTTAGTGTCGTGTAGACGTACATTTACGATCATACAGCGACACAGCCGGGTATCCACGTACCTCGACATTGGACACCATGCCAGGTTGCGGGAAGCTTGTTAGCCTAGACACAAGTCAGATGCATGGAGTCGCGACAAGAAGGTTGTCGTTTCCACGATATACCGTTTCTCGGTGGGAGCTTGCTGGGCGAAGAGTGGGTTCACCACCGCATGGGCTTGGGTTGCACCGTTGGGACGCGAGGAGGCCGGTGACGCTGTCCCTTGGTTCAAGGGAACTGCGTACTTCGTCAGTTCGATTGAGACCTTGGCGTCAGCTGGTGATTCTCCATGTGAGGATGCCATGTTCGTGTCCGTGGGGAATCGGTCGGCGGACGCAGGAGTCTACGCCAACAAGCTTATCGGCACTTTTGGTAGACTAAACTGCGAGCCACAATGTGATAAGGGTAACAAGTGGAATTATCCGGATAAGTTGAAGAAATTCCACAATTACAGTAAAATAATACTACTGTATTATACATGTCGTCATTCCCCTCCACTTCCGTAATTAAATACCGTGCAAAGCCAATATCCGGATACACCTCTGTTACAAAAAACTTGATGCCTGGTCACACCATGCAAAACATGACTCGTCCCTTGAGTACGCCCGCCTTGATCCCGCCTGTGGACAGCGCCTCCTCAAACGGCATGTGGACATTGAGCTTCACGAAAGCCGCATCTAAGCTAAGCGCACACTGACCGAGGCTCATGGTGGGGCCGCGAATGTCGAGCGCAATGTGCATATGCCGCTTGGCCTGCGCGAAACATCGATGGACGACTCCTTTCTCGCGCACTGACATCCAGGGCACCCGCATATGATTCAGGTACTTGGAGCGCCCGTCCGCTGACGACCCGCCGACTAGTCCCATACGCCATGACGCGGCCAATTGATGCAGCTACGATGCACGTCGTTCGCACGCCATCCATGAGAGTTGTGTTACCTTTCGCTGCTCCGCAAAGATATCTTCCAAGGGCAATGGAAACAACGTGCATAACTCAATGTCTGCATCTACTTATCGTGTCACGAGACGCATGGGGGTCCACATGATGTCAACTTACATTGCTTCGGGTCATCCCATTTCTGCGACAGAATGTCATCGCTACTGCCGCGGCGAACGTCCGACGGCTTCTTTGTCGGCATCCATCGCAGTTGGTTGAGCACGATGATGCATTCCCGGACTCCTTGTACACCCTGCAACATATACTCACTCCATAAGCACAAATCTCATCACTAAGCCAGCATGCACAGCATGCACAACTGCTTGCCGTCATGGAGGCCCGGTCGAGCCAGTGCCGATCTCCATCGTCAGGCACTTCCAGCACCACGTCGCGCACACGGTCGTCCTCTTCCACCATGGCCGTTCCGTCCAGCGCATGCGGCGGCGGCGGCGATGGGAGCGGGAAGCGATGTGCCTTGGTCGTGATGTGAAACACACAGCTCACTGGCTTGTGGTCGGACACGTCGATGCTTTCATGGCATCGATACTCGGTGCATTCCAGGTCGCCCTATCATCAACGACAGGACGGTGTAGGACATGATGCATTCGTTGGTCGTCGAGCCTCGTACCTCGACATCCGCCAGCGAGTGATACAAGATGCGGTCAGTGTACGAAGGCACGCGGGGGCCGCCGCCGTTGGCCGCTTCCAACGAATAGGCCGACGCCACATCACATGACGTGAGCAAAGACGTATGTCGCAGGCGCCGAAACGTCGGGGGAAACGTGATCACGGCCTCGTCAAACCCGGCAAATGCCTGCGACAACATGTCATGCCATATCTCGACTCCCAATGGATGTTACCAAGCCATCCTCCATGCACATGAGCAGTTCGTCGTGCTTGAGCACGGGGGTCCAAGCCCCCACCGTCCGTCGGTGGAAGCGGGTCCGTCGATCGGGCGGTGTCGACGAGAGGTGGTGGTGGCTGGACGACACGCTGGACGGGGAGCCCGCCAACGGGAGCTGGGGCACCGGGGGGAACGACGACAAGATGGTCATCCCAGAAGAATCCGGTGGCGACTGGGCCGAAAGCCGTTGCTGGAGCGGCCACTTTTTCTGGGACAGGGCGTGTGCGACGAGGTCCACGACCTCGTGGGGGGATGCGTGGAACCGCGTGAGGCGGTAGTTGAGGTCCCCCATGACGATCGTGTGGTGGTGGAGCGACGGAAACTCGACGCCCATGGCGTCCCCACTGAGGTGGAGCGACTGCCAAATGAGCGTCGCGTCTTCGTTGCGCCGCTCCATGTTGGACTTACCCTGTCGTTCGTACGAACCGATGATATGTGACGTTATCACTTTAACTAGTGAGTCCTACTACTACCTTCGAGTCGGACGACAGGTGGCACGACACGACGGCAATCGACGTGTCCAAGTACCGAAACGCAAACCCGACGCCGCCCTTGTTGGACGTTCGAAAGTTGAGCGTCTTGCCGCAATTCACCTATTCAAGTTTAGTCACTTATATAGCCCTCGACAAACGCATACTTCGGACGTCGACGGAGTCGGCATGTAAAAGTTGCCATTGTCCACGTCCGTCTCGGGCACAAACACTGCGATCCCAATGAACCCGTGGTACCCCAACACGGTGTTCTTGGATCCGATATCGCGGCTGTACTCGGCAAACGTTGTGTGGGTGCAGCGCTCGAGGAACCCTTTGACGGCCGCGCGCAGTTCGGTCAAGTGCAAGCACTCCTGCACCCCAATCACATACACGTCGTGGCCAAGGGGAATCCACTGCGCCTATTGTAGACAGTATGCATGATGATGGGGGGGGAGAGTAGACGAACCATGTCGTCCGGGGCGTTGCCTTCGCCAAGGTTAAACGTAGTTGCAAAAACCGAGATGGTTACACCGGGCACGTCGTCCCTGATGAACGAGGTGGACAATTCGCTGCAGTTGTTGGTCATGCGAGTGCCGCTGCCTCGTGTGTCGACGCCAAAAACCAACCGGCGCACCGCTTGCACGACCCCCCCGTACACTATCGCATTCAGCAGTCCTATCAAATAGAATAGAGGCATCGTCAGTGTAGCAAGGTCTCACCATGTGGACGATGGAAGAGGTATCCAATCATAATGGTATAACGAGGAAGGTACTTGCCTTGGGAATTGTTAAACGAAATGTGCACGACAAACAGCTCGTAGATGGATTCGCCTCGAAAGAACTGAACCACTGCGCGCAACACACAAGAGTGAGGGTGGAACAGGGGGGGCAGGACGTACGTCGGTTGACAATGCACGGTCCCCACACGACGACAAAAATGCCCACATATGCCGACAACTTGCTAAAAATGAGCGACGACGCCCTCGCCGCTTCTTGGTTGTCTTGCCTACGTCGTACGTCCGTGTCACGATATAAGGATAAAGGAGCGCCGTACGATTTCTGGCGCTTGTACACGTCCAGGCCGACGAGGAAAGCCAGCGTCATGATGCCCGCGGCGGCGGCGAACACCCACGTGAAGAAAAAGTAGATGCGTGAGGTGCCGTACGCGTCCCCGATCCAGCAGTAAAACCCCGCGGGACCGTACTTGTCTGCCGCCACCAAGTACAACGACTCGACGGCCGACGGCACGAAGCTGACGACGCAAAACGTTCGAAACCACCGGTGGAGCCGTTGGTCGTCGTCGCGTCGGACAATCCAGCGGTACCACGTGAACGCCATGCACGCCAGCCACGTCACACCTGCAAAAACGAGGGGGTTCAATGCACTGTGTGTACAAGGCAAAGACGAATGGAGAACCAACAAATGAACGATTGCCAGTGTTGATGGAGGATGTGTATGTACTGTATCGCACCAGACACGCCCGCCGCGTTCATAACAAAGCCCTGGACATTGCACAGCCAAGGTCGCGTGTACCCGAGCGTTCCAAACAGCTTGAATCCTGCGTCTAGAAAATCGATGATGGACATGACGAGCACCATCTTGGCCGTGAAGTCGCGCTTGTCGTGGGTATACTGTTTCCACATGTAGCTTGTGATGATGAAGACGCAGCCCGTCATGGACAAAACGCTGCCCATGAGGCGATGTGAACGTGGAAGAACGATGGGGGGGGATGATGGTCTACCTCGTGATGACCATGAGCGTTTGAATGAACTTCTCATTTGCGTCGGTCCCTCCACCTGGTACGTCCATCATGGCTTGTCGAGGCATGTGCAGGTCGCGTCCCCACGTTGTCAAAACCCTAAGTGTTTCTGAAACCGTCACCAGTTACGCGACCTTACGAATCATACTGAAACGGTTTGATTCGTGACAATGTGGCGGGTAGTCGCACGCCCCGATTAACGAGCGTTACGACCGATTGCGCATTGACAAACGTACGTGGCCAACCGTGTGCTAGTGTGTGGATAGGACGGACGTGTTTCGGCTGGGGATGTGAACACCATCGCGACCAACCACACCAACTCCTCCTTAAGACTTCTAAAGGTCATTGTTCAATAATCTCGGGGACATGTTCGAATTGTGGGTGTGGCTCGTTGCTTCAAGTATCATTGGGGGTAGTATCTCTGCCTCGGACATTCAAGACACCGCGAATGCCACCGCCATCACCACGAATGATACGACCGTCGTGTCCAGTTTTGCCGGCGGCTTGAATGCGTCGGAATGGGAATTGACGTTTGAAGAGCACTTTGATCGCCTGGATCTGGCCAAGTGGCACGTCCATCACGACTGCTCCACCCACCGTGACTGCGCCCACAACGACGAAAAGCAAGTGTACCTCCGGGACCAAGCGTACGTCCAGAACGGCCACCTTGTCCTCGAAGCGTCCAACCTGACGCATGTTTCCGAAGCATCCGGCACGCGGCGCTACCGATCGGCCAAGCTCGACACGGCCCATTCGTTTAGCCAACGCTACGGCAAATTTGAAGCTCGCATCCAACTCCCCCGAGGCGCTGGCATGTGGCCTGCGTTCTGGTAATCACAGCGTTATACACAATATGACTATGACGTCACACGACTATATGTAGGCTCATGCCAAAGGGCGGGCGATGCTGGCCCATGGATGGCGAGATCGATATCGTTGAGTACGTGGGGCAGACCCCCCAGACGATCTACGGTAGCCAAACATTACGGCAAAGTGCAGTTGTGGCCAGTTGGTGCGAATAACAATGTGGTGGTGGTAGGCAACTACCATTTTGGAGGGGCTTGCAATGCCAACCTTCACGACGACCCCGCCGTGTGCGGCCCCACGGGGGCTTCCCAAAACGACGACTCGTTGTCATATGCGTTTCACGAGTATTCAGGTAACATTCACAGCATGCTGTATCGAACGAATGTTGCAGTGACATCTCTTCTTTCGATGGCTTTATACTACTACTACTGTAGTCGTGTGGACCCCCACGTCTATCCAATGGTTCATGGACGGCCAAGAGTTTTACCGCCTGCCTCCAAAGTCGGGATGCCGCAAGCCGGCGTCCTTCTTCCTGCCCTCCAAGCCGTTCTACATCATTTTGAACTTCGCTGTCGGGGGCACATGGCCAGGCGACCCCACTGCCGCCACAACCTTTCCCCAGCGCATGGTCGTCGACTACGTCAAAGTGTACCAACGACGTACGACAACACACACTCTCGAGTTTGAACCTATCGTTTTCATCGTGACTATTGTTTGTGACAGGGTTGGAGGCAAGCGATATTAACGTTACGGCCGAGACGATCCAATTTCCACTCTAAATAGACTGGACAAATGGCAATTGCCAAACATGCGACAATGTAAAACACACCATCACGCTGGTGGTTAATAGCGAAACCCCGCTGTATGCAGTTGCTATCATTGGACTCTGCTAGTCTCTCTCTACTTTTGTGACAGAATGAAGTGGGTGTGCAAACAAAGCACCTAAAGCTGCACTCTCACGTGAGTCGCTGCTAGCTACGCTGTCACATGTTCCATCAAATCCTACTACTCGGCACTCGCGCCATCATCGATCGATCGTTCACATGCGATAAATAACGTTAGCTAGCATATCCCTTCGGCCAACTCGTCCGTGACCGACGACCACTCCGAGTGTACATCGTTCGCAGACTTTCCGTCGTCATCGGGCAAGGTCGCCACGTCGGCGAGCGCCGCCAGACCGCGCAGGTCCTTGGGCGCCATCGCGTTGAAAGAAACCGACCACGGAGGCCCCAAGACGCGGCACAGCGCCGCGACCACGTCCGTCGTGACCCGCGACCGGTGGTGGGCGGTGAAGCCCTCCGTGGCGGCCACCGCGCAGATGTTGCGCAGGATGAACGCCACGCACGCAGTCTCGAGGTCCGTGGCGAGGCACTTGTGGGCCACGGCCCACAGGCCCATCGCGTTGTGGGCCGTGATTTCGTCGACGAGGAAGCGCTCGACGCGCTTTTGGAGCTCGGGGACGTGGTACAGCGCCGCCGCCACGAGCAGGTCGACGGCATTGTGCAAGTCGATCGCCACTTCTTCCGTGTACAAAAAGTGAATCAGAAGCGAAAACGTGTGGTTGTTGACGTCCGACACTTCGACGTGTTTTGGAAACGTCCCCAACTACACCAATATATATACAACGATTCGTATCGTTATATATATATATATACAACAACAGAGGACAGCGTACCAGACGTTTGAAAAAGGGATTCTGGACACTCAGCACCACGCGATTGGCGGCAATCTTGTGCGCGCCCACCACAAACCACACGTCGATGGCTTCCTTATCCCGGTCGTACGTTTCCCGAAGCGACGGCACGTCCACGTCGATCGTCGGGCGGTACGACGTCGGCAGCATGTGCTTGATGGCGTGCGCGACCGTCCGGTGCGCGTACTCGGAGTCGTCGTGCAGCAAATCCAAGAGCAGCGGGATCAGACCCTCGGGAATGAGCTTTAGCCACTCGGACGGGTCCAGCAAGTGCACCAAACTCAGCATCACGTTGCCCCGAAACGTGCCTACATCAGGCACATCCTTGAGTTGTCCTTTCACACACACGAGGTGTCCTCAAACGAGGTAGTACCGGACGCCGTGTCGGGGGTCACGCGCACGGACGCGATCAGCATCGTCTTGAAGTCGCGACGGGCCACGTATCCCCAAAAGTTTTTGAGCGCCAGCAAACAAACCCGCCATGCCGCAGACCCTTCCTCCATCTCGAGCATGTGCAGCACCGTGCCTGTGGTAGTCGGAATCGCAATACGTGAGATTATATATATTTATATATATATAGTGCCGAGGTAGTCGGAATCACAATACGTGAGATGATATATATATTTATTGTTAAAATCGATTCGAAACTCTGGAGCCCTCTGCAAAACAATCGAATGTGTTGCGAGAATGGATTCAAGAACGCCTGAGCCAATCAAATCACGTCATGTCGAATTTCTGCCAATCCAAACGTTTGACCCCTCCGCATTGGGCAAAACCACATACATACTAATCGTTGTATAGTATAGTTTGTACCAGCTTAAACGAGATCAAATGGATTCGAATGCTATATGGCGAAATGATAGACAAGTTCAAACATTGGGGTGAAAGGCACAATATATATATATATATATCTGACCTTCGAGCACCAGTTGGAGCGCCGTGGGCAGACGCTGGGACAGTTTGTGGAGTGCGCCGGCGGCGTTGACCGCGACAATGTCGTCGGTGGCATGCAGCGCCTGCAACAAGATGGGGATGCCGCCCCCGCGCGCGAGCAGTTCGTGGTTCTTTTGGTTTTCCATCAACGATTCCAGCACCACCACCGCTTTGCAATGAACGGCCACGTCACGATGCGGGTCGGCGAGGCCGGCCAAGAGCGCCGGGACCGCCGACAACACGCAGCCGTCGCAGAAGCGCTGCTTGTCGTCAAAGCCTTCGACCACCGCGCGGGACAGCGAGCACGCATTGCACACGATGCGGCCGCATTCCTACGCACGATCCATCGCCATGATGTACTAGTTATTACAAGAAGGATGTGTACCCGGCAGTGATGCTTGCGAAAGAGTACGCCAAAGGGAGTACCGCAGCACACACACGCCGTGACCGAGTGATCTTCGTGCCAGGGCTTAATAAGATGCCACTTGAGCAGGTCCTTGGCCGAGTCGACCACGGTGTCGTCCACGCTTCGAAACGCCGTCTGGTCGTTAAACTTGAACACGTCCAGGAGCTTGTCGTGCGAATAGGGCGACGCGGGGGGCCCCGACGACGTCGCGTCCGGTTCGGCGTACAGCGACACCCCCACTTGCCCCAGCTGGAGCGCGTACCCAAAGTTGGCCACCCAGTGGGGCAGCACCACCTATCGACGATCAGTACGCATACACACGTACTAACTTGACGAAGGCTCCACCGTCTCCTACCTGCAGGGGTAGCGCCCGCCCGCTGTTGCCGTTGCGGCTCAGAATTTGAACCATCTCGCGAAGCCACACGGTGCGGTGCACGCAAATGTACCGCCCGCGCGCGTCCATGTGTTCTAGCGCTAGCACATGCGCGGCAGCGCAGTCCCGGACGTCCGCCATGGCGAAATCTAACCAAGTATGTGTCAGCAACGCCGTGTATATCAACGAGACTTCGTACTCAGATCCACCAAGGCCGAGTAATGGCCCACGATGAGGTCGTATATGACTTGGGTACCGGGCGAAATCTTGGAATTACACAGCGATGGACCGATCAACATGCCGGGCTACGCATGCTCGTGAGGATGTAGTAGATGGAGAAGTAGATGGAGAAGTAGAAGAAAGAAAGGGCTGTACGTTGATGGTCACTAGCTCCATGGACTCGTTCTTGACGAGCTGCCAAGCCGCCTCTTCGGCCAATTTCAAGCTGAGAAAGTGAGGGTTTCGATCCAACGACGACGTGACGTTCCAGCTCAGGTCCGTCACTTGCGACTGCGCGTCCACGCTGTCCGCCATCGCCGCGATCGACGACGTGAGCACCACCTACCCCCGAAACCCCCCCGTGAGTCATGCAACAACATGTGGACCGACGTACCCGCTTCACTTTGGCGCGCACACACGCTGTGATGAAGTTGTTCATCATGGGGACGATGCAGTGCACGCGGCTGCTGATACTGTACACCCCCGGCTCCTACGCACGACACCGCATGAAGCCATGGACGACGGAATGGATGGAGGCAGGTCGTCGAAACATGGACGGATGTGAAGACGTACCTGCTTCTCGGAGAACGGGTCCCGCACGGAACAAGACGTGGGTGTGCCAGTGTGGATGACAAAATCACAGCCGTCGACGGCCAAGTCGCACGACTGCGCCGTGAGCAGCGACGTCTCGACGATGGTCAAGTGCTTCTTGGCCGACGGAAGGTCGTACAGCTTGGAGATGTCGTCGTTCTTGTTCTGGACGGTACCGCGAACTTTGTACCCCTTGACGAGCAGTTTCTCGACGATCCAAGCGGCGAGGAATCCGTCGACGCCGGTCACGCAAATGGGTTTGTGGAGGGTACCGGTCGTCGTCTTGCGAAGGTACTTGAGCCCCTTCCACACGGTGGCGTACATGCACGACATGTCCACGTGCGGGGACACATTTAGAGGCCGGGCCAATTTCTTCTTGGATCGGTCACGCCTACTGGTCGATGCGGACGTGGTGCTGGAGGCGTCAACGTCGTTGGATTTCTTGGCCGCTTTCGACCGCTTCTTCTTCTTCTTATCTATCCCACCTTCATCTATCGACGTGGAAGAGGACAGTGCTGCCTTCTTCGTCTGTGTGGTTGTCGCCGTCGCGGCAGGGTTGCCGACAACTTGAGGTCCGAACAGCATGATCTTGGACGACGCCGCCCGTTCTAGCCGAGTGAAATGCACAGCCAAAATGCATGTGTCATCCGGATACTGTCCATCGCTCCATATAAAACAAACACCTGTAAAACAAAGGAAGCGGCGTGGCGCGACAAATAAAGAACGGAAACATCCGGATAACACGGCGAGCAAAAATAGCTCAGTTGGGTGGATCTTCTCTGGTCTTGAAATAAAATTATATGGAGTTTTGTATGACCGGTAGCACCGTTTCGACCAAGTGTTTAATAAATTGCCCATACAAAGGCCAATACAAGAAAAAAGCCATCGGGTTCAACAACCTCAAAACTGCCTTCCGCATCAAGCGCATAGTGCACTTACGATGTTGTTCGGGCCACAGCATGGTGATGCTGCGTCGCCTAGCACTGCCTTCCGCGTAGAACAGAAGAAGAGAGACCAGTTTGTCGATGGGAATGGTGGCGCAACCGTAGGACGGAAGCGCCGGTCCAAGAACAACAGCTCGACATCCCCAACCACCGGCATGCCCTTTGACAGTAATAACACCATCAAGTTGGCGAGCCGGGCGAAAGACCAGCAACCCCAACGCCGAGTGCCAGGTGGAAATGGCGTCACCATTGCGGAGGAGTCCACCATGTACCTGAGCGTGTGGAACGCGCTTCAGTTCAAAGTCGTCGAATCGTCGTCCACCAATGCATCGTCCGTGACGCACCCGTACCTCCACGCGTCGCGCATGAAGATGCCGATCTGTGTGACGGGCATCGATGGGTTCCTCGGTGCATGGATTGTGACGGAGCTGCTCCAACGCGGCTACAAAGTTCGCGGGACGGTGCAGAGTCGAAACGACGACGTGAGTCGGCTCGTCGACTTGCCCCGTGCGTCGACGCAGTTGATGGTCGTGGAAACGTCGCTGTTGACACCGGAATCGTGCGATCTTGCGGTGGAAGGATGCGAATATGTGATCCACACGGGCACGCCGTCGTCGTGCGCGGTGCGGGACCCCCTGTCCGAAGCCAAGGTAGTCCGTGCATCACCCTGCCATGTGTCTTCATGCTGTCTGTCTTGTAGGAGCCTGGCGTGCACCCAGTGAGCAGCCGCATGCACTGCATCGTCCCTGTCATGACCAACTTTATCAAGGCGTGCGTTCGAGCGCGCATCAAAAAGGTACGTACGTACCCTCGTCCCGAGGACGACTAGTCATCCTGTTGACTTCGTAGATCGTGCTGTCGTCGTCGGTGGCGGCGCTGAGCGACCACGTGGACGCGAGTGACGTGGTGAACGATCTGTGCTGGAACATGGTGTCTTCGATGGAGCGCAATCCGCACTTTTTGGGGCTCAAGCTAGCTGAAGAGAAGGCGTGGCAGCTCGTGGAGCAAGAGCCCAAGCTCAACATGGTCACGATCTGTGTACGTCCGACCCCCCCCCCTCTCTCTCTCTTGACTGTCGCTTGAGCTACGCTCTGCCTAGTCTGGCGCGTTGATGGGGCCGTCCGTGTGCACCCCCCGCACTATTCCCAGCGGCAACCAAATCGTATACGACTTGATCACTGGCCACTACAATGCTATTGTGGATTTGAGTACGTCATATACATACCCCCCCCATTTTTCCCTCGGTATAGTGACATTTGTGGCACTAGATTGGGCTTTGACAGACGTCCGTGACTGCGCGCTGGCCCACGTGTTGGCGCTGGAGCACCCAGACGCCCGAGGCCGATACATTTGTGTGAATCGAACCGTGTGGCTGCGGGAGATTGTCGACATGTTGCGCTCGAACGGGTACTCTGGGCGGGCGCTGCCGTTCCAAGTGGGGCTGCCCAACTGGGTCGCGAGGCTGTCGTCGTTTGCGCTGCAGTTAGGTCAAGTAGGCGTGTCGCTGTACGGGGACGACGCTGACGCCACGAAGCCGTCTCCGTACTTGAGCGACCGCCTCGTGGACGTGCTGGGGCTGTCGTTCCGCGACGTGAAGACCACCGTCGTCGACAGCGCCGGCGACTTGCTCCAGTGGAAGTTTATCAAGCCATGGGGGGAGGACCGCGAGGCCACGATGTGTGCGTGCTGCGACGCGCCATTCAACTTTTTGCGTCGGCGGCACCACTGCCGGGTACGCACGCCCCCCCGTGTTGGCCTCGTATCGTAACGGGTTCCTTTTGGCTCGATATATTTTTATTGATTTTGCATCTGTTTTGAATGACAATGGTGGCGCCGCGTAGGAATGCGGGGTCGTCGTGTGCGGCGACTGCTCCCAGTCGAGGGCGGTGGTCCAGGGCCTCGAACATCCCGCGCGGCTGTGCGACGCATGTGTCCAGAGCTCGATCCCGGCCCTGCTGGAGCTCATGCATGCCCCCATGACGTGCCACAAGGCGATCAAAGCGCTCGAATCGCTCATGGTGAACCCATCCAACCACGAGCTGATCACGCGGTGCAGCGGCGTGCCCATCCTTCTCAAGGCTCTGCACGAACAAGACGACGAGATTTCGTTTCATGCGGCTGGGACGCTCCTGGCGCTGAGCGAGGACACGGCCAGCGCGCTGCAAATGGTGCTGGAGGGGGCGGTGCTGCACATGCTCGAGATGGACCAAACGACGGACACGTGGCGGGTGTGCTTGTCGGCGCTGCGAAACATTTGGAAGCAACTGAACCGCGACGACTTTCGCCAGATGCTGCACTCGGTGTCCCGCGTGTCTGCGGACGCTGCCGACGGTAATCACGCTTTGTATATATATATATATATATATATATATATAGGTGGTTTGATATGTAGGCCCGCTCAAGGCCAACATTTTGATTACGTTTGTGCACATGATGGAGCCGCGGGAAGTGACGAGTCTGCTCAAGGAAGGGCTTCTGGACGTGCTATTTGTCATGCTCAAGAGCGCCCATGCGTTCGACCGATGCGCCGCCGCTCACGCCGTCCTCCGCGTGATCCCCGTCGACTACGACCCCCCGACCGAGATCCAAGTGCCGCCGTACACGGTGGACGACCACGAGGAGCTGCTGACGCTGTCGACGCTGTCGGACATCCAGTTCCTCGTCAAGGGGCACATTGCCCCCATCAACGCGCACAAGATTGTGCTGTTTGTGCGCAACGCGTACTTTAAGAACATGGTATTGCATCTCGATATTTATTTGCCAGTGATTGAACGCTGAGCATTCGATATATATATATATATTACCATTCCTATATATATTTCTAACAACTTGTTTGGTAGTTTGGGTCGTCAGCGTCGGCCACCCCCACGAAGCGCGTGATTGAGATCGACAATTGCACGTATAACGTGTTTTCCATGATCTTGCGCTTTCTCGTACGTGACATTTTGCCGCCCTTGAAACATCACTTTGCTCTAGTTATGATATATATATATATTTGTGTTTATATATCTATTCAAATCTTTCTACCATTGATATGATATAATATTCCTATTAAACGGTTCCTACCACCGTGTCGATATATATATATATACCCGAGACCTCACTGGGCATTTGTCGTGTATGTATAGTACACTGGTAAACTCGTGATTGACGACGTGTCGGCCCAAGATTTGCTGCGGGCAGCCGCGTTCTACCAAGTGGTGGAGCTGCGGGTGCGCATTGAAAAGTTTTTAGCCGACCGCATCGCCGTCTGCAACGTGGTGGAGCTGCTCTGCCTCTCGAACGAGTGCAACGCTGACGGCCTCCGTCGGGCATGCCTGCCGTTCCTCATGCTCAACATCCACGCCGTGGTCAAGCTGCCGTCGTTCGCGGCGCATCGCGAATGGGCCGGCCAGGAGATTCTGCTGGCGCTGGCCCTCGAGCTCGGGGACGACTGGTACGCCGCGTACCAGACGATGGTTACCCACCCGCGCCACCAACCTGCGATGGCGTCCAGTCTGCAGAACCTGACGAGTCATTCGTCGTCGAGCCACCACCACCACCACCCGCCGCTGTCGTTTTCTAGCTACCCTCCGCCGTCTTCGTCGTTGCTGCCGCGTCAGACGGTGGTGTCGCCCCTGCCGTCGAGACGGTTGATACCGCCGCCGTCGCCGCTGGGGAAAGCAAGCCAACGGGGCCGGTTGTTGTCGGAAGAGAGTTTGGCCGAGGGCATTTGCTGATCTTTTTAAATTTTTAATCCTACGTAGTACACGTTTTCACACATTCAACGGTACACATTTGTACACTTCAAAGGACAACTTTGGAAATCATCGTAGTAGTACTGCGCAATCGCATCTACTACTGTATGTACTAAGTACTACCAGTATTAATAGTACTAGTGCACTTACTACGTAGAGTACTTGCATACATATTAAGTACTCATTCGTAGCACTTTACGTACTTACTATAAAGTACTCATTCCAAATATCTATGGCCAAGTGGAAGAACCACGTTTTATACTTTAACGCAGTGTTAACCTTGAAGTGCGGTGGTTTAACAAGCCCCCGAAATTTCCTTTCCGGCAGGAACGAACCGCCAAATGATCCCCGGACCTGCGATATGTAATATTCAACTAAGTTTAAGAGGTATCTTTCCCATTCGTTCTTTTTACCCAATCATAAGGCAACCTGCAGTATGTGTAGCCAATAGCAGTTGTTGGCAATTTGAAGAATTCCCCAAAAAAGTTGCAAATTTGGGCGAAAAGCACAAGTCTATTGTCACCTTTGTAGAAATCGACTAGCAACGAACCATGTTAACGTCGTCCGTTCCGAACGCGTCGGATATACAACAGTCTACGAGTAGCGGGATTGCAAATCCGTAAAGAAAGTCGACGTCATGCTCTTGAGCTAGAGTGCCACGTCACGAGTTGGCTCGATATAGAGTTCTTCGTAACTATAAATACCTGTTGCGCCTTTTCTGACACTTGGGACTTGAGCTGCTCCAGCTGGTACGCTGCTTGGTCACTCGCTACCATCCATCCACCGCATGCGTATTGTCATGGATAATTCTAATCTCATCGTCCATATATATATACCTTCCGACGACGCCGACCGCGCCCGGCCGTCGCCGTAGTACATGTCACTCGAGATGGACTGCGACCCGGAGAACTGGCGGATCTTGTCGTGGTCGACGGACCCGTGCTCGGCGGCAAAAAAGTTGTCGGACGAAATGCTCTTCGAGTTCTTGTACTTGTTGAGCGACTCCGTGGACGTCGCCGTGGTGTGCTGCTGCTGCTGGACGCTTGCGTGTTGGCTGAACGACCGACCGAGTGCCTCTCTGCGACACTGTTAGAGATAGATCCAACAAACGTCTAAAGCTGTGACAACGTACTCGTCGGCTTGCTGCATGGCACGGGCGAGCGCTTCGTCGTCGTCGATTTGCTTGGACAAATTCGACGACGGAGCTGCTGCGGCAGCCGCCACCGCCGGCTTGGCGTTCTAGATCCACAACACGTGGGACGCCAGCATCGACGCAAGTGTGTACCTCAAACGGAATACTGTCAAAGTCGTCAAAGTTCGACTTGACTTTGGTCGCGCCGAGCCGCGTCGCCTTCCTGGCGCCTCCAGCCCCCCCTGCTTTCTACATCATGAACCAAAACCACCTTAGCCTCGCTCGAGGATGGCGGCACGTACGCGACTGGACAGCTTGGACGTGATGGTCGACCCCCCGCCGAGACCGCCAGCGGCAGAGGACGATGGACCAGATGAGTCCCCGCCAAGTGTGACCGTCGGACGGATTTGAAGCTGGCCCGGGGCGGCGGGGGGCGCGATCGTGTCCGGCACCGACACGGCCGCCGCCACCGAGCGCGCCGTGTACGCGTTGGCGATCGTGGGCACCTCCCCCGTGCCGACCAGCTTGGCCAAGTTGTCCAGCCCAAACTCGTCAGTGGGTTTGCCCTACCCACAAAGATCTATGAGTTTCCATCGATGATGAATCGGTTTGGAGGGCTCTCGACCTTGGTCGCGGTGGCTGCGGCGAATGGGGACGAGTCAAACTTGGCGGCCTGCACTTTCTTCGATAGTTGCGCTTTGTACAGCGTGGCCGCTTTGGACTTGTACTTTTCGTCGATCTAGCCAGGACCGTGGTAGGGTCGAGAAACAGCTACATGTAACGAAGAGGTTGGTGTGTATGTACATTCATCATGTCGGACACGCCATGCTGCTTGAAGAACTTGCGCGCTTCGCTGTTCCCCCCCAGCTGCATCAACAGCAACTGCTCTTCCGTCCACTCGTCCATGTCTGTGGACCGCACGAAAGACACATGCACCCCCATGCGCCGATGGTATCCCGAACAATCCAAACACATGAACGTGCCAAAGGATACCGTCGCCCACATGGGACTTCGCCGCTCGCAGTCAAAGCACATCTTGTTCGCCGCGACACTTCGCTGCGCATGGAAGAAGTTGTCGCGGATCTCATGCGTCACGTAAGTCGCCGCCATATTGCTTGCCGTTGTGTTTTTTTTTGCTGAATTTCACATGCACAGAACCTTGATCGATTGCCATTGGCTTAAATACTAGTATATTTCCAAATCATCCAATCAAAAGGCCGGAGCTTGGACCTTGGATAAATCAAAATCTATTTGCTTGAAAGCAATTTTTGTCAAGTGAGTTTATATGTAAGTAGTACCGGTGGTACTCTTCATGAATTGAAATGCATTCAAGCATCAATGCTATACAGTACCAGTACGTACGTACTGTAGCCCGTCGGATTATTGTAGGAATTAATATAAGGCAGTGAAAAAGAGAATCGGATTCATGTGAAAAATAAAAAATATCGCTGTCGTCCGGATAACAGAGTGTCGAAACTTCGAGACATCCGGATATCGTTGCCACGCGTGAACAAATTCCACGTGTTCGCTGAAACCCCGCATTTCACTTGACATCGAACATTCCACGAGTTGCCATGAAGTTGTTGTACGTTGCTGTCGTCGCCCTGTTGGGATTGAGCGCCGTGGAAGTGTCTGCGAAGGACGACAAGGAGTGCGAGGTGTGCATCAAGGTCATCGATACGCTGAAGGCGCAATACACCGACTTGCTCAAGGAATCCAAGGGCAAGCCGAAATTGGACGTGGCCGAAGTTGCCCTGGAAAAAATGTGCACCAAGTTCAAGTCGAGCCCGAAGGAAAAGAAGCTGGTACGACCGACTAGAATGGCTCTCTCTCTCTTCGCGTGCGGAGCATTGACGTATGGTGTGTCTAGTGCTACTTTTTGGAACCGATGAAGAAGGATGCCGCGCGCCAAGTCACGTTTAACAAGGACACGTTGAAGATCTGCCAAAGCTTGACTAAGAAGAACCCCGAGTTCTGCTCCATTCGATTCCCTATCAAGACGGAGGCCGGCGCCGACTACTCGAAGCTTCGCGTGAAGGAGCTCAAGAAAATCCTCAGCGAACGTGGCGTGTCATGCAACGGATGTGTCGAAAAGTCGGACTTCGTCAAAAAGCTGCAAGACACGGAGCACATCGAGTTGTAGATAGCCTTCTCATGTTGCCCCTATGTTATTCAAAGTAGATCCCCATTTCCCATCGCGTCGTCATCTTACTTGCGACGATATGTGCATCTGAACAGCTGCGATACTACACTGTAACTAGTCAACGTTGTAATAGCATCACGCTTGGGTATGCATTTTGTCCGTCATCGATTTGGTCGTCGGCGTCGCAAGTTCCACATGCATGTCGGCGTCAGTCGTCGGGGTTTGCGCATGTTCTTCCAGCGGTGGTTCGGCGGCGGGACGTGGGGTGGCCGCGACCATCCATCGAGACTTCGCATACGACAAGAGCAAGACGATGCCAAAGCAGATGGCGTGGCCGATCCCAATGCCAAACCAAATCAGCGGCGCCATGGACTTGTCCAGGCTTATGAGATCGTAGGGCCAAAACCCTTTGTTGAATGTCGCGTTTCCAATCCACGACAGGCTCGCAAACAGTGCCGGCCACAGGATCACGAACTTGAGGCTCGTGCGCTGGGCGAGGTGTTCATTGAAGGCAAACTCGATGAGCAACATGCCAATATTCGCCAGGTGCACAATGTACGTAGCCCACTCGGTGGGCTTGGACGGGTCGTAGAGGAGACACCAGTACACGAGTCCTACAAGCAGGCTCGACGTCATGGCCACGTCGAAGAGCGTGTTGAGGGACCAGTTGGCATGGTTCGCATCGTTGGATCGGATCCACCGCCGCACTTGGTCGACGATGGCCGCGCCAAAGTAGATCGTTTGGAGGGTAAAGTTCCAGTATGTGTAGTACACGAGGTTGAACCAGTTGGTCGAATGCATTTGAACGCTCCACACCACGACGAAGAAGCTACACGACGCGATACGGAACAGCATAAGCCACCAGTTCGCTGCGCGGAACGGCACTTGGAGGTCATGGGGAGAGTTGCGGGGATGCTTGTAGATCCGATACGTACAGATGACGCCAACTAGAGCCAAGCCAATGCCGAGGACTATTTCTTTCCACAAGTTGGACATGCTCCGTACGTTCCACGGGAGGTGGTGGACAAGGAAGGATCGCGTTGACGACTGACGACGTGTGTGTGTGTGTGTCGGTTGAGTTGATAACACCCTCTAAACCTTCCATCCTTCAATGCATAACTACATATTTCTTCGAAACGCCGAAACAGGAGTTTCGCGTCGAAACATGATGGGATCTTAGCGCTCTGATGCTGTATGCGGTGTCCGCGTGCCAAATTGTACAACCAAAGGAGCTGCTTGATTACCAAGATTGACACATACTAGTACCACGAAGAGCCCCAGTTGCGCCACGTCATTCCCGCAACCTAGAACCCAACGATAAGGGTTAGAACAGCGTGTGATTGGCCAATTTCGATCCTTCAGAGCCTTCACACAACATGCACTTGCTGTAAGAGACACTTGAAAATGGTGGTATAACCAATGAAATTGATTCTTGTGATTTGCAACCACTTGGCATTTCGTACTATTACTACCGGTAGGTACTAACAGTAAGTACTCAACATCAAGAAATATAAGTAAGTACTCAACATCAAGAAATATGCGGTCATCGTTGCGCTTCAACGGCCATGACCCGCATTTGTACAGGGCCGAGTGCAAAGACAGAAAGGGCGGCTACATGTATGGCCATGGGTACATGGCTCGCCCCTTTCTTTTACGCGTGCAAATGCATGTCTTGCCGAGCCAATAACCTCGGCGGCTGCTCACCACCCACCCATCGCGCTTTGAAATACGACAAGAGCAGCACAAACCCAAAGCAGACGACGTGGGCGACCCCAATGCCAAGCCAAACGAGCGGCGCGTACGGATTGTCCAAGCTCATGATGCTGTACGGCCAAAACCCTCGGGTGTACGTGGCGTGGCCGATCCACGCGACGCTGGCAAAGATCGCTGGCCACAGCACCACGTACTTGAGACTCGTGCGTTGGGCTAGGTGTTCGTTGAAGGCAAACTCGACGACGACGAGGACGACGTTCACCAAGTGGACGACGTAGGTGGGCCACTCGATGTGCTTGGCCGTGTTGAAGATGAAAATCCAATAGACAAGCGCGACGAGAATGAGGGACGCGAACACCACGTCAAATAACGTGTTGAGTGGTCGGTTGGCGTAGTAGCGATCGGTCAAAGTCGGGGGTCGGGACCATCGGCGCACTTGGTCGACGATAGCGGCGCCAAAGTAAATTGTTTGGAGTGTAAAGTTCCAGTACGTGTAGTACACAAGCTCAAACCAGTTGGAGGATTGAACTTGGAGGATCCACACTACGACGAAGAATACAAACGTAGCACAGCGAAACGACAGCAGCCACACGTTGCTTGGGTTGAACGCGATTTGAACGTTATGGCGACCGGGCTCCACGGGATATGCCACAATTCGGTACATACAAGCAACCCCAACGATGCCCAGGAGGGCACCACAGAGGATTTCTTTCCACAAGTTCGGGTTTGTTGCCATGCTTTCAAACGAAGGGGCGTCGCCTGAAGCTTCTTGCAAGAACACCAGCAACGGGTGACACCAACTCCCCGTTGAGGTGCTTTATCCAGGCAACGACCACTACAGACTGCATGTTCCGGCGACCCCCACAATATGATTGCCATAATGTTGATGCAGTCCCGTCAAATTGACACGCATCCTCAGCACTATAGCTAATTCGTGGGGGGCAATGGTACAACGGAGAGGAGCGTGAGGGCAACAGAATTGCAGACATGACCACAAAGTAGGTACAGCACTGTAGTGAAGTGTCGTTCTTCGAATTGTTAACAAACGCAAACAATGCAATATTTCTCCGGAGTACTGTACTTCATGTCGGCGACACTGAATTCGAAATGGAAGAGTATCCCAATAACGTGAGCAATAATACTGTATGTGTTTGGCGACGTTGGACACGGTCAACAACTCATTCAGAATGACCATAACGTTATTGAATTGCCGTTCAATCGCTACTCATAAGGATGCTACTTGGTCAAGAACAAGGACCTAGCTGGCGTGCAGTCGCATCACGATCGTACGTGATGGTGTTGTTCGGCCGCGAATTCGACGAAATTGTCGACCATTGGTGGAGGAAAAAGTAGAGCATTCCAGGCATCCAATCAAAAGGGATGCTACATTTATGACGACCAATAAAAATCCTTGGATCTTGAACAATAGTGGCGTTCAGATCGTCACGCACTTTCTAATCGTCGGGGGATACAACGAGCATGGTCGAGTTGGTCGTGTGGCAGTCCGTGGTGATCGCGCTCATGCTGGCGGCGGGCTTCGGAGTGTCGGCATTCCGTCTCTTTACGATCCCCCGTGTGACGTATCGCGTCCAAGTTCCCCTGCCTTCCAAGTCGATCCCGTTGTTGGTGTTTCGTATTGCCACGTTTTCGTTTTTCGTGGTGGTGCTGTTGCTGCGGCTGGCTGAGAGCAACTTGGACGACCTCTTTTACTACACGTACTGGAACTTTACGATCCAAATCATATACTTGGGGTGGGCCATCGTGTACCAAGTGCAGATTTGGTTTCAACCCTCGCCAACCCACGCGAACGGGGCCCTCAACGCTGCATTCGATGTGGTGCTCACGTCATGCGCGGTGGTGTGTACTGTGTACTGGCTGGTTCTGTACAACCCAGCGCATGTGACTCCCTGGACCACGTACGTCGTGCATGGGGTGAACCTCGGACTCTTGTCGGTCGAGTTTGCCTTCAACGAACACCTTGTCCAGAGATACAACCTCAAGTTCGTCGTCATGTGGCCAGCCTTGTACGGGTCTGTGACGTGGATCACCATGGCCACTGGACTCAACGACTTGTGGCCCTACGCCCTTCTGGACGTCACACAACCCTTGGCCCCCCTCAAATGGTTTGGGATTGTCGCCGGCCATGCCGTCTTTTTCGGCCTTGTGCTACTTCTATCGTCCCTGAAGTTCCGAGTTGTGGGTGAAACTACTGCAGCTGTGGACTCCAAGACGGATGAAAATCTGAAGATCCAAGTAGTGCCAACCTCCTTGGTGTAGGACTTCGCAGTGCAAATCAGCTAACGTTTTGATAGCTAAATGAGTAATATTATTCGTTAAGCTTACATGATTAGCGTTACTGTGAATTGTTAGCTTGGGGGGGGGTGTACTGTATAAAGATATATGGTCCAAAGTCGACCCCCCCCCACCAAAATGCCCGAAAAGTGGTCACATAAGATTTCAGAGTTTTTTGGGATTGACTGGTCACAATTCGATTTGGTTTTGAACGTGGCGGTGTTTGGACGGTTCATTCCTGAACGTGGTAGCATAGGTAGTAGTCGCTCGCTCTAGACCTTGCATTCGGTATCTCCGCCTGGTGAATCCTCCTTGTACCAGATGGTCAAAAGTAATGCCACAGCATCTACCGATATCTCTATAGTTAGTCAACGACCAGTTCCAGTCTGCTCCGTTGGCTTGGAAAGGTATCATACATCTCGTAACAACGACCGTGAATCAACATGCACGGATACCCGACACTTTCGTGTGTGAAAAACAAAGGGTTTCCATAAGTAGTCCAAGTGAGCTCCAAATCAATGTCCATCTCCACCAAACGACATTCTCCCTCAGCATGTATTGTACTACCGCATACTACAGGGCACTTTAGTTTCGTCCTAGATGCATACTTCGAAGTATAATTGTGTCGACTAGGTGAACTGTGTAAACGTTCATTCGTAGCTAGCAGCACTAGTTATACAGCAGCCCCAGCAGTGTACACCCCTTTCAATCACCACGGCTATGTACAAATACATAACCTTGGCTGTCGTACTTGGCCAGAGGTGTACCTACTGCATAATATAAGTCGAACGACAAGGGCTGGTTAAAGCAACGACGGGATGCCGTCGCGTTATGTATATTGAACAACGGCCGAATCTATCTCTTGACCCATTGGAACGACTTTCGCGCCTTCTTCCGCCCGGTCTTTTTACTTTCGACCATGCGCGAATCCCGCGTGAGGAACCCGGCGCCCTTGAGCGCGGGGCGGAAGTCCGGGTTGAACTTCTCCAATGCGCGACTAATGCCGTGGCGGATGGCGCCAGCCTGGCCAGACAACCCCCCGCCCTTGACGGTGCAGTACACGTCGAAGTTGCCCAGGTGGTCGATCTCCAAGAACGGCAACAGAATGTCGTGGCGGTGCGCGTCGCGGGCAAAGTAGTCGACGAGGTCCATCTTGTTGACGCGGATGGTGCCGTGGCCGTCGTTTTCGTTGCGCTTCACCCACACACGCGCGGAACTGGTTTTGCGGCGACCAGTGCCGTATGCGCGTCCGAACTCGTCGACTTCCACCACGCGGATGATCTTCTTCTTCGCAAGTTCTTCTTGGCGTTTGCGCTTGATGAGCAGGTCGCGCTCGGTGACGATGTCTGCCATGTTGCGCACAGCTTGGATCCACGTGGCCGTGCCGTCTTCGGTCACTTCGTCGAGGTCACCCTTGAACCCAAACCAGTTGTCCGGGTCGTATTCAGGTCGGGGACCCCACTCGTCGAACCACCCGTCGTCCTCCTTGCTGGCCGACTCGTCATCGTCGTCGTCGTCGTCATTCTTCTTGTGCGACGCAAAACCTGCCGCATGGCTCACAGACCCCAGGCCCACGGATTGCCGGGCCACACCCAGCCGCAGACCGCTGAACGCACGTGCCAACATGTTGCACAACTCAAGTCCAGAGATAGATGGCGATCGACTGGTGCAAATGCATGGGCCAATCCTAGCAAAACCCGTCAAAGTTTATAATCGATTTATTTCAAAGGTTATGCTCAAAATCGAATGAAAACATGAAAAAAAGATCCAACTCCCTACAGGCATATATATACACTGACCACTGTGTCTGTCTCGCTGACCTCTCGTACCAAGCATCGTGTTGGCCGTCAATTGGATCAGCGATTTACTTCTTAGGTATGACGTTTCACAATACAAGCAATGCAGACCAAGGAGTACATAGTGGATCTTGTCCCCCCCTCCTGACTGCAGGTCAATGATCATTTCAAGGGTGCGTGTCTTTGAACCCCTTCACGCCTTGGCCTATCTGTGCAAATCCGTCACAATCATGTCGACTACGTAGGCATAGTACAAGGGTGACCTTGGTCGATATGGTTGCTTCACGCTTTGCTGTCAATGGGGGTTCATGCGTGCAGTCAATGGCTTTGTTCATAGCTAAGAGGGAATATTTAAATAAAAGTATATTTCCTACCATAGTAATTCACAATGATTAAAATTCTTTTTTGCTGTCTATGTTCATTAAAACAAGGTTCTGCCTGGTCCAGTTATCGTGTGAGTTTGTGGTCTACCACAACTCTTTCACGCTCAAGATGGCAAGTCGATTCTGGGGCGGGTCCTCGTCCGAATCGGGGAGCGACAGCGAAAGCGCTGGTTCCGAAGTCGAAGATGTAAAGATCCAGGCCAACCGCTGGGATGTGGACTCCGAGTCCGAGTCGGACGACGACGTACGCGTCGTGGTCTCGGCCAAGGACAAGGCGTTGCAAGCGTTGCAGTTGGCGGTGGACGCGATCAACCGCTTCTTGAAGATCCACGACTGGAGCAAGATCCAAGGTGAGTTCGACGCGATGGCCAAGCAAATGGACAACGCCAAGGCCAAGCAGGCGATTGCCCAGCATGGGTTACCCAAGTACTACATCCGATGCATGGCGCAGCTCGAAGACGAGATCGTCGACAAGCTCAAGAACAAGTCGGACAAGAAGCTCAGTAAGGAAAACTCCAAGGCGTTGATCCGCATGAAGGGCAAGATCAAGAAGCACAACGAGTCCATTGCCAAGGAACTCGAGGCGTACCGCAAGGACCCTTCCGCGTTTGAAAGCGAGGAGGAAGAAAGCGACGACAGCGACGACGACGAGGAAAGCGACGACAGCGACGACGACGAGGACAGTGATGATGACGAAGACGACGAGGTATGGCATTTTGGGATGCGTAATAGTGTTGCATGTGGTGTGCAATCTCGCAAATTCGCACGGCGGAGGCAGCCATTCCGTGGCGTCGACCCCGTTATAAACTATCATTTGCAATATCGAATGACCTTTGTTTGAAATAACGAATGGTATCTGTCCGTCGTTGTTATAGAATTGGCCGACATTTATTTATTTATTTCATTTATTTCGCAAATTCGCACGGCGGAGGCAGCCATTCCATGGCGTCGACCCCGTTATAAACTATCATTTGCAATATCGAATGACCTTTGTTTGAAATAACGAATGGTATCTGTCCGTCGTTGTTATAGAATTGGCCGACATTTATTTATTTATTTCATTTATTTCGCAAATTCGCACGGCGGAGGCAGCCATTCCATGGCGTCGACCCCGTTATAAACTATCATTTGCAATATCGAATGACCTTTGTTTGAAATGACGAACGGTCGTAATCTGTCGTTGTTATAGAAAAGGCCGCCATATATATATATATATATCTGCATTCGTGGTTTATAAGCAACCTAGTTTGTGACCATATTGCTTGACATAGTCGAATGACGACGAAGAAGACGACGAGGATGAAAGCGAGTCGGATGAGTTTGCCGGCAGCGACGACTCATCGAGCGACTCGTCCAGCGACGACGACGACAAGGCGTTTGGTGAACTCAAGGGCCGCGCGCGCTGGTTGAAAAAGGTGCCCACGGCCAACGAATCCGCCAAAAAGTTGCGTGTCAAGCCCACCCGCGGCCCCAAGGAGATCAAAGAGCGTGAAGTGCGCAAGACGGTGGTCGAAGAGGACTTGAAGCTCGGCAAGAAGGGCTTTGACAACAAGATCAAGGAAGTGATTGCCTTGCGCGGCAAGCGCGGGACGGACCTCGGCGAACAGCTCTCGACGCTGCGCAAGCTGGTCAACTATGCGCGGCGCCTCGGTCCTGCCCGCGAAGTGGTCGCGACCATGCACATGGTGGGCACGCAGATGTTTGACACGAGCTCCAAGATCGACAAGGTGCTGTCCACGCGGCTGTGGAAGCTAGTGCACAGTGACCTGGTCAATATTCTCGATATCCTCGACCGGAACCCTGGCTTCAAGCTGGCGCCGCTGACGTCGGAGGACCAGGCTGACCTCATTCGCGCCGGCGCGACCAAGAGCAAGGACGCCGCCGATGCCGACGACGACGACGACGACGTGCCCGGCCAAGACCTCCTCCCCGTGGCCGGGGCCAAGGGCGTGATCAAGGTCTCGGGGGACCTCTCTGCGTTTGTGGAGCGATTGGCGGACGAGTACACCAAGAGTCTGCAGCAGCTGGACCCCCACACGTCGGACTACATTGGCCGACTGTACGACGAAGCGCTGCTAAGCGGCCTCGCCAAGCGGGTGCAGGACTACTTCAAGCGGCAGCAAGACCACGTGCGCGGCGCCGCCGTGGCGCTGATCCAGGCCGAGCTCATGTACTACAAGCACGACTCGATCGCAAACGCACTCCACGCGTCCAACGCCAAGCGCGCCATCTACGGCGACCCCGCGCTCCTTCATCCGGCGTGTGAAAGCTCGTCGGCGGTCGCGGTCGAGTCGTTTGATCCGTCCGTGGTGCACCCCGCGTCCGTGCTCGGCCAGCCGCGCGTCGACGTCGAGCACGTGGACGTGGAGAAGGAGCTGTCGGAGCTGTGTCTGTACGTGTACAAGTACGCGGACGACCGCAGCAAGACCCGCGCCATGCTCGCGCACATCTACCACCACGCGCTGCATGATCGGTTCCATGAAGCACGAGACCTTCTCTTGATGTCGCACCTCCAGGACACGATCCTGCATACGGATATTGCGACGCAGATCTTGTTTAACCGGATGATGGCGCAGCTGGGGCTGTGCGCGTTTCGCCTCGGGCTCACGTGGGAAGCGCACGCGTGTTTGAGTGAGATTTGCACGGGTTCCAAGACCAAGGAACTGCTGGCGCAGGGGATGGCGTCGTTCCGCCACCAGGAGCGTAACGCGGACGAAGAGCGCCTCGAAAAGCGCCGCCAAGTGCCGTACCACATGCACATCAACCTCGAGCTGCTGGAAGTGGCGCACTTGACGTCCGCCATGCTGCTCGAAGTGCCCAACATGGTGCTGTCCCGCACGCAGGACCGCCGCCGCGTCATCTCGAAGGCGTTCCGCAAGCTGCTCGAGTTCCACGACCGACTCGTGTTTGCCGGTCCCCCCGAGAACACGCGCGATCACATCGTCGCAGCCGCCAAGTACTTGTCCCAGGGCCAGTGGCAGCGCAGCGTCGCCCTCATCTGCGGGCTGCCGGTGTGGGATCTGCTGCCGGGCACGGGCACGTCCGACAAGGTCAAGGCGCTGGTGCAGCACAAGATCCAAGTCGAGTCGCTGCGGTCGTACTTGATGGCGTTCTCGGAGGAGTACGATTCGCTCGACTTGGCGCAGCTGTGCGCCATGTTTGAGCTCGAGTCGAAGACGGTGCACTCGGTCGTGTCCAAGATGATGATCAACGAAGAACTGCAAGGCGCGTGGGACCAAGGCTCCCAGACGATTGTGCTGCACAAGGTCGAGCGCACGCGGCTGCAGCAGCTGGCGCTCCAGTATAGCGACAAGATTGGCACGATTGTGGAAAACAATGAGCGTATGATGGACCTGCGCTCGGCTCACACGAACAACCCCAAGGACCCCCACCACGATAGCTCGTACCAGCGCCGCAACGACAGCCGCAAGTACGACAATAACTCGAAAAACCAGCTCAACAACTCGAACGCAACCAACTCGAACGTCCGAGGCACCCAAAGCAGCCGAAAGAACCCCCCCGGCAACCAAGGGGGAAACAATGCGACCAAGGCCAACAATTATGCTGGCAAAAGGTGGTAGAAGCTGTTAAAGAAATTTAGAGCATATATTGTTGGTTTGGTGCTGACAGTTGGTGGATACTAATAACTGCTAGTACATATGTACTAGTTAGTGTACTGTACAGGGGTGGTATATATATAATATATATACGAATTGCATGGTATTTTATATATATATTCTAGTCGTACATGACTATGGGGACGTGAGGAACGCGGCAATTTTGGCCAGTTTGCCGTCGACGTCAAGTTTCTTGGCTTCAAGAGCTTGGCGGTCGCGATTCAAAGTCTCGATGGTTGCCTTGGCTTTTTGCACGGCCGCCGTCAACGACGCGATCTCCTTCTCCATGTCCTTGTGTGCGGCCGACAACGTTGCTTTGGACTCTACTCGCATATACGTATACACATGATCTAAGTACGACGATGGACGAGAGATCTACTACTACTGCCGTACGGCGCACGTTCTGCACGTCGTTCTTGGTTGCAGCTAGCGTCGCAATGAGCATCTTGAGGGCGTTCTCGTGGCCTCCCACGTCAGACAGTCGGCGCTGCAGTTTAAAGCGACTCTTGATGGCCTCGTCCTGCTGCTTGCGCACGGCTAGCTCGTCTTGCACGAGCTGGGCCATCTTGGCACGGCGATGGGCGGCCTCAGCAGTGAGAGCCTCGTAGCGTTGCCGTCGTTCGTCCAAGGTCACGGTGGCGGTCTCGATGAGACGTTTGAGCTCGGCGACGTCTTCCTTTGAGTGCTGGATCTCCAATTTGTGATAAGCAATGGCATGGGACGCAGTAGTGGACTTGATCGTCGTCGTCGGCATTACGAAACCGTTCTGAAACGGGGTCAATAGAATCCGGATAATTAACGGTATCCTGTCCCTTTTTTCGGATGCGAACTTTGGATCGTGGGGCCAAGAACTCGAAGGAGCATGGACAAGTACCGCCGAGGAGAGAAAAAGGCCACGGATCAGGACGCCGCGACGTTGCCGAACGAAGTTCGGATCACAAAGTTTGGGAATGTGCATGGGTATGTATCGTATGCTACGAACCTGCTCACGCCCGCCGACAAAGCGACGACGTCAGGGGACATCGTGCTGAAGGCGATGGGGAATGCCATCAGCAAGGCTGTCACCGTGGCCGAGATTCTCAAGCACCGCATCCCAAACATCCACACGGTCACGAATATTTTGTCTGTGGAGACCGAGGACGTGTATGAGCCACTTGAAGAAGGCCTGGACGTTGTGACGACCGTCCGCCGCATTCCCAGCATTTCGATCCAATTGGCGTTGAACGTGTCCTTGGTCAACTTGAACGCGTCCGGGTACCAAAAGCCCATCCCTGTGGACCAAGTGAACCCGGAATCTGACGGTGTGACGAATGTGTACGATGGAGATGATAGCCGACAAACTCGCGGCGGAGGTCGTGGCCGTAAGCCACGTGGACGAAGCGGCCGAGGTGGTGGCCGTGGTCGAGGGGGAGATGTAGCTGTTGAAGAAGGCGAAACGGCTGCAGTGGGTGGTTACGCAGCTGAGAGCGGCGAAAATGGTGAAAGCAGAGCCCCGAAGGCGCGTCGAGCTCGCGCAAAGAAGAACGTTGTGACAGCCTCGGGCGCTCCAGAAGTGTCGGAAAATGCAACTGCAGCTGCCGAGACTACCAACGAAGAAGCAACGGGCCGAGGATCGCGCGGTGGTCGAGGATCGCGCAATGGTCGAGGGCGTGGCCGAGGCATTGGAGCTGTCGACGACGACGCACAAGATGCAGGAGGTCGAGGTGGTCGCAGTGGTGGACGTGGAAATCGAAGTCGCCGTGGACCTAAGCCAGCTGGGGACGATGCCCAAGTCGAACATTCTGGATATGCTGTTGAGGTTGCGGCAGAAAATGGAGCGGTGGCGTCCAGCGCTTCTGTTCCGCGCGCGCGAACGTCCAGCGCTTCGAGTGTTGGTGCTGGTGGCCGTGGAAACGGCGGTCGTTCTCAATCCCGTGGCGGCCGCGGGGAAGGCAAGCTCTTTGCTGATCAGTAAATGGATAAGGCGCGCAAAACAGGAATGAGTTTTTAAAATTGTTCCCACGTATACTTTACCCTAGTACAACAATGGCTTATTGTTTATAATAATTATTTGACACCTTTCCACCAATTTTTCCCATCATCCTGCATGAAGAAGGTGAAGGCGAGTGGGTTCATCAACCTGCATAAGCCTAGCGGGCTGACATCGCATGACTGCGTGGCCAAGCTCCGCCGAATCCTCAGGACGAAGCGTGTGGGGCATGCAGGGACGTTGGATCCTATGGCCACTGGCGTGCTGCCCATTGCAGTGAATCGCGCGACGAAATTCATTCAAGTAACTTCTCGATCCACCTCGTGGATGGTCGTGGACATCATATTCGTCGCGTGCACGTGTAGTTCCTCGACAAATCCAAGGCGTACGACGGAACCATTCGATTTGGGATCACAACTGACACTGACGACATCACGGGGTAGCGTACTTCAACTTCATGATGGCTGGGAAAGGTTCGAATGACACTGATCTCCAGGAACATCCTTCATGAACATCCCGTGCCCTGGCTAACCAAGGCTCGAATCGACGACGAACTCAAAGCGTACAGGCGTCACATCCACCTCGCACCATTGGATTCAACATCCCATAGGTTTGTGGGCAACATCACACAGCGGCCGCCCATGGTGAGCGCCTTTCGAAAGGATGGCGAACGTTTATACACCCTTGCAAGGGAAGGCAAGGTTGGTCGTCATGCCGTATCAGCTCGATCCATTCCAACGTCGATTGTAGATACAACTGGAAGACGTACCCTTGCGCAACGTGACCGTGGATTCTATCAGTACACAGGCCTTCGAACCCCATCCTTCGTTTCCAGAGGTAAGTCTGTGCATGTATGCATGATGCGACCCCACAATCCTTTCCCTAACATCTACCTGTGTGCAATAGGCAACCATTCGCGTCGTTTGCAGCGAAGGTACATACATTCGATCCATTGCAAGGGAGTGTGGAGAGCGCATCCCCATGCTGTCGTCGTCCTCCCACGCCGACACGACTTCCTACGTGGGGGCGACACTGTCCATGCTGCATCGCGTCCAGAGCGGCGGCTTTCTCAGCTCGTCGAGCGTCAAGCTAGACGAGATTGCTGCCGCCGTCAACGTACGTCCTTCATATGTCGTCATATTGCGATGAATTCCCTTACAATGTATAGGCTGAAACGTTTGACTTGGAGCCCATTGAGTCGTGCTTGCCGACGTCGTTTCCAACGTGGACCGTCGACGCAACCACGGAAGCGCGATGGATTGGCGGCATGTCAGTCCACTGGTTCGACGACATGGCGTCTAATGCCAGTTCCTTGACCAACTGGCCGGCCAGTGAGACCAGCCGCCTCGTGGCCGTTTACCGCCACGACGGCAACCAGTTTCTGGGCGTGACGACTCTGACGCGAACGAACGAGTTGGATCGATACGTTGTCACAGGACCACGCGTCATCGTCGACCCATTGGAGTGAACGCCACCATCACCACAACAATGTCACAGATCATGTTGTTTATGGCTGGTCCAAGTAGTCTTCGGCACGACATGTCTGGGCGGTGCGGATATGGCGCACCCATGAGGCCCGCGCCGCCGCCGTGGCCACTCGAAACCGGTACAGTTTCGGCTCCTTGACCACCACGACCTTTTTCACCACGTTCGTCGAGCCCAGGAACGCATGCATGTCATCCAACATGGTAGACTCGGACGATGGGTCGACTGCTTTGTCGTTCGTCATGTCGTTGTTGGGAGAATAGCTTTGAACGATGGACACGTTCACAGGAAGGATGACGTCCTCCTCCTCCTTCTCATCTCCATCCAAGGAGTCGGCTTGGTAGGGCGGTGGAGGCACTTCTAGCACTTGAAAGCAAAATCCTCGCTTTCCTGGGATGTCCACACACATCACGTCGCACCGCATGACAGGAATCGCCACGACCGAGTTCTGCATGTCGTCCACGGTAGCTTTGTCGGCTTTGGCGTCGGACGTGTAGAAGTTGAGGTACCCACAGTGCAGTTTGAGGTGCACTTGGGACCACGGCTTGTACGTGCTGCGACGGTTCCACTTGTGCACGAGTTGGACTTTGGTTGGCATTTGAACAAACGTGACGTTGCACGGGGTCGATGACGTTGCAGAGATGCCATGGGCTTTAAACAAGTCGACCATCTACGCAAATGAAAAGCCAAACGACGACGGATAACGTCATAATCATGTGATCATTCCGCATGGAGGTCTTGGGTACTACTTGTAGTCGCATCGCTTCTGTCCTTTGATCGTGCGTTGCTAGTTGTGGATTCGGACTGATCGTGATGGACTTTATGTCGTCGGCAAGTTGTACCGTGTGGCCGTTGATGGCCACGAGCAAGCTACCTACTCATTCGACCAAGTCATGCGTGGGAAAAAAGGCATCAATGACATCATGAACGGCCAGGGTGTGCTGTTCGTACCCACGGACAACGACGAGGTCGATCGCCGCGCCTTATCGACGCTCAGCACGACCATGCCATGGCCAATGCGGTCAAACGTAAACGAAAACCCGTCGTTGATGGCATCGCGAAGTATGAACGACACGGTTTCGAAAGTGGACTTGGCCACGGGACTGGCGGGAGGCGACACACGTGGAGACGGTGCCACGTCATCCTGGCATGTCGTTGCGACTTGCGGGGGCACATGCACACACGGCTTGTCGATACGCAAGGGCCAGTCGCGTTTTTGCACGTAGCGAGTGTTAAATGCCTGGCGAATGTGCTGCAACTCCTTTTGGTTCATCTGACGATTCGAGGCCAGGATCATATATTCTTGTAACCGACGGCTGCTGCCATTCTAGTTCCAAACAACCCCTTGATAGTATCTCTATGAGGGGTACAATATATGTGCATATATATGCTGTATTATGTAACAAACAGTGAATTACATGCTACATATCCGACTAATTTTGACTAGGAATTGTGAAATTACTCTGTCGATTGCGCAACTCTTGGCAGATTAGTATAATTTGTTACTTTCCGGATACCGTCAGTACTTTGATTCATATATTTTGAATTATAACAGTAACTACATTCGAAATACAACCCAACGAGCCCACTGTTATAACTCTAGTGTTCAATGACAACGTGTGTTACTTTATTGGCTAATCACGCCAGAGGTACAGAACAACAGATAGTGTGTGGTATAGTGTCCCATAAAATATGATCCTATATCAATTAAACTATTTACAAATTTAAAGTCATAAAATAAATCATAGGCAGAGGTACTTCTGCCGTCATGTTCCAAATTCGCCTTGCGCCCGTGACTCACGTGCTCTTGAATGGACACATGCCGCCTGTGGTGGATGAAGCAGCATTCGCGAATTTCTCGTCGGTCTGAAAATGTTGACTTGGCGCACCATCCTTGCGACGGCCATGGTCACGACCATGTCTCGCGCCCAGGAATTCACGGGCGATGGTACTGGGTATGTACTTGACAAACCGAGCAGCGGGAATTGTAACTTTATGAATGTCCCCGAAGTCGTCTCGACCAACTACGTCGCGCTGGCCACGGAGCGCTTTGCGCGCACCGCGGCATGTGGCAAGTGCATCCAAGTACGATGCACTGACGTTCAGTGCAATGGCGCGACGGCCACCGAAACGCTGTACGTCGTGGACCGTTGCCCAGAATGCGCCAAGGACGACCTCGACTTCTCCCGCGAAGTGTTTCTGAAACTCACCGGCGGCATCGAGCCTGGCCGCCTCAAGATGACGTGGTCGTATGTGACGTGTCCACACTCGTCCGACATCGTCATGTGCAAGAAACCCGGCAGCAACGCGTTTTGGCTCGCCGTCCAACCCGCTGGTGCAGTCACCGGCGTCAGCTCTGTGAAAATCAACGGCAAGTCTACGGGGATGGTCGACTCTGCGTATTACTTCAAACTCGAATCCAGTCCTGCCGTCGACTTGAGCAAAGTGCAGTTTGAACTGACCCCTGACAATGGCGGCGACGCCATCACGACCACCCTCGACATGACCAAGGAAGGATGCGTGCCAACTGGCAAGCAGTTTGGCCGCTCTGGCGGCGCCCCGCCGCCGCCGCCACCGCCACCGCCATCTCCTCCAGCTTCGTCGTCCGCGGTTCCAGTCACGACATCGGCTCCAGTCACGACATCGGCTCCAACCACGACATCGGCTCCAGTCACGACATCGGCACCGTCGACGACGAAACTTGCTGCGACATCTGAATCCACCAACATACCGGAAGTCGTCACCACGGAAGTGGTCGCTAACGTCACCACGATTGCGCCAACTCCAGTCGCCACAACTTCCGAAGTCACCACGTTGCCCCCTCCATTGGAAGAGGCAACGACTACGCTCCCGGTATTGACCAGCGTTGGTCTGGACAGCCCTGACGCCAGCCCATCAACGACCAAGCAGCCGACGTCGTCGCCTCAAGGCGTTGAGATCTCGGTGCAAGCCCAGTCCGAAGACCGCGGGCTGGACTTGGGGTACTACTTCTTGCTGGCCGGCGGTTGCATCATGGCCGGGGTCGCCCTTGCCGTCATCGTGCACATCCGACGAAAGAAGTGGGACGATGAAAAGGAAAGCGACTTGGGCTTCAACGACGCGCAGACTGCGATCGCCGCGCGACGGACCGACGAAAGCATTGCCATTCTGTAGAATATTAAGTAATGCAGTTGTGTTTTCTTGAATATACCAGTACAAATGAATAGAGTGTATTGAATATAAGAGGCTACGCACGTTGGCCTGATGACGTCGGCAACACCAGCATCATCGATCCGATACTCGCGGTTGGTACATGCATGCAAGAAGTTTCTAGCGACAGATGCAACCCAAGCGTCCTCGTCAGACATCTCCAAGGTATGCATCTCGTTGGTGAACATGTAACAAAGTGGCAATCCAGTTTGTGCGATGTGTCCATCACGCGCTGAATGCAATCCAAGCCGACAACGCCCTCGTGAACACTACGTTCCACGACGACTTGCATCTGATCGAGGCCGATCTCAAAGCTTTACACGGACCAACAGATGACGAATCTGCATTTCCTACACAAAACGTGCTGCGGCAGCGACGCCAACGCGCGGTGGCCCTGCGGTCGTCAACGGATACCGATCCCATCGGTGCGATCTTATCCCACGTGGAAGGGAAAGTAGTGAGCACATGGGAAGACAAGAAGTTGAGTCTCATGGACGACGACTTCATGACGTTCTCCACCGCAGACTTCACCGTCGAGTCCGCATCCTCCAAGTCGCCATCCGTGCGCGCCATTCGAGATCAGTTGGGGTGTGTCCATCTATATCTCGGCGACGACGACGTATTTCCCATGTGTATATTGCCTAGGCTTGTGCCAAACAATCGGTCCGGCAGTTTGTCGGCGGCCAAGAGCGTCGAGGCCAAGGAAGCGCTGGAAAACGAACTGCAGGCGCTGTCGAGCCGACTAAAGCACGCCACGCATGGCCTGAACCAGAACCTCAAGGAAGACGCGACCTTGCTGGACCAGGTGGCCGCCGACGCCGAAGCCAACCAGGCCAAGCTGGACACGGAGAACCGAAAGCTGGCTGTGCATCGCCAGTCGCGCATCGGGTTCTTCACGACCATGTACCTCCTCGTGGGGCTCGGCGTCGTATTTATTGCCATGTACCTGTTCATGAAGGTCTGGTCCACGCGACACTACCCTATCTTGTAACATGCATGCAGTAGATGTACTAGTAGTAGTAGTACTAATCATCCGACACAAGGAATATATATATATATGTACTTGAGCAGGACATATCGCGTGTTTCAGCAGTTCAAAGTACACTTGAGAGGCTCCGTACAGTACAGTAGTTAGTAGTGCACCGTCACAACTGAAGGAGGGAGGCACGACACACACACATATGTAGTTTGTGGGCAAAACTCGTTTTGCATTGCACTTTGTATAGATTTATGAAAAGTAGACACTGCCCTTTCGGGGATCGTTCAACGGCGGGTGCTTCTTTGTGGCTTCGCGGTAAGCCTCCGAGGACATGGGCGCAATGTGGCTCGACGTCGAGTAATCCACGTTGTCGTGGCCAAAGCTGTAGTGGCATTTCCTTAGATCTACAGAGTACCCACCATTCATCATCGTTATCCAGCCAGACATGGCAACTCCTACCGTCCTTGACATCGGCGGCCATAACGGCGACCTTGGCGTCCTTCTGGTCGAAGTTCATGGTGCCCTTGGCGGTGGACACGTAGCCCACGTCGTCGTCTCCGTACACAAACGGGCACTTCTTTGGCCCTGACCATGAAAATGAGGGGCCTCGATACGCCGTGAACGGACTACGTACCTGTGATCTTTCTCGTTTCGTCTCGCATGGCTATGGACTTCTTCATATCGTCGCGATTCCACTGCGTGGCGGCCTTGGTGGAGGTTGTGAACTGCGCCTTTTCGTAGCCAACAATAGCGGATGTCTTGACAAGCATCGCCCGTGCATCCACGTTCAACTTGGCAGTGTACTTTTCAATCTCCCCCGTCGGATCCTGCAACTTGCTGCTCGTGTCGTAAGTTAGTGGCTTTTCGTTAGCGTCGCCCAGGTCGAAGTGGCGCACGCGGTGCTCTTCCTTGATGCGCTTTCGGTGGTCGTTGTCGCCAGGGTGTTGGAGATACCGCGACGAGGACATGGCGTTCATTTCCTTCGCAGATGTCGAGTAGTTCAGCGGGTCATATCCAACGACAATGCTCGATTTCTCAAGCTCCGCACGAGATTGCTGCTCCAACGCCGACGGCATATTCAATCAATAACACTCATGCTGCCATCTTGAAGCTGCAATGCAAATATAGAACTCGCCCTCTGATTGGCCCACACGCGAGATAGATGAATTGGCTCCTTTTAATGCATTGAATAAATTATATAATCTCAATATTCACAGTTCGTTGTAACTGTAAATAATGACATTTGCTTCGAAGTTCGATTTTACTGAATACTATTAATAGTACTACTATTAATAGTATTGATCTGCCTCGTGCTTGGCGATCTTCAAGGGTCACAGGATCACAATGTTTCTATACAATGTTTCTATTTATGAGAAAGAGTGCAGGAAAACGACAGAGCATTTTACGAGATTCCAGCACGTCATCATGCACCACAACACCGAAGTCGTCAACGCCGTGCGCCGAGAGCGCGGTTGGAACGCCAGTCCGGATGTGGCGTCGAAGCGCGTGCTTCTCATGGACGACCAAAGCGGTCGTCCGGCCGCCTACCGGGCCATGAAGAAGGCGAGTCGCGCCGTCTCACAGGGCAGCTGTCCGCTCGCTGACCTCGACTCGAAGCCGACAACAAGCCGGAGTGGAACAAGAGCTCGACCTCCACTCGAAGCGGCAAGTCAACAGTCCCAATACAGATGAGCGCGAACGATTAGCCACCTTGCAAGCGAAGTTCACATCGCTCGATTCGTGCCATTGCCACTGGGGCGCACCTTGGTATAAGGAACCCAAGTACCGCGGCAAACTCGCAGCGTGTAGTGGCCACTCATCGAATGATGGAGCGCCACGTCGTAGTTCAAGAGCACGAAGCCCGCGTTGTGCAACTGGCACGTCTCGATCTTTTGCCACTGGACCACAAGTTGGCGTGGAACGCTAGCCCCACGTCGCCTTAGAATGTGTCGCTGCGGCCCGTCCACTAGCACTCGCGGATGGCCCCGTGGCTGCCAAATGCAACCGCGCAGTTCCCCGTGTCGTCGCCCTGCACACGTTCCCGTGGAACCCAAGCTCCTATCCCAAGTCCAAGGCCTGTCTGTCCTCGTGCGCTGGATGCCGTCGTGCTGTCGGTCAAGTCGTCGCGGGGGGGGCAGCGCGAGTTCGCATGCTGCGTTAACCTCCTTTATTTCGTTAATACGTTCATATTGGTCAAGATCCGGCGTGAAGGGCACATCATGTAGACTCATGTGCTACTGAATCCATACCAGTGTATGAGATGTTGGTCCACCGAAGTTATTGTCATGACTTGGGGGGGCGCTTGTCGCTTGGACTGGTAGAACTATTCCGTTGAAGTTGTCATTGGAAATGCAGCACGTGTGAGTACACGAGCGTAATTAGAGTGCCCAGAAGCTTTGAATTTAACGTTCGTGATTTCCGTACTTATAAACCAAAGTATTAGTACAGTGTATTTGCGTATATACATACTACCGGTAGTACTACAGTAGTACTACGTCGTAGGCAATACAAGTGTTGCCCATAACGTTATATGTATTCCGTTGATGAAACAAACAAGCGGATACATTCGTCAAGGAGACACACGTACGTATACATGCTAGTTTTCGACCAACACAAAGCTGTCATACATGTACAGTACGCGGAAACAGAACCACTACTAGTATGTACTATACGTATATGTAGTATTATTTACTCCTACATACTCCGGAGTTAGCACGCAGCAATACCTACAGGTAGTAGTACTAACGTTACACTAGAACATTGTCGTACACGCGACAATAGTTTTTGCCAGTAAGGACGAGCTCAGGCAAGACCGAATCATGGCTGTAGATGACCACATTATATTGGTTCGACTCCCCAAGGTGCAATCACGGGATTCTACGTGGCTTTCTAATTCTTCTTGGTGTTGTAGGCTACAGTGTCTTGGTTCAACGGGTTTTGAGGCGATCGGCGCCACTACGATGACGTGCCACGTCAGTGACAACAACCACTACACTATCGACCAACGTACCAAGTCGCTCAAGCGTTGCTTGTACTGAGATAGCTTCAGGCCAGGGAAATCTTCTCGCAACTGGACCATCGTCACTTCTTCAAACGCTTTGTAGGCCTATGCATGCGATAAGATTCGGCCGAACTCAGATGTACTTGTCGATGTACCGCTTTCATGCGGCGCTCGGGGTGGCGTTCAGGGTCTTTGTCGTTGACCCCAAGCATGTCCAACGCTCCTTCAATCGTCGTCGCTACAGTACCCATCGTCAATACCACTTGTATCGATAGCCCATGACCAAACAAACCTTCCAACGCATCCGTTTGCAAGCGATTTCGGTTTTGGAACAGGTCGTCGTCAGAGCGTTCGTCAAACACAATGTCGTTGCGAGAAGCTGGCCGCGCCGGGGCGGGGGCTGCGACGACTTTGGGGGCTGGTGGAGGGGCACGACTGCCCTTGTTGCTCTTCTTCGCAACAGGTGCCAATGCAGCTTCCCATGGCTTGTCAATGTCTTTTTGAGCTTTCGACTTGGCCTTCGCCTTGATGCCACTCATCGCCGCTTCTTCTTCTTCCTGCAGACGCTTCAGCTCTGCTTTCTTCGCGTCAGCTTGTTGGCGCTTCAACTCTTCCTCCTGGGCGCGTTTGGCAGAACGACCGTCCGCACCTTGAGCCCAATCCGCCGCTGCGTTTGCTTCTTCCTGCGCGGACTTCTTCGACTTCTTGTCCGCGGCTTGCGCTGCCTACATTGCCATATCCATGACGATCCGTCATTCTAGAAATCCGTACTGTGTACCTTGCGCTGGTTCGCGGCCTCCACCTTAGTGTTGGTGTTTCCCTTCTTTGGTCCCATTGTCCTTCGTGAAAATGCAAATGTTGGCCAGTGATGGGAGCTCAAATATCCGGATATGCTGATCTGCGAAGTGTCCACAAGGTATCCGGAATTCTCGTACCTCCGGATATCTGACTCACAATCCGGAAAAGCAGGACCATTTTCATCATGCCGTTTGCGATCCGAGCGCTGCGCACGGACGAAGTGGACACTTGGGTGGCGCATTGTACGGAGGTGTTCAAGCATGATTCGTCCGCGTACTTCGTATCCCATTTGCAAGATGATTCCAGTGCGCTGGAGGACATGAACAACATCCTTGTGGCAGATGAAGATGGCACCATTGCTGCAACAGTTCGAGTGATCCCGCGCAGCCAGTTCATCGGAGGGCGCGTGGTTTCCATGGGTGGAATCGCGGAAGTGTCCACCAAGGAAAAGTTCCGTGGGAAGGGTTTGGCATCGAAACTTCTCCGAGCCGCCATCGACGGACCGCTGGCTTCAGTAGACGTCTCGGCGCTCCACACAGATGCCGATCGGTTGGGTGGCTTCTACGGCAAACTGGGCTACACACCCATGCCATTGAGGAGCGTGTCTATCCCCGTCAACCTTCCCTTGCCACCGCTTTCTCCACAGCTCCACATCGCACCACTCACCGACCTCGCCATCCACTCAAGCGCCTTGCTGCGCCTATACCACACTGTGTCGTCCAAGTTCAATGGACCTATTCAGCGGACTGAGGCATACATCTGCCAATGGATTGCAGCCCGCCATCGCCGCGACCACATCCAAGCTGTTGGTGCCTGGAATGCCCAGGGCCAATTGGTCGGGTATGTTTTCGGCCGGACCAAGTTACGAACAAACGACAACACGATCCTCGTCGACGAATTGATCGTACCCGACTCACTCCCCGAGTCGCACGCCGTGGCCGTCCATTTGCTGGCAGCCCTCGCGACCACTCCAGGCCCCTGTGCGTTTGTCGTGTCCAATCTGCCCGTCCCCGTCGCCAACGAATTGGGATTTCTCCCCACGGCCATCCCGGAAGACGTCGTTATCTCGGAAGATCGAGGGTTTATGGTGCAGCGGCATGGCCTCGCTTTGGACTTGTGGCAGCAGCTTGTAAAGACCGGCACGAACAATGTGTTTTGGAAATCAGATGGATTTTAATACAAAGAACTGCTAAATGTGGTGGGTAATTGCAGGGCTTGGTGCACGGCGGTGACAAATTTGCGCTCTTCCCGACCCACTTGCTCTTGGACACGCCGACGCTGGACCTCTGGAAACAGGAACGACGCCAGCAAGTCCTTGACCACTCCGTCGTCCGTCGTGCCTCCCGCCTCCAACGCCGACACGACGTTGGACAAGCCACTGCCGAGCACGCCCGACTCGTGGCGGGCCGTAGCCGTTGCATCTAACAACACGAATAATCATTTACATATACGCAAACCAACAAGCGTACCAGCCTCCACGACGGAGCGCAACACATCCATGACAAAGTCGTCGGCTGTTTCATCATGGACGCGCTGCACGGATTGGAACACGACGTCTTCGCGCTTCCGCAGCATCTCCTCTGCATGCCGCCGTCCGCCTTCGATCACTTCACGCTTTCGGCGCTCGTACACGGTGTCCATCACGAACTCGTTCAGCGCCATGTGTTCGTTGACACGGACGAGTTCCTTGGCGAGGAAGTCGAGGAGGTCCGACACGACTTCGCCCTGGATCTTGGCCACAGTGGCCGCGCCCGCCAAAGTCGCTGCGTTTGCGTCTGCCGCTGCATCGGTCGCGGCGCCCCCAGGCTCGGTACCCGCCTCGCGCAGTTCCGCAATGAGTTCGGTGCGCCGGCCCTTGCCTTCAAACATGGTGTTTTGCACGGCTCGACCTCGAAGGAGCTTTTGCAAGAGACGCACCGCATCGTGGGCGGCGTCGTCGTCGTCGTCGTCCACGACGCCGTACAGTGGGGTGGGCGGCCGGACGTTGTGTGCCCCGCCGCCGACCTTGAACTTCGTTCCCCCTCCTGTCGTCGTCGTCGAGTGGTCGTCGGTTGAGATGGTCTTGGTCTGGTTGATCTTGGTTTGCATGGACAAGAGGTGCCCTTCGATCGCTGCCTCCCGTCGATCCTTGGCCGTCTTGATCACCTTCACGGGGGGTTTGTGCATGGACGGCGCCAGGAACTTGGACCCGACCGTCACCTCGAGCGCCTGAATCTCGTCCAGCCCGTGCAGACGCGCCAAGCCCACTTCGTGCACCGTGTCGTGCTTGCCCGACTTGCCCGCCCGCGTCACGGGGGCGTACACGGTCGACCCGAACGCCGTGTACTCGCCAATGATGTCTCGCTTCAAGTCGCGCTTGGGGTAGATCTTCTGCGCCGCGGCGCGACGCTTTGCCAGCTTTCGCAGTGCCGTCACGCGCTCTTGCTGGATGCGTTCGATGGTCTCGTCCTTTTCGGCCGTGAGGCGTTGCCGCAGCGCTTCGATGCGCTGCTCCGCGAGGAACTGGTTCTCGTGGTCGCGTTCGACCAGGGCCTTTTCAAGCAACTGCAGGCGCTGGTCGTGCACGCGGTCGATCTCGACTTCCCGGAATGCCCATTCCGCCTTTTCCTGCTGCTCCATCATGCGCTTCCGCAGCTCGAACGACGCTTCGTCCGTCATGGGCGGCAAGGACGCGTCAAACGCGCGCTTCTGCCGGTTCCTTTGGATCAGCTCCACCTCTGCCATGCCCGCGGGGAGGCCATTCTCATACGAGAAGCTCGTGAGCGTCGCAATTTCCGGGGACGTGCCAGCCTTGACGGTGAAGTCCGGCGTGTACGGGGTCGTTTGCGCCTCCGAGTCGCGATACATGGTCTGAATTCCGATGCTCCGCGTGGGCTCCGTGTCCTCATCCGCGACAGGCGGGGCGGAAGGGTTGGCTTGATGGGGCCCCGCAACTGGCGGCGCCGGGGCGAGCAATCTGCCAGATCATGTCATGCCAAGAGACTAGAATGGAAAGAGTGATGTACATGTCAGGTGGGATGGCTTGGACATAAGGCAAGATGGGGCGTTTCGAGTATTTGGCTCGCTCCGACCCACTCACAGCTTCAAACCCAACGGTCACGGACGGGATAGCCGTGCCGCCGCCTCCGCCTCGTCGGCCGTGGTGCACACCTCGCCACTTGCCCCCCGTGTTGGACACAGTGTAAATGGGATCTACACACCCGCTGAAGGCCAAGTCCACATGAACGACGATCGTGCAATAGTACCGTAGACGGGGTCCAAGGCCCGCGCGGCCATTGCTCGCGACATCGCCGACAAATTGCCGTCTCCAGAGGTGCCGACCGTTTCAAAGTCGAAAGGGCACGGCAGTTACAAACCCCGACTTTGAACTGCAAACTACTGTACTGCGTATGAATCGACCCCAGCTCATGTCAACAGCACATGGCTATTACCACAGTCCATGCCGCAGCATTCTTTTTGCTGCTAAATCGCCTCCAACGACACAAACCCACGTAAAAACTGTTTCTATTGGTCACATGTACACATGGTGTCACGTTCAGCTACGTGTGCACGAGGCCTAGCGCTACATCATAGCGACCCCCCCGCATTTGTGCGATGCAACGCGGCAAAGTCGAGGGCAACTGACGTGCTCTTGTGCACACAATCCGACAGCCCCACGCCGTAAAAGCTGTTGCCGACCACAGTAAGCGACGCGTGAAACGCTTCGGCGAGGTCTGCCTCCAACGACGCCACGTCGGCGTGATACCCCACGGGGTACTGGGGGATTGCGTGTTCGTACCATGTGCTTTCGACGTGGACGGGGGCGTCCGTCACGCCCAAATGGCGCTGGACGGTCTCGAGGGCCAGCGCCTCCCGCTTCGCCCTCGGCATCGCCGCCACCGCGGGATGGTTTTCCCCCCCGACGAACACACTCAGTCGGGTGATGTTATTGGTCTGGTCAAAGTTTTGCTGGGGAAACGAACACGAGTCGTAGATGACCCCCAGGATGCCCTGGTTTTCGCACGTGGGCACGAGGTAGCCAAAGCCGGGGTGTTGAATCAAGTTCCGATGGAAACCGAGGGTGACGACCCCCAACGACGTGAACGGGAGCCGGGACAGCGCCGCGGCCGCCGACGGGGCGACGGACTGCACCAATGGCGCCAACCGAGGCGCGGGAAGGGCGGAAAATACGTGGTCGGCCACGATCGTCTCGGCGGCGGACGCTCCTGCGTCGCGAACGCGGACAACAACCCCGCTGCCATGCTGGGTAGTCCCTGCCGAGGACGGAGAAAGGGATTCCACGGTCGTGTTGAAGCGAATGTCCGTGTGTGGCGTGGCCTATGGAAGACAATCGCAATGAAACGATCAGACGCCAACATGGACTAGATGTGGCATCGGCGCGCAGCACCTCGATGTGAGCCGCGAGGGCGTCGGTGAAGGTTTGCATGCCGTGGGTGAAACTCATACTCATGGCTTTACTGCCGGTTTTTACAAAGGAAGAGTGTGCGGTGCCGTCGAGAAGTGTGGTGGACTTGGGGGGGCTGCCGAAGAGCATCGCGCGGACGATCGAGCCGTGAGATTGTTCCATGTCCCACAGCAGTCCAAAGCACGACCGCATCGACAGATGTCGGATGTTGCCGCCAAAGATGCCCGATACCATCGGATCCAGCAACCTGTTGGCCACCACGGGGGAAAAGCGTCTTGAAATAAAGTCATAGATGGATTCGTCCGACGCCTGCTTGCACGTGAGATGGAAACATGCGATGGTCATGTATGCTGAGTATGGGAACACACCGTAGTCTTGGGCACTACGAGTTCACGCAAAACGGCTTGAAGTACGTCCCATGCCAACGGCCACTGCAGGAACTCGAGGATAGTCGAAGGCGCTTTCTAATGCATGATGAGATAGATCGCCGACGGAGGATCGTCAACGCACCTGGATTTTCCCGTGGGTGAAGATATACCGACTGTTGCCCGAGGACGGGATGCATTGGTCTTGCAGCCCTAGTTCTTCGACCAAACGCAGCATTTCAGCACCATTGCGGCTTGGACGGAACCCGCGCGGCCCCGCTTCAAACAGAAACGGAGGGGTGTGCTTCGTCTTGATCCATCCTCCGACGCGACTGCTCGATTCTATGAGCTCGATGCGTACAGCCGCAGGTAGGTGCTTACGTAGCTGGTGCACCAAGGACAACCCAGAGATGCCACCGCCCAAGACCACGACATGCTTCATGGTGTCGACGACAGAGCGCAGATGTGCAAATGTGGGCTGTCACTTGTGAATGCGATGAAAACATGCACCTTGTATCCGGATGCTTCGGATAACTCATGCTATTCGGATACGAGTTTATTATCCGGACAGGTCAATCGAGTGATCGAGTCGACAGAATCAACTGAGGACACATGACAGGTACGACAACAAGATGGTGGCGGGCGGCGGCGCGGATGTTTCATGTGACTGTGTGACGTAGACTATGCAGAAGAACAGACGATGGAAGTCGAGGCCCTTGAGTCCATCTACATGGACGACTTCGCCAGTACGTGCTGAACAAGCGTTGTAGCGATGACATTGACATTGCCGGTAGAGGTCCAGGACTCCCCGCTGTCGATGAAGGTGAAGCTCATCCCCGACCAAAACGGCGGCGTCAATCATGGTACGGACGACACGACCAATCAACAGCACTGACCAGCATGTAGTCGCGCTGAGCCTGGTGTTCACGATGCCAGCGAAATACCCCGACGCGCTGCCGTTGGTGCGTGCTTCGCGCATGTATCAATTACGAAGTGGACACACCCATGACATGCCGTTTGTCTAGGTGGATATCAAACTCGAGAAGGGTTTGAGCGAGCCACAGGAACGCGACATCCGTGAGCTGTTGAACCAACAGGTACGTGTCACCAGGGTGCCGCATTGTCTCACATTGCTGTAGATGGAGGAAAACACTGGCATGGCCATGGTGTACACCGTGTGCGAAGCCGTCCGCGAGTACTTGATTGAAAACAACCGAGAAGGCAACGTACGTATATAATACACTGGCTCGACAGTAGCTAGCGCTGGCATAGTAGATGTACTACGTAGTAGTAGTTAGTAGATACTATCCAAGTTGTAGTAGATACTACCTACCCCACACACACAAACTGACATGCACTTGATGGTAGGACGGGTCAGAGTACCAAGAAATGCTCCGGCGTCAGGAACATCGCCACAAGACGGACACGATTGCCGCCGAAGCCGCCCAGGCCATTTTGGTATACTATCTCCACTATCGCACAAAGCACGATCCAAATATTAATATATATATATAAATATATATATAGGACAAAGAGAACGAAGGCAAAGGGCCGGCCAAGTCGACCACGGGCACCCCCGTCACGGTGGCGTCGTTTAACGCGTGGAAAGCAGCGTTTGATCTGGAAATGGCGACAAAGACCGGTGTCAAAATCGCTGTGGGCGCCGAAAAGAGACTCACGGGTACACTTTGCAGTTTTCATGCGACACGGTCATTGCAGCATGTGTTATGCGATGACGTACAATGTACATACCTAGGTCGACAGTTGTGGACCACGGGCGCTGCCAAGGAAGCCACGGACGCCGACGACAGTGAGATTCAAAGCCTCGACGGCAGCGCCTTTGTCGGCGACGATAATGATGACGATGACGAAGACTATGTGGACAACGATGACGACGAGGACGACGAATAGGACATCCAACGTGTCGTGGCCAGCGGATTGTAGACAGCGATATAACCCTTCAAATATACACTAAAAGGAGCAATGCAGTAACGTTTTTGGTATCTCCAATTTTGATGGAATTTGCCAAAACAATCGAATATTCTATAGTATATTGAATGATTTATGCAAGAAATAGATGAAAAAGGGATACTGTTTTGTAACGGCTATTCGTTTCTCGCGTGGTAACGGCAGACACCATAACCGCTGTCATCAACAGAGTGCCCAGTGACGAGTAGTGATGGAGTCTCACACCGAGCACGCTTCATCGTCTCCACAAGAGTGCGGCAGCAGGAGGTCCATGCTACAGGTGGACGACCCTTTGACCAACACTCCAAACTACTCCACCGACCACCACAACGATGGCAGCTCACAGTCAACACACGACAACACCACAGTGAACATGGATTCACTGGACGCTTGTGTCCACGACATTTTGCACGAGGTATCGTTGTCCTTCACGATGCCGTTCGTCATACGTGCCCCGACTGATTCATGCGATCGTCTGTAGGTGGCCACGTCACCCAACCCACCACACTCGTCCGAGGTGTTTCTCCATGAGCTGGCCATCGACATGCCCGACGATATCCTTCACGCCTCGCCACCGGCGCCACCCATGCCAGTTCCGCCCCTGTTTCATCAGTCTTCTCCCACTAGCTCGAATAAGTTGAGGCTCTCGACCGACGGCGAGGTCGACGTCGACGCCGCCATCCTCCACTCGTCCTCAACCAGTGGCAACTCCACATCGCTGCTTCCGCTGCCACCACCTCTCGCGCTCACGTTTCACTTTGCCATTCTCGTCAAAGTACCGCGCCTTCCAGCAGCCGACAACAGCAACTCGACCGCCCCCGTCGTGACGTTTGACCCGATGGTACTGCAGGGCCTTGAGGACCTCGCCAAGCGCCTCGCGCTCGCGGGGTTCCTCGTGCGGCTGGAGTCGCGGCCCGCATACAAAAAGCACGCACCGCACTTGAAGCTCGTGTTCCTGTTGCACGCCCCGGACGCCATTTTGAGCGACATGCAAGCCAAGATGGAAGTCGAGCGGTGGGTCGCCGGCGGCCGCAATGGGGAGCACTTTCTGGCGCCGCAGCAGCACGGCAAACTCACGTCCGCGGACCGAATTGTGCTCGTGGACCGACTGCTGCATGCCCCGCGACGGCACGGCGGGCTCGGGCTCTTGGAGCTCCAGTCGTCATGTCCGTTCAAAGCGTTTCCATTGCATGACGACCAGTTCAACCGCGAGTACCTTACGCACTGGTTCCTCCAGTGGCGCGCCTACTTTCGCAACAACACGGACAGTGTCGAGAAGATCCGGCTCCACTTTGGCGAAAAAGCTGCCTTGTACTTTGCGTACATGGACTTTTACACCAAGTGGCTGCTGCCGTTGGCGCTGTGGGGGCTATTCATCTACTTTTTGTCTGCGTTTTCATCCACGTTGTACTTTCGCATGTCGGCGATCACAGGTCTCGCCGTGTCCACGCTGTGGGCGACGCTGTTTCTCATTTGCTGGAAGCGCCGGCGGAGCGAGCTCCGGCTCAAGTGGGGCGTCGGCGCCCAAGAGCACGTGCACGTGACCAATCCGCACTTCCAGCCGCCGCCCCCGACCGCGAGCTTGAACGGCGTCAAGTGGAGCCGCCGACTCAAGTACATTGTCGGGTACCTCGTCTTGGTCGTGTTTTTGGTTGGGGAGACAGTCATCACGATTGGGTTTGTGGATTTGTACTTTTTCCTCAAAGCTGGCTGCGCCGGCAACTGCTCCACGGGCGGGCTCGAGAACTGGGTGCTCGTGCTCTGCCAGGGCATCCTCCTGGGGCTCGTCGTAGACATCATCCAGTACCAGATCTTCCGCGTGATTGCCGTGAGCCTCACGCAGTGGGAGAACCACCCGACGGAAAAACGGTACGAGTCGTCGCGGGCGCTCAAAGTGTTTTTGTGGGACTTTTTCGGCATTTACTCGTGGTTTTGGATGTGCGCGTTCGTGTACGTCCCGTACGGGTCGCAGTTTAGCTCGCTCCTGAACGAGTACAATTTGCTGCCGTGGACTTCCAGCTACGAGCCAGGGCTCCTCGAGCTCCAAAGCATGTTTGTGACGCCGCTCGTGGCCACGCAAGGCCTCAAGATCGTGTTTGAAAAGATCATCCCGTACTTTTTGCTCCAAGCCGCCAAGAAAGCCAGCGACGCTAAAGGCATGTACGACGTTTACCATAGCACCCTTGCCGAGCATTTCGACCGGGACGGCAAAACCGTGTCCGCGGCGGCGACGGCCAGTCCCCCGTCCCCCCCCACAGCAGGGGCGACGTTCCCGCCTCCGTTGCGGGCAAAGTCGTCGACTCGGATCATCTCGGACATGCTCACCAGTTTACCCAAGTTGTCGCGTAAATTGACCACGTCATCTACGAAATCACCGACCAATCAACAAGCACAAGGGCCTTCCCCGCAACAACCAAATACCCCCGCAAAACTCGTCAAACAACAGACTCGATCAAGTCGCCGCCGCAGCAGCAACTTTGGCGGCAGTTCCATGGCGTTCCAGCAGCAGCGCCAATGGTTTCTCGATCGTGTGTTGGACCAAGCCCATCAAGTAAGTACACCTTCCATCGAATTGTGATCTATCTATATATATATATATATAAAGATATATATATATATATATAAAGATATATATATATAGATAGATAGATTGATTGTGATGTTCATGGAAACGACTCATGTGATTAGAGCCCCCACGACACGTTTGCCGATTACGCCGACACGTTGGTGCAATTTGGATACGTGAGCCAATTCACGTGCGTGTGGCCGTTCATTCCCGTGTGCGCCGTGATCAACAACGTGTTTGAAGTGCGGTCGTCTGCGTTCCAGGTGAGTAGTACAGTACATCCTTTCGAACAACGCAAAACCAACACTCCAACAAACGAGTGGCTAGTAGTACATCACCAAATTGAAATGTCCATGCTACGTACATGCAACATTGGCTGGACTAACTATTTTGTTTGGTTATTTGGAAATCTAATAGCTGGCGTATGCGTCGCAGCGGGTGGTGCCCCAGCGCACGAGCTCGATGGGGTCGTGGAACCTCTTTCTCCGATTCAACAACATTTGGGCTATCTTTATCAACGTGGCGTTGATCTGCTATGCGAGTGGGCTGCTCGAGTCATTCTTCCCCACTTGTGTCCAGCTCCAAGTGTCGACCGACTACGCACAGCACCTTCCGGCTATGGTCCCCAACTTTAGCTGCATTGCGTCCAGTGATCGATTTGCCATCTTTGTCGTGCTCGAGGTACATACATATATACTAGGGCCATCCAATCACCACGACTACAATCGTTCGTTCGTTCATGACACTAAACTACACACTATGACGTGGCGCAATATGATGACGTCTGTTGTAGCACGTGCTCGTCCTTGTGTACGTGACGCTCACGTTGTCCATCAACGCCGTGCCGTCGTCAATCAAGCGCATTTTGAAAACCAAAGACCGCGTGCTCAAAGAGCACTTTGCCGCCCACATCACGACCCACGACGACGACAACGACCAAAGAAGAAGGGACCTGTCGCATGACCACGACGACCAAGCTGCCAAACACGCGATTTTGCACGACCAGCTCGCGGCCTTGCTGGCCGACCGTCGGCAATGCGTCGCGCCGTCGCCTCGGCACGCGCCGCCGGTGGCATCCGGTCGGGGGTCAAGTCGCCGATCAAGAAGTTAAAAGTCGACCCGTAGCAACAACAACAAACAACACGGACGGATGGACCTCGCTAGACCAACCCGCCATTGCCGGCAGTTCCACTGTAGCGGCTGCGACTGGTGGTACTCCGGCGACTGTCGAGTGACGAGTTGGTCGTGTTACTTCCGCCGCGTCCACAAGTAGTAGTAGTGTGGCGGACATCGTTCGTGTCTCGTGCGTAGAGGTCGTTGGCTGGGTGCAATATACCTAAATATATTATTTTTAAAGATACAGTCGCTTGTTGGAGGTAGAAGCCTCACGTTGATCTTGGGTCGCTGGGAAAGCGGGTACGTCCGCATGGTAGCTCGACGGCTCGGCTTCTTCCCACATGTTGATGGCTTTGAATGCTTCGTCGTGTACCCCCACCCGCAAGATATCTGCCATTTTCGAGCAAAATCGGTCCTTGTATTTCGTGGGCGGGAGCGCCGAGAGCCCGTCGGGGTCGCGTCGCAGTAGCAGCACCTTGGTGTTGCGTTCGAGTTTCTTGTCAAAGTTCCACAATTGCAAAATGTCAATAATGCCAAAGTAATAGCACGCGGGACCGACCACCGTGTTGGCCTTGCGGGTGCCTATATATATATATATATATATATAAATGATATAGATAGATTATATGAATTGGAATTATTCACACGATTGGGCGTTGTTGATATTGTCAAGTCGATTCGAAATTGGAGGAGACGAACCAAATCGATCGACCAATCAAAAGTCCACAACACGAATCAAGTAGCCAATCAAATCCACTCTTCGACCAATATCACTGGATGCTTTTTACATACAACAGACAGGACAATCACATCGATGGAGTTGGCGAATCACCGCCCAAGGCCAAAATTGAGGTAAAACCACTATACTTATATATATATATATTCCACACAAACGTGATCACTCCATGTCGACGGATATCATGTACCTGTAAACTTCAAGGGCATGCGCGCGTCCATGTGGAGGTCATCGTCCAAGGGCACGTCACCGGTGTCGTCGCCGTCGCTTCCACCGTCGCCAAGGCCGGTGTTGTTCAGGTTGCGCGCGGTGGGCTGCGCCGACACTACCGCCGACCCGCCGCGCGTGATGTTGGTGTTAAGCAGGAGGCTGTTGTCGAGGTGGTGGTTGCCCAAGTCGAGGTCGGCCGATACGCGGTACTCGACGTTGTGCACGCCCATGAGCAGGGAGTAGTCCATGATGCCATGGTTGCACAGGAACCCCGCATCCTTCTTGATCTGGTCGTACAGGTCCTCCGCCACGGCCGCGTCGAGCCGCACCTTTTGCGTCAAATCATTGTCCTTGAGGATCACGTTGGGCTCGTGCGTGCCCACACGGAGGGGGCATACATTCCCTTCTACTGACCCAAACACGTACTTGCCGTTGCAATGCCGACACGTTACCTTCTTGCCTACGCCACAACCACCACTCAATCAATGCATGGCCGCCCCCATATACACTCAAACTCTTCCAGAGGTAGTATCCAATGGCCACGTCTATCCAATGGCCACGACTTGTATATCCAATGGCCACGAATGACCAGATATGGACATACACAAATCATATAAACGTCATCGTACCTTTGGTGGGTTGTTTTGCAGATCGGTTGACCCATGATCCCTTGATGTCGTACCGACGGTGGATGATTTTCGTGTGATCGGAAAACAGATTGGACATGACGACAAAGTAAAACGTGGTGCCGTACAGGTGCACCGAGTGGCAGCCAAAGAACCGCGTGAGCAGACTCTCGGGATGTGTGATGAGGAACGCCGCGTAGTCGCTGGCGATGGACTGCAGGAACGACGCCTCTCCCTCGCTCATGCTCTTGACGATCAGCTGCTGGTCCTCGGAGAAGAACATGAACGCGCCACTCGCGCCTTCGCTCAGTCGCTCCTTGGTCGTCTTAAGCAAACTCGTCACGTACGAGTCGGTGGAGACGTCATAGAACGCCCGGATGCGGCCAAACGTCGCCGGCGCGTAGTCGACAAACAACGTCGTGGATGTCCCCGCCCCCGCGGCCCCCTGGGGCGTTAGCTGCAGCTCTCGCTTGGGTACGTCGTCCGAGCACGACGCGGCGAGGTGCGCGGCCTGGATGATGCCCGTGGTGGTGTAGTACAGCACTTCGGCGCGAAGCGCTTGGTTGACTTGTGGGCTCAAGTCTACATCCACGTCGACCTTGGCAGCGGCGGTCACGGCCGATGTTGCCGTGGACGGCTGTTGCTTGCTACGTTCATGTCCAGAATGTGTGTGAGAGAGTGATTTGTACAAATTGCCTTGTATGAATGGATGGATGGGGGGGGTTGGTCCACTGTTGTACATCATGTGGACAACAATTATCGTTGTAGAAGAGAGAGAGATAGATAGAGAGAGATGGGGGGAGGAGGGGGGAGAGGGGGGGAGGTCGTACCCGGACGGAAGTTCGTTGATTTGGAACCACACGAAAAAGTCAAAGTACCCTTTGCACGTGATAAAGAACACCATGACTTGGGGAAGCACGGGGTAGTCGGTGGGGTTGTTGACGAGGCCAAGAGCCAAGTACGGCACGTACACACCAAACGTGATGGCCCAGTAGATGATGATTGCCACCACGTACACGGTGACCGAGTGGAGCACGCGCAGGCGCACGCGGAGGGTTTCGGCAAGGCCGCCCTTGAGCCGCTGCCATGCAAAGCAGATGACCCTACCGCCCGCGCCGCCGCCATCATCGTCAGTCATGTGAATGGGAAGACGAGGAGAAGAACGTACCCGATGGCGCCAAAGAAGTAGAGGATGATCCACGCGTAAAAGAACCCCCAGCTCGAAATATTCAAGCTCCACAACATGTTCTTGTTCTCGGATGTTTTGCCCATGTGCTGCGGTTTGGTCCAGCAATAGTTGAACTCGGATGGCCCCGCTTGGCCGATGCCGACGAGCAAGATGGCCGAGATCGTGGCTATAGAAAGGAGGAGGTTGGATACATGTGTGAGAGAGAGAGGGAGTATGGTGGAACGTACAAAATCCCCACACAAACACATGATAGGTCCGCATGTTGTGCTTGAAATCCGTGAATGGACTGCGCACAGACTTGAACAGGTCCACGGACATGACGAAGAACCAGCATTCAGAACCGAGGAGGAAGAACTGCGTGAACCCGGCCACGGTATTGCATCCGTTCTCGGACAAGATCGTGATGGTCCAGCCGTCGGTCTCGTCTTTGGACGAGGTTACGACGCATTGGTTGTTGTAGCATCTACGCGTATCATACAGCAGCATGAGATGCATGTGATGACATGGAGCAACAGGGTTGACGTACTTGTACAGCTGCGTGGTCATTAGCACGAGCACAAACCCCATGTCGAATAAACTGCGGTAGAAAATCAACGGATTCGGATGCTTCTTCCACGTCGGCATGACAGAGTACGTGTACAAGACTGCCGCCGTCGACAAGATCGTGACCGACCCGCCGGCGAGCAACCCCACTTCGACCTTGTAGCCGAGGGACGGAATGACAATCGTCACTGCGAGCGCGCCGACGAAGTAGAGGAACATGGCCAGTTGAATCCCAAAGTTGTTCGCCCACTGCAAGGACAGGTCCAAGCGTATCTTTTCCCCACGGAAGCTCGGCTGCGACGACAACGCGCTCGTCGTCACCACGGCAGCAGCCGGCGACTGCACTGACTTGAACGGCGCTTCTTGGACTCTACACACATATGAACGTCATACGTCCTTCGAGCACGCTATGTACGTCGTACGAGGGAGAGTTGTCAAAGTAGTTTTCACGCGCATGAGATGAATCAGAGTCCGTCGGCGGCGCCGCCTTCATCGTCCTGGGCATCGTCGTCGTATGTGATTCACGACCCAGAACTATCGATACAGCAGCTCGTCGGTGTGTAATCGCCTTCCATGTAAGCAACTATGTTTACACTTAAAAACCTAGTTTGTATACGGATTTCCATATAAAATGGGTATCATTAACTTATTTCAATAAAATATATTCAAATTAGTACACTATCAAGAATGTGATTCGCCTCGAAATTGATCAGTATACAAACCTCAAGATATCTTGCCCGCATGAAAATACAGTGTAAAAGATCCACCATCACCTTCCAAAGGTCACCGCCGCAGCCACTGGCTTGGGCCATGCAGGACTGTGCGAACACCATTGAAGCCCACATCGAAGGCAACACATACGATCAGACTACGAATCTCCTATCTACGAAGTATAACTGTTGTTAACGGTAGCGCCGCGCACCGTTAGCTTCGGGTGTGTGGAATGGCCATATGTAACATTTGGAAGAATAAGCCGTGGTGACGAGCGCTCTCGCATGGTATATGCACTGTACAGCCTCGACACACGAAGTCAGCCTTGGTCATTTTTGTTGACATTTACAAGACTGTTTCGCCTCCGCCAAAGCGAATGTGCATGCTACGGTATAATCCTTTTCCAGCCAGAATTCGTCGACGATACACGACGGCGCCCGCGATTACTGATGCCGCGAGCGCAAGCCCAACGAGGAACACACCAATGTCGGTGCGCTGACGATGTTCAAATGCATCCAGACTGAGTCCGTTGTACTTGGCCTGGATGCAAGCATCGTCAAAGTACAAGAGCTTCTTCGGCTCTACACCAACCGTGCGCCGACGGGTGTAGATGACCCCTTCGCATTTCACCGGTTCGTCTTCTACTTGAAACTGCACATACTCGACCAAGTCCACATCGTCTTGGGTCTCGTACGCAGTCAGAGTCATGCGGGCGTTGTCGTAGGCGTGGGTCAGCGACTAGACAGTTCCATAAGCCACATAGACGACAAGAGCTAGAGATGGTCGTACGTATTTGATGTAGCTCAAGGCGAGAGCACCACCAGGGGCATGGACCCCCAAGTCGTGGCGGTCCACTTGACTGAACTGCTTTCCTTCGCAACTCATGTTGCCATCCGCGCCCTTCACACATACGTAAATGCACTCGGCCACAGTCACAAACGGTGTCGCACGAAATCCGGGCGAGTCCCATTGCACTTTGAACATTACGAGCAACTTGTACGTGAACCCTGGTTCGTACACGAGGTCGCCGCCGTCATTATCGCGGATGGCCAGGGGGTGCTTGTATACGAGGGTTTCCAGCACCGTTCTCTCAGGCACGACCGCAAAGACATCGGACAAAAACAGCGCGTACTCGTCTACGAATGCCTCGGCGGTCTTGTTCACGACGGGGTCCGACAAGTCTGCAGGGACGAAGAAGGCATCGTCAAGCCCAGATACTGTCCACAGCGAGCAGCCGCAAACGATCAGCAGCAGCATCAACGACGAGCATCGACGGTGCATGAACGATCCCAACATGGTCGAGACAACCACAAAATGAAAGCCAATAGTGGGGGGGATTTCGTTGGGGTGAGGGGGGCGTGTATCGTCGAACAATTGATGATCCTGTCCTTCGATTGTGGAAGGTCATGGTCCGTCTTCCAATTCGATACTTGGAATAGTAGTACTTTGACAACATATCGTTCCACGAGTGTCCTTTCGCACCATGTCGTGTACTTCGTATTCGAAAGCGTAACTGAGCGAGCATTTGGCCACTTGTGAATTCAATCAAATGTGTCAAATTTGGCGAACGTTGGTTGCGGTGGCGGCCATCGCTAGTACCACCAAAGTGGAAGGAACCTCCGCCGTCAGGACTGCCCCCATCAAGCATGACACCCCCCTCACGTATGTGGCCGTGGCCCCTACCGATCCGTTTGTGGAGATGACTGCCGCGTTGTTCGTGGACGACTACCAGACAAAATTGGACTTTCATTTCGCCACGATCCACGCCAACCGCGTCGTGTCGGCTGAGGTAGATAGATACATGAGAGGATCATCTCCCAGCCATCCATTTTCTCTAACATGCGAGGGTGGAGTAGGTAGCCAAACACAATGGTGACAACGCTGGCAACACGTACAGAGTCAACTTGTTCTTGGCGCTGCACTTTGACTCGACCCACTTTGGCGGGCCCAAGTACCACACCGTCGCCAGCGCAGACTACACGTGCACGAACGACACGACGACCGACGACCTCTGCACGCCCGACGCGTTCCTGGAAAACCCGCGCACGGTGCACACTCTCGACACGATTCCCAACCTCGTCAAGGACACGTTGAATTCGGTACCCAGCTATATCGTTCATATGTGTTGTGTTGGCGCGTTCGATCGTTCCTTCGTTGGTTTCCATGCGATGCTGTTTGCCGAGATATTTCAACGTTCTCAATAGCCTTGTGCTTGGTGTGTTGTAGACGGTTTTGTTTGAGCAAATGGCGATTCACTTTACAGCGTACGAGACCCAAGCCCTCACGACGCACACCCCCAACGCCCTCATGCACTACGTGGCATTTGCCATCCACGACCAGCCCGTGCCTTGTCGCGCGAGTCTGTACTACGACGGCGCCCGCACTCATGTGTTGCATTACAACACGGACTGCTTGACGGCTACGTATGACTCAGCAATGCTCCGCACGGCCGAGCGCGACGGTATACCGCTAAAGTTCAAGGTGTCGGACGTTCTAAACCACGTGGCCTGTACTTGTAGATAAACTTAAGGTGGTGGGGACCGTCGCGGGTGTCGCGGCGGTGCTGGCTGTGCTTGGGATGTTCCTCGTGCGACGTGCCGGCAAAACACCCCCAAAAGCGTACACCCCGGTGCGACTTCAGAAAGAACCGGCGGATTACTCCCCCAAGGCCGAGATCCGCGACCCGTCCAAGTCGTATAGCTCCATGGCAGTGTAGTAATAATAATATACATACATATGAATCCAGTCTGAATCACATCTCAAGTCATCTCGCATTGTGATTGAAGGTGTCGCTACCAACAAACACACGTAACAATAATGCCTGTAGTAAGCTGCACCAACGCCCACTTGCTGTGATGATTGACATTTGAGGTGTTGCATCATATGTTAAAGAGGTGGACAGTCTGCACGCCATCAGTGGAGGTTCCTGTCTTGCGTACGGTTAATACCACTTTTCAGACAAATAGCTTGCACACATTACAGTATCAAGCTTGGTTAATCACTAATTGGGGAAATCACGCGCCCTTCACCACGTGGCACCGCTTGCAAGCTGTGTACACTGCCATGCAACTCGTCAAAGAACAACGACAGATCTTCTCTTGCTTCCTTTGCCGACGTCGAACACCGACACAACTGCCGTTTCTACAAAGTCCATGAGTACACCTCGTCCATGTCCTGATCGCACGATTGATGCAAGGAGGAGGTAGGTAGGTAGGTACCTCTGGGGCGTCGGCGAACAAGGGGGACGTCGTGAGGTAGCTTACGAGTCGGGATACTGCATTGTCTCGCTCCAAAGCCAGCACAAGCCACGGCCCCTCCAGCACGTCTGGCGCAAAGTGACTGGCGCAGTGCAACTTCTGGTGTAGTGTCAACCCGCCTTGAAACAAATTCACGACGAGAAATCCTCCGTCCGACGTAAGGCTGGCCACCATCGCGCTGGCTTCCGGCACCGCTGACCCCCCCGCGACCAGTAACGTCGTTTCGACAAGCGTCCGCGGCGTCGTCACGTACTCAACCGGATGTGGCTGAGGAGAGGTACTGCGCGAGAACGGGGCCCCGACGACCACGGCAGCGGAGGGAGACCTACTGCCACCATCAACATCCGTTGGGGTATGTACATACATCACACATGCTGAGCACACCATCGACTGAGGCCGTCGTAGTCGGCGTCGGTGCCGACCCCGTAGACAGAGTGCAGGTCCCGTCGCGCTTGATCGTACGTTGGAGGGGTGTAAAATCCGTTCCGGACGAGGTCGACGCCGTAACCTGCGACAAGGGAGAACCGCGCGTGTTGGCGGGCCTCATCCGGATCGGCCGGACCGACCAACGCTTGCAGACGGGAAATACAACTGACTCGACGGACGACACACACGATCTACACCCAAAACAGTATCGCAGAAGAGTGAGCAACAGTGGAGAGTAGCCAAGGAGATTGATTGTACACAAGGGAGCGACGACATGTGAGCTCGTTGGGCGGCTGAGACGTAGGGATGCCCCACGAACGACGACGACGGCAGCCGCGTCATGTGCATACACACGAGATCGAACCCTTCGCGACGAAGGCGCCGCAGCACCACCGGCAATACCCCCAGCGGATCGTCGGGCTTGAGCATCAATAACGACGCAAACGGTGCCGACGGGACCAATTGAAACAACCCAGCATCGTCGGTGTGGGGACTAGGAGGAAAACATGCGTCGAGCGGCGACGCGTATCGTGTTGTTGTGATCTCGTGGGGGTCAAACAGCAGCGGTAGTAGCGATCTCACGATCGTCGGGTCTGTGTACAGTCGCACGAGACCATTGGGGGCATTGGTGCCCATGCCTCGGAAATGCGTTCGAAAGTGACCGTCCTCGACGTGTTGCCGAAACAGCACCACCAGTGCAGCGTGTGTTGTGGGCTTGGGTACTGACGACACCGACGACGATGCACCAAACACGATGCTCTGCAGCGACGTCAGCACTTCACGCACGGCGTCCACTACCATCGGCTGCAAAAGCTTGACGTGAACGAGTTGATCACGGGAACACCGAGCCAAGAGTCGTTCTATCGGCATGCCATACGAGCCATTGATGTCCACGGTCTGCTGAGTTACTTCCTATTGAGTTTCTGATTAGAATGAAACTGACGTCCAATTCATATAATAGCAGCACGTACAGGAAAGAGGACAGCCAAGAGGGTTTGTTCTCGATCAAAGTCGACGTATACTGGTGCAAGTGGACGCTCCGGTGTCAGCGTAGCTTGCGACGGCTGACCCATACCAATCTTGGAGGTAAACGTGTGGGGCAAATAGGGTATCATGGTGGCCTTCACATCCCCATCGACGTCGGCTAGCGTCGTTTGCAAGTGGGCAAGACGGAACTCATTGGCACCATTCTCCTAGATCAACCGTTATCCATGTCAATCGACAAGTCTTCAAGCCTACATATCAACACATAGCAACATACCTTGACCAGTGCAAGTTTAACGCGGCAACAGGGGTGGCGCTCCTCTTCATCGTGAACTTGAACCAGTCCCACAATATCGTAGCCTGTTGTGGCCACAGCTGTGAGCACTCGGCCCAGGTGGCCAGGCGCTGTCATGGATACATCCACTGCCACCACTTGATCCGGCTTGACGACGATTCCGTACACGGGGCGAGCGCGGGGAAGTTGCGCCGACGACGAACTGCTGTCAGCATTAGGGAGTGGGATGCGGCCCCCAAACCAATGGACGACGTCGCGGTGGGCTTGGAGGGCGCCGTGGGGGAGATACACTTGGGTTTTGGGAAGGTCGTGAAGAAGGTCCCGGACCACCGTGGTGGCATCAACGCCCCGGAGGGCCAAGATGACGTGGCACGCTGCGGTGGCGACTTGAGGGGACACGACAACATGCGGTTCGAACGACGCGTCGAAGACAAGTTTGAGGCCAACGAGGTCGAGGCGGGAGCGGGTACGGTGGAGCACGTCAAGGACAAGGGCTGCCGGGTCCCGAAGGACCACCACGGTGGTGTCGGCATGGTAATGGTGGTGGGGGGGGTGGGGGGGGAGGTGTTGGTGAAACACTTTAAACGTGGGAAACCGGGTAAACAGGTGGATGGGGTGAAGGGGGGGATGTATAGCTGCTGCTGACGATTGTGGTGGGGGCGACGCCAACACAGAAGGCACGGAAACTACGTAATCGCCCATGGTGTTGGTGTTCCCAGGCATAAACGGCGCCATCTACTCACAACAATGAGACACAAGGTGGTTCCAGCGATACAACGTACGGGGGAAAGCAGGATCGCGTCAATGTACGTCGACGCGCAGTGCAGCGCAATGTACAGCACCGGAACGGCACCGGTGTGCGATTGAGGGGGCGGCTGCAACGACGTCACACTTCCTGGCCATGTCACCGTGTATTGCAGCCCCAACAGCGTGCAGCAAGGGGACGTTTCGTGTTGGAGTTGACAAAAGAGCTGGACGATCGTGGCAAATACGGCGTCCGTTGAGTCGACCCCGTGAACTGCGACAACGTGCGTGTCGGATAAGAACGTGTCGTTGTCGTCGGGGCGTTCGTCGTTGTCACTGCTGCAATTGGATGAGAACAAGCGACGCCAGTATTCTCTTGGTAGTGTCGGCACAAAAGATGTATGGGACAGCTGGCGATGATACAACGGCTCGGAGAGGGCGTCCACTGTGTTCATCACCCCCTTCTCCACCATCCCCTTGATTATATCGGCTTCCACGGACGGAAGATTCACTGGAATAGGCCGACTAATTGATGGCACTTGATCATGCGAATAATCTGGGGGGGGGCTCGTTCGAACGCGTGAAGTTGCAGCAACCGATTGTGCCCCCACATGATCAAGCAAGGCCTGGGGGGAACGAAGTGGGGGTACCCCTTCGACTTGGGTTTCCGATAGTTGGTCGTGTACATCGCGTTCGTTGAGTGCGTATGGATTGTTGTAGCCACTGAAAGGTCGTCGATCGAGATCTGTACGCGCCGTTGGAGAATGGCCGTCGCGGACGGGGGGAGTGGTGGTCTGTACGAGCAGCAACGACTCGACTTCGGCACGGACGAGTATCGCTTTTTCTATAACGGCGTCAAGTGGTTGGTCCTTGAGCAGCTCTTGCTCTTGCAACTCCACATCCCGCTTCCACATCTTCATGAGTTGTCGTTCCAGGGCTTCAGACGCATCTTCGACGGTGTTGCCGTCGTTGGTATCGTCATCTGGCTCATTGTCTAACTGGAGTGACGAGGAGGTTTCTTGTGGTGGCGGGGGTGATCGAGATGGGGCGAGTTCGATCGTGCGAGCTTTGAGCTGCCGACGCGCTGTGTTCCAATCTTCAATGTCCGACGACGAGTCGCTGTCACTGCCGACATCGTCGCAGCTTTCGATATCAGCCTCATCCACGGAAGGTTGAGGGGGTGGCAACAATAGATGAGGCGAGCCGTCCTTAGTAGAATATCCCTGCGTTTGGCTTGGTGGGAATGATACTGGAGTAGGAGGCGGAAAGCTACGACTTTCTACAGCTGGAGTGGTAGAATGGTTTGGTTCACACGACGGTGTAGACGACGCCAACAGCGTTCGATTCTTCACGTCGCCCCCCGCGACCGATGTTGGGGAGCGCACATCACCCTCGTCTTCCTTGGCAAGCGACAAAATGCAGGGCGCCAACAAGTTGCCGACGCTACGGTTACGATAACTGCGATCACGACTGGCTTGGAATGTCAAATCCAATTGCGAGAGACATTCCGCCTCCGACCCTGAAAACACGCTTAAGCTGATGTTTCCGCCGCCGTCCACTTCTTCGTCCACGGCATTCGTAGGATCTTCAAGATAGGACAACACCCATTGCATTTCGCTGTCCCGTGGAACAGTTGCCGATGGGATATCTTGGAGCAACAGGTCGACATCGAAGTCAGACAATGGTAGCTCCAGTACAGGCAAGTCGTCTGACGTAGTAAGAACATGGATGTCGTTGCTGCTTGACATGCGCATCAAGCCACCAATAGATTCCGTTTCCACATCCTGATCAGCACCATTTTCCTCGTCGTATTCGCCATCTTCGAGCCGACAGATTTCCATGTACTTGCGTTCACACACCTGTGGTGTGATAGCATTCGCGCCCAGAAGGAGCTTGCGCTGCTTTGGTAGCCGTTGAAGGAACGTAATGGCTGCCACATCAAAGTCATAAGCGCTCTCAAATACGCACTGCCGTAGCAGGGCTTCGTCGCGGTCGGTCCACCATTCCGTCATCTTCCTGTGACCTTCCGCCAAAAGATCGATGGTTTGATGTGAATTGCCCAATCGCGAGGACGTGCTCAAGTAAGTGCGTCTGGAAAAATGACCAATCAAACGCGAAGACAATCACTTCAACGTTACGGCAGGATTTATCCGGATGACGTGGTATAATGACCTTGACATGAGATACGCTGTTTCATTGGCCATAAATTGACTTCTTTTCGGGACTGCGCAATCGAGCTTACCAGTATTATTAACGTGTGAAAGCCCCCAGTTCAACAAACCCAAGTTTACAAAGTCATATTAACTGTAAAATCGAAAAAGCAAGCATTGGTTTATCCTTGTACGGGACAGTTAATATATGTGTACTACGTAGTAATCTTCTTTGGTGTCCTCGCTGTCGACTATGGTGATGTGGAGCCTAAAGCACCACCTGAATACCGGTTGCTCCGAGATTGCTAGGTGCTACGTGTAGATTGTCATTAAAGTCATCGCTCTGGGAACGTGGATTGTATTCTGGGTGCAAGCAAGTCGCCTCTGTCGATAACTTCCCTGTATCAACATCGTTTCATTTGATTGGCTAAAATACGCCCAATCAACATGCTTTATACAGGATACGTTTCCGGATACTGGGATCGATGTGGAAGCTTCCTCACTCACTTTTGCATTTTCGCCGAGCCCCACAGCAACCCTTTCAGAAGCATTATGCTCAGCCAACAACGTGCCGTCACGAAGGCTCTTCGCCACACCCAAGCTCGCTTCGCCAGCACGATCAAGAAGGTTCATGCGCGTGAAATCATTGACAGTCGCGGCAACCCCACTGTGGAAGTTGACTTGACGACCGAGCAAGGTCTGTTCCGCGCGTCTGTCCCGTCAGGAGCGTCCACGGGCATCCACGAAGCCGTGGAGTTGCGCGATGGTGGCAAGCGTTACTTGGGCAAGGGTGTGATCCAAGCCGTGAACAACGTGAAGAACATCATTGGCCCCAAGTTGGAAGGGATGGACCCGACGAACCAATCGGAAATCGACCTCTTGATGAAGCAATTAGACGGCACGGACAACAAGGGCAACTTGGGCGCGAATGCCATCCTGGGGGTGTCGTTGGCCGTCGCCAAGGCCGGTGCGCGTGCCAAGAGCATCCCGCTGTTCCAGCATTTTGCCGACTTGTCTGGCAACGACAAGCTCGTGCTCCCCGTGCCCTCGTTCAACGTGATCAACGGTGGGTCGCATGCCGGCAACCAATTGGCGTTTCAAGAGTTTATGATTCTCCCCACGGGTGCGGAATCGTTCTCGGAAGCCATGGTCATGGGATGTGAAGTGTACCACCACCTGAAGGGTGTGATCAAGAAGAAGTACGGCCAAGATGCGACAAACGTCGGCGATGAAGGCGGGTTCGCCCCCAACATCCAAAGCAACCACGAAGGGGTCGAATTGCTCATGCTGGCGATTGAAAAGGCGGGGTACACTGGCAAAATCGGCATCGGCATGGACGTGGCGTCGTCTGAATTTTACACGGAAAGCAAGCACTACGACTTGAACTTCAAGAACCCCGGCAGCAAGGAAGCGCCGTTGACGGGCGAGCAGTTGGGTCAATTGTACAAGGACCTGGCCAAGGAGTTCCCCATCATTTCCATCGAAGACCCGTTCGACCAAGACGACTGGGAGCACTACTCGGCGTTCACGGCCGCGATTGGCACGGACGTCCAAGTCGTCGGCGACGACCTGCTCTGCACGAACCCGACCCGCATCGCCAAGGCGGTCGGCATCAAGGCGTGCAATGCGCTGCTGCTCAAGGTCAACCAGATCGGAAGCGTGAGCGAAAGCATCCAAGCCGTCAAGGACGCCAAGGCCGCGGGCTGGGGCGTCATGACTAGCCACCGCAGCGGGGAAACCGAAGACTCGTACATTGCCGACTTGGCAGTCGGGCTCAGCACCGGTCAGATCAAGACCGGCGCGCCGTGCCGTTCGGAGCGACTGGCCAAGTACAACCAACTGCTCCGCATCGAAGAAATGCTCGGTCGCAGCGCCGTGTACGCGGGCAAGCACTTCCGAAACCCCCACGAGGCTTAGATTAGGCCAGATGAAACATGAAAAGTGTTTGTGATATTAAATCGATTGGCGAGCGACCGACCGACAAGCGTGTATGCACAAGGATTAGGAGCCGTAGAGGACGAGGAAGGAAGGCTAGGAGGCAGAATTTGAGTGGCTTGCAGGAGAGGACACTTGAGGGCTGTCGTTGGTGCAAAACGTTACGTCAGCAACATAACGTCATAATCCCACTCTCGAGGATGGGTGCTTCGTCCATGGAAGATTCTTGTGGCTCGATCGAGTTTCCATGCGATTGTCATGGATGATCGTGTCCCATAGTATTGCTTGCATCCAGTACAGTACTCCAGCATAGCTACCATGAGGCCTTCACATGCGGCACATATTCATCGGTCCAAAGAGCACGCGCTTGAGTAGTAAATCGAACGGAACCTTCAAAGGCATTGGAAAGCACGACGAAGAGGAATGTCCTCGAGATTTTTTATTACCAGGTACTAGTATTCGAATATTCCTTGATTGGTCCACATTATCCGGATGTGTCGCGATCTTGAAAAGTCGCGACCGCAAAACAAATTATTCGAAGCACGCGTGCAATCGTCAGGCGTCGATGGTAGAGAAGCAAGCGCCGCCGCCGGGGACGAAGCCTTTGATGGTGTCGATGCGAGAGATGGACACGCTCGGCTTGAAGACAGGACCGGGGTTGAAGGAGACGATCGATTTCAAGGTGTTTGATCGCCAAACGATCCTCGATGAGATTGCCAAAGTCGGCTTCATGTGCCCATTCCACGAACACCGGGCAGAAGTGGCCAAACTAGAGATCCCCCAGCTGCTTTTGGTCGCAGATCGAGACGAAGTGTACGGGGAGAACTGGCTGCTGTGTGTCCGGCAAGTCGGATATGACGGCCAAATGGCACTGATCGCGCAGCGCCAAGCCGCGTTGGAGGTCGCCGAGGCCGACAGCAAGAACCAAGTCAATGAGGAAGACGAACTCCTCACCCTCGTGTACGAAGACAAACCCATCGTGTCTCGGCCATGGGAGTCAGCGTCCGCCGACGACTCGCACGAACAAGTTCGACTCCTGAGCATCCACGCCACGCGCGCCGTCATCTCCATCTCCGTGACGCGTCGGGCAGAAGAGTTCAACGCCGACTACAAGTTCAGCGACCGCGATGCCGACCAATGCTTTGTCGAGTGTCGCCAACACAAAGACCCCAACTACGATCTCACGAGAATGGAGCAGGACGTTGGGTTGCAGGGCATCCCCGACCTCATCGACAACACGACCCAGACGTCATGGTTTCGCGCAGTCAACTCGGCGCTCCAGTACGAGCCGATTAAATTTCCGTCCGACTTGCGAGACCGAGAGATGCAATCGAACCGCATGCAAACGTTCCTCGCCACGGTGTTGCCGCGCATGGAAGAAGCGCTCCAGCAGAACGAAACGCTCGACATTTTCATGGACCCGCTGGCCATCCTCGCCGAAGAAGAGATGGCCACGGGGCAACACAAGACGGACAACAATATCAAAGAGCTGCGGACGTTCACGGACCTCGTCTATTCGAAGAACAAAACGCTGCCATCCATCGACTGGCACCCGAAAAAGTCGGGCGTGGTCGCCGTGGCGGCCGCCACCAACTCGTCCTTTTCCAAGCGGGCCGACGCCACCGACAAGGTACACCTCCCCTGATTTCGACTTACACTATATCGTGCCATGTTTTGATTTCGAATGAACCAAGCAACTTTGGTGTAGGTGGACGGGTCGTACATTTTGCTGTGGAACTTTGCCGACCTGATCCATCCTCAGCTCATGATGGAAGCACCGCAGGACGTGATGGCCGTGCGGTTCAACCCGACGCAGCCGGGTATCGTCGTCGCGGGGCTCTTCAACGGGCAAGTGTGTGTCTGGGACATCTCAAAAGCCGAAGGGCAAATCTCGAAAAAGAAGGCCAAAACCCCAGGCACATCCACGCAAGACGCCTCCAAGGCGGACGAGGCGCACAAAACGATGCCGCCTGTGAAACCCATGTACGTGTCGTATATTGACTTGAGCCACCGACGCCCCGTGGCCGACTTGCAGTGGCTCCCCCCCGGCTTGGAAATCAACAACCGAGGCCACCTCAGTGCGACCCAGGACCCTCTAACCCACCAATTCGTCACGATCGCCGGCGACGGTCAAGTATGCTTTTGGGACCTTCGGTTCAAAGATCCCAAGTACCGCATGCTCAACCACGGCCGCATCAAGCAAGACAAGTCGCAGCAAAAAGCGGCCAAAGGTATGTACAATTAATTCGAATGCAATCTACCGCTACATTTGACTTATGTGAATATGGTGGCGCAAGATGGAAAAGACACTGCCCCGGCCGAAGTGCTGTTCACGCCGCTGTACGCGATCACACTGACCAAGGTCGACGGAGCCGGAGAATTGGGCCTCAAGTGCATTGCCATGGAGCGTATGAGCAACGATCAGCCGTCGTCGCGATTCTTCTGCGGCACGGAGGAAGGCGAACTCCTCTTGGCGGACTGGCGGCCCCACGCGTCCAAGGACGATGACTCGGCCCCAAGTAACAACAACAACAATGGCGAAGAGAGCGTCGAGTACGTCCAATGGTCATGCCACGACCACTTTCGCACGACCGTGAGCCTCAGCCGGTCGCTGTTCTTCCCACACATCATCCTCACCGTGAGCGAATCGAACTTTCACATTTGGAACGTCGCGCCGGCCAGTTCTGGCTCGGCCAACACGCCCATCTTCATCTCGCCGTTTTCACTCGCCCCCCTCACGTGCGGGTGCTTTTCCCCCACGAGGCCTGGCGTCCTATACATTGGCAAGGCGGACGGGGTACTGGAAGTGTGGGACCTCTTGGATCAGTCCCATCGGGCGTCGTTCTCGTCCAGCATCGCCGCGTGCTCCTTGACAACGCTCGAGTTCCGCTCCGCCGCGCCAGCCAGCGCGATTGTAGCTCCCAACGCGGCAACCAATAATGTCAATAATAACGCTGCTAATAATGCTGCTAACAAAGGCGCCGCGCCGCCCCAGCAAGCCCCCAAGCAGCAGCTGCTGGCGGTCGGCGACGTGAACGGCAATTTGCACATCCTTGAAGTCCCCCGGACGCTGTCGAGGGGGTCCGCAGGGGAGCGGGGGGTCATTGAAACGTACTTCAAACGGGAAATTGTCCGCGTCAAAGCCGTCCTCGAGTACGCTGACATGGCGTCCCGAAATGCCAACGCTTCGTTGAACCAAGCGGCCCCGGCTGCCGTACCGTCCACGGCATCCACGGGTACAAAGCCAACCAGTGGTACCAATGACGCCGATGATGACTTGTTCCGAAAGATGGAGAAAGAATTCAAGTCCGAGTTGGGCATTGAAGACCACGACCAACACGGCAAGAAAGGATAACGTCGAAACTGTATCGACTTGTTCACGTTGAACGATGCTCTTGCGTATGCCGACAACATCGACAGATGATCAGATAGGCCAACAGTCGCTTGATTCATGACGAGTTTACTACCCAAAGTGCTTACAGTACTTGCTATAGAAGGAGAAATGATCGACAATACATGTAGCGATTAGGTGTCTGGATTACATACGAATCTTCTCATGTACTTACATAGCATACATTCGTGTCTGTGTTCGGGTTGTTTTCTAGAGTTAACCATCTACCGCTATACATGGTTGGACGCTTGAGAGTTGTGAGTCGCCTGCTGCAGTTTATAGCGGCTTGTCAATCACGCTGCACCGATCTAGTACGCATAATTGAGTCTTATTGCTTCGTCGATTTCGGCATTCAACAAATATCGACGAGTTATTTCTCATTGTCGGGGTAGCATCTCACCATGTTACTAGTAGACACTGTGGTGGCACTGCCCAGCAATGGAAACCAATTTCGGATGCGCTGCTGTGCATTGGTTGGGTCTCAGGGACGGCCACACGAGGGGGTATGTCCACCACAAACCTACGCTACAGTTACAATGTATGAAAATAGGTCGTGCAGCAGAGCTGTGCCGTCGAGTCGGAATTGAAGGAGGGATACACATCCAAGGCCGAGATGTCCACCTGCGCTGGCGTGGCCAGGGAGGTCATGATTTGTGGTGGCCTGAACGACTGGGCCAGATCGAGAACAGTGTGCATCAACCGAGCGATCGCGTTTCACTCTGGCATCTCACCGCGCTGCTGCACTACTGGGCATCGTGGTCCTATGGTTTTAGTCACCATTGCAGCCATCAAACTCAGTGACCCATGGAGGGCATCTCTGGCGCGCTGAAGCACCCAGCTTGCGTCCACTGTGGCAATCATAATACCGAAGTGTTGGACGTGCCCTAGCCGCGCCAATGGACACGGTACCCATTGGATGGACATTGTTGAATACGATATGGGAATGGCGGCAGATTTGCGGTAGAAAATAACTCATGGAGGGATGTCGGGGACGCAGGGACGTGCTGCGCATGTCAATCGAACTGAATGGTCCTAGCAGCGTCGTAGGCAGCGTTGTGTTGACGGCTCCAAACGGCACCACGTGGAGCTCATCGCATTGCACCAACACGTCCTGCAGGGTAAAAGTTGGCGTACGGTAGATGGCTGTCGATCAAAGCAGCGATGTGATGGAACGAAGTGTTTAAGATCCTTGGCGAGACTCCAGTCCATTTTCATGGACGTCTGCGCGGCATTGTGCAGTGACCCGGCGCCATATATGAGCGGCAGTGCGTACTCTATGACCAATGCATAACGAACGCGTTTAACGAGGCCCAGCATCCTGTTCCAAAAGGAAGTTGCAAACATCCCCACGAAAACCAATGTTCCGACCTGTTGAAAGCAAGACACTATTGTAAATTGTTGGCGCCATACTGGAATTGTGCAGGTACACGACTACACCACGCTGGCCACAATCGTAGCCACAGCATAACGTTACAGAAAGCCAGCAAATGATTGGACAGTATGAGCGTACAATGTGATGTGACTGTACTGGGGAGTTAACTGTAAGTCTTGTGGATTGGAGGAGTCGGTGATCGTACTGTACTGTAGATGTACGAACGTTGTCGGTAGATGGGTGAAATCTCATACCGATGACTTCGCTTGGGGCGAGGAGAATCAAATCCCGAGGCATGATGCTCACCGGATGGACGGTATACCGTGGCCAAATGAGGGCTCTGTGTAACCGTCTGTAACTGTTAAGAAACGGTATTCGGGAGATTCAAGTTCCGGATACAGATCGTCCGGATAAATCGTTGATTTGTCAGTCAAGTGGTGGCGGCAACGAGCGGCGCGATGAGCATCCAGTACGCACAGTATGAGTCCGAGAAGGAGCTAGGCGACTTGATGGCCCTGTTTGAAAAGGACCTGTCGGAGCCGTACTCTGTGTACACATACCGGTACTTCCTCTATAGCTGGCCGGAACTGTGCATCTTGGCCCGAGGCGGCGACGGCACCGTCGTGGGGGCGATCGTGTGCCGGTTGGAAAAGAGTCCGGGGGTGCTCAAGGGCTACATTGCCATGCTGGCCGTGGACAAGTCGTTCCGAAAGCATGGCATCGGGTCGAGTCTCGTGAAGAAAGCCATCGACCAGATGATCCAACTCGAATGCGACGAAGTCGTGCTCGAGACCGAGATCACCAACGTGGCTGCAATTCGACTGTACCAAAACCTTGGGTTTGTTAAGGACGAACGACTGCTCAAGTACTATCTGAATGGCGTGGATGCGTTCCGATTAAAGTTATGGATGCATTAGCATTGTAAAACCAATTCAAACTGCCCGCAATCTACGTTTTGATCATTTACATGACAAAGTGCAACGTCGTCTTGTTCTCGCTCCACTGGAGCACCTGCAGCGCTTCGTACTGCTCAATGCACTGCTTCAGCTGCACCTGAGTGTACCCTTTTCGAAGCACCAGGGGTTCAATGTCGCTGTAACTGACGCTCGTTTCATTTCGGTCCCGCGTGTAGTCGAGAATGACGCGGTAGATCTTGGAGTTGGCATCCGCCGACGGCTACACAAATGGTGGGTGGGACTAGTAGTAGTAGTACTAGTAGTAGTAGTACCTTGTGGCGCGACGACCCGCTCTGGTCTTCTTCGTGCAAAGACGACTTGGATACGTACACCAACCGAATGGCTTCGTCCACGTCCTCTGTCATCACCTATGCATGTCGTTACACATGATCATGTCGATGGAATCACTACGAGGTACCGTGTTGGAGAAGCGAAGGCGAGCCAGTGCCTGCGACAGCCGTAAGATGCTGAGCAGCTGGCGCGCCGTCATGGCGGTCTGGGCGTCGTTGGTCGCGTCTTGGCCGGCGCGCAGCATCACATACGCTTCGACGACATAACTGCAAAGTGACTCGGGGATGCTGGGGACGTATTGCTTGGCGATTGCGACAAAGTACCGCAACACGTCGGCCCGCACTGGCTCAAATGCCATGTCGGGATTCTTGCTACTCGAAACAAAATGATATATATATCATGAAATCCCGTGGGTCGTACGAACCCGTAGCGATGCACGTGTGTGACGTGGCGGGCCAGAGCTTCGTCCTTGTCGTACTGGGCAATGTCCAAGATCAAAAACAGCAAGTCGAACCGCGACAGGAGCGCATTGGGGAGGTTGATGTTCTGAGATGCCGTGAGCTTCTTGTTGTATCGTCCGTAGATGGGGTTCGCCGCCGCCAACACCGACGACCGCGCGTTCAACGTTGTGGTGATGCCCGCCTTGGCAATGCTCACCGTCTGCTGCTCCATGACCTACTCACACACACATATATATATATATATATATTATATTCGAAATTGAACTGGGGGTGCTCAATCGAATAAGCAGCACCAAATCGGCAGACACAATCGATCGACCAATCAAAAACCAGAACACTATTCAAGTACCCAATCAAATCCACTCTTCGACCAATGCAACATCAAAATAGTGTGTGAATGAAATTAGTGTGAACCTGTATATGATCGTTACATACAAAAGTCCGGACAAACAATCGATCATCGATAGAGTTGGCAAAGAATCCGCACAAAAAGTCAACCACGTTTTGGGTAGATAATATCATCACGATGGGTATACAGTAGTCCTGGTGAGGACATTTGAAAAACGACGCCAGCAACAGATCTATATCTTTCCCAAGCATGGTGACATATTCACACGTACTTCGTGAATGGCGGTGCGGTCACCTTCCTCCATCTTGTCGAATTCGTCGATGCAGCAAATTCCCATGTCGGCGAGTACGAGCGCGCCGCCTTCAAGCGTCATTTCCTTGGTCATCTGGTCGCGCACGACGGCCGCCGTGAGCCCGACGCCGCTGCTGCCTTTGCCCGTGGTGTAAATCCCACGCGGACTGATCGTGGCAATGTGTTTGAGCAGCTGACTCTTGGCCACGCCGGGGTCGCCCATGAGCAGCACGTTGATGTCCCCCCGGATCTTCATGCCTTCATCCATGCGTTTGGTCACGCCGCCAATCATGAGCAGCAACAGCGCCTTCTTGATGTCTTCGTGGCCATAGATTTCCGGAGCGATCGACTGCGCGAGCATCGAGTACAGGTTGGGCGAGTCTTGAAGCCGCTGGATCTCGTGCTCCATTTCTTCGGATGCGTCCATGGCGCTGTACCGCTTCTTGTGGTTGATCACGTGCGTGGCCTCCAAGTACGTTTCCGTGATGAGCCCCACTTGCATTTGACGCATGGGGCTGTACGGCAGCGGCAGGAAGATGCCGCAGATTGTCACGAGCGCGCCAGGTTCGCATGTCCGCGTGAGTTCGCCGCGCAAGTACACGGACAATGTCCGAGGTATGTGGCCCATGGGCACTTGGTCTGGCAGTTCCTACAAGACGCCCCCCCCATGAGGATATTCGTTACGTGATGGTGACTGATGCGTATAACTATGATCATGTAGTTGTGGTTAGGATTGTTGATAGAAAGAGTGAGACATGTATATATATATATATATATTGTCGATTTGATAGTACAAATTTGGGGAGGGGGTGCAATCGAATCGCGCCGACTAAACCGATCCACAATCGATCTGATTGGTTGAATTTCATTGAGAAGGTTTTGATTGGCTAATAATTTTGAGCTCAACTGAAGTAGCCAATCAAATCGATTTAAATTCCAACGAGAAACCACAACACGAAATTTCACTCGAAAGCACAATATATATATATATATATATATACACGATATTGTACTGTCACGTCGATTCGAAATTGGTTCTCACAATCGAATGAGCAGAATAACCAACTCGACAGACAATATCGATATATCGACCAATCAAAACCCAAACCACGAATCAACTAGCCAATCAAGTTCACTCTTCAACCAAGGGAACACCGAATTCGTGTGTGACTAGTGTGATACTCAGGACAACCAATCGATAGATTTGGCAAAAGTCACAACCACATTTGGGGTAAATGAAAGCACAATACCTGGAACTTGACTTCTTGAAACTTTTGAAACTTGGATGCTTTGGTTTGCATCAACAACCGGCCGTTCGTGCGGTTGGTCGTGCATTTTTCACTGGGACATTGCAGCAACGGGTTGAAATTGCGCGATTTCACCTCTTGATACACTTCAAACGAGCACGACTCGCATGTGTATGTGGACACGACCACGAGCGGCTTGACGTTGGACACGCGCGTGACCATGCCCTTGATGCGCACGAGGCTGCCGACCTTGGACGCCTTGACGTCGCGGATGGGTACTGGTTTGGTCTTGACTCCAGGAATCAACCTAATGAACAAATGGGAGACAGACGTTGATGAATAGAGATGGAGATTTGTGTATGGTCGACGCACTGGAGTTCAAAGCGTCGCATGAGCGCGGGGGGAAAGATCGTGCGAATGTCCACGGGGTGGTCTGGGTCGGTTGTGGCTTCCTGGACACGATGCAAGCGCAACACGTCGAGCACGTCGTGGGCCTGGGAAATATCCCGCGACGGCGGCGGCAGGATTTCGTCCACCGCGTCCGAGAACAGCGTCACGTACCGACGGGTGTTTCGCATGATGTTGCGCACAAACCCTTCGTCGTTTTCAAACTACGAACAGTCGAGCAGTGCGATAAAGTGATTGGCAGCGCGGTGACGATGGAGGTGTTGTACCTGCAAGACATCGTCCAGAGAAATCGCAATCGTGGTCCGTTGACGGTCGGCAATCTCTTGCTACATTCGATTGTTCATGACACCCTCACTTCCATGAGACCACGACGTCCGTCACTCACCAGAACGTCAGCATACTTGCGCGAGTTGGAAAGTGAGCATACAAAGTTGCGCAAAAAGTTGAGGCACTTGTCTGCAATCAATTGAGTTCTTCGTTGTAGCCATAGGATCAACTGTACCTCGTTCGTCGTTGTAGTTAGGGTATCCTGTGATTGCCGGAGCTTGCGGTGCGCCACCGCTGCCGCCTATGGAGCTGGCCTGGGAAGCTGGCTGACGGTTGAACGCAGATGTGTAGTTGTTACGAGGAGGCGCGTTCATCGTCGAAGCAGTCCTCGCGCCGATGAAAGCAATCTCCCGCCAAAAATCCGGATACCCTGAACATCCGGCAAACAAATTATTTTTTGCAATTTTTGCATTTATTAATCCAGTATCTATTTATTTTATCTATATCATGTATTAACGTTATATATCTATATTTGCTGACCAACCTTCCACCAAAGGCAGTCACACGAATCCTGTTGGCGGTCGTCACCACACACTTCCACCCCCGTGCTGTGTGTGTGCCAAGTCCACCCCGTGTAGCGCAGTGAACACTTGGTACTTGTAAATGATGCTCACTCATAACTCGTCAAATTGACCTGGGTGTCTGGATGCACTCCAGTTCCCTTCCTGGCCATCTCGTGGCCTAGCTGTAAGCAATCAATTAGCTCAAGATTCCGCAATGAACCCTCTTTCGTGCAGACTGTAGACGGTGCAAACGTAAGGGTTTGCTATGCAGGTTCGTCATGACGCCAAGGGGCAACGATTGTGGATCTTTTGCTTCAAGGAGTAAACCTGCATATTGTACCCGAAACCTCGATTTCCATTCGAACGGAATATTATAAAATAATCTTCAACTTTGTAAGACCAAGTCATGGACTTTAAACAATTCCTATCCGTTACGTATATACTATATTGTATATGCTACTATAATGTGTATTTAGCATCTGACATAACGTACCTTTTTGATAGTTAGCGTCTTTGCAAAAGAGAGCCAAGGTTACGACCTGGACGACATCATGGTCAGCTACCGTGTGCAGCGGGACACAAGGCACCATAGAGCATCGAGGTAATGTTACACCCGATGTATTTAGTCATCCTGACTATGGGTGTGGCACTCTGACGAACGTAAACCGTCCTCCTGCAATAGGATCTTGATGGCCGTTGGTCCTGTGTGTCTCGTCTTATTGTTTCGTCAGGCGTAAGAGTGGCGTAGATGTATGTACTGGTACGATCTATTCATTATAAGAGTGGACATTGTTCATTTTCACATCCACGATATGGGAGTTACAGGTACTCCCACGTCGTTCAGCCGCCCCAAATGGACAGCCACGCAAGAAACCCACATGCAGCAGCTCGCGACGTCCTCTTTGAACGAATTCATCGACGGATGCAACCTCACAAGCGGGGGATGGACCTTGAATGGATGCTCCCACCAAGTTCCACTGCTTGTTCGCAACGAAGCACCGCATGCATTGGCCAGCTCGGTGCAGTTGGCGGGAACTATCGACGAAATCGTGCACATTTTCAAGCGTTTCCAACCGTTTCAGCCATTCGACGCGAAGGAATCTGCGTGCGTCGGGTACTTGGGCTCCAAGTCCAACCATCAGCACATTGCGATTCAGTGGATGCGATTGGACACCCCGCCACTCACGCGAGACCGCGATGCTTGCATCTTGGACGTACGCACCACCCGTTCCTGTCCACATCGTCGTCATCTCATCTCGTGTTGTAGACTCGGAATGTGTTTTCTCGCGATGGAAAACGAGGCTACGCATGCCACTTTCAGTCTGTGGACATCCCGGAATGCCCCAACCTCGAGGTGTCCCATCGCTACGTGCGCGCGTCCATCCAGCACTCGGGCTACGTCTTCACGGAAATCCATCCTGGACTTGTGAATGTGGTGCTGTCGCTGCATGTGGACTTTTGCGGACGGTTTCCCGTCTGCCTCGCCCACCCCTACCTGAAGAAGCAAGTGGCCACAATCAAGTCGTTGGAAATGTACATTCGCCAAGTTCGGATCCAAGATGCAGCGTTGTTGTATCCGGTCCAGCCGCACAAGCAATGTCCTTGCTGTCGCAAGGTGTTTGGCGTGTTTGAACGCTCCAAGAGGTGCGCGGGGTGCGACGAAGTGGTGTGCGTCGACTGCTCGTCGGTTGGCCTTGTCCACGGAAGAAAGGTGGTGCCGCTGTGCATCCCTTGCGTCCTCATCTCGGTATCCAAGCCCTCGACGTCGTCACTTGGAGTCCTTCGAGCTCAAATTGAACGGCATATCTCGTCGGTCGACTACCCCGACGACGAACCCGAAGGCAAGTGTGTGGACCTGACTCATGTGCAGTCGTTCGGCCCGGCGACCAGGTCCAACATGAGAATCATGCGCTCATTGGAAGAAACGCAAGCCACGTCGGAGGACATTGAATTCGACACCCCCCAGCTGGCCCCTCCGATTCCCGTTGCTCGAGGTCGGTCCGAGAACAGCAGCGGGTTGTGGGAAGATGCGATATGGATGTTCCACACCAACTTGGAGCGCTTCAAGCATCACAAGCTATCTCGAACGATATAATGCTGTGGTCCTGCATGTGCATAGAATAGAGGTTCGCCACGGCGCCGCAGGTAGCGTCTCAGTGAACACGAAACGTCATGATTTTTCAGTACATTCGCGCGCGATAAATTCTTTACAGTAATTCCGCATGTGATCAAAATTACAAATTTATCCGGATGGTGTTCACTGAAGATACATACTGAAACGAAGTTAATTTGTTGGACTTTCGCGCGTTTAGAACCTGCATCAGTTTCGAATTTGATTGTTTGGCCCCATGTCCATCGCAACAAGCAGCACCAGCGCGGGATTGACCGCGTCCGTCGCCGGCAATCAAGATGAGGTTAGCGTGCCGGTTGCAAGCACACACGACAACGGATCCCGAGATGAAATGCATGGCGACGAAGGTTCGGAGTCTGACACAAGCTGTAACTTGAAGAAAGGACATCTTGCCAAAATCCCCGATGATGAAGAAGTTATTGCCATCTCAGTCGCGAGAGTTGAGCTGCCAGGGCAAGCGTCGCGCGAAGACTTGGCCATCTGCCCAGACGTGGAGCATACAGTCCTTGACCCGCCCATGGACCAACGCACTGAAGTTCAAGGATTACCAACCGGTACAAGTGGTGGCGTGGAGAAGGGACACTCTGTTGGCGACGCCGATGTCCAAGGCAATGTTGCTGCTGCAGTTGCGACCATTGAGCTTTGTGTGAAGAGCTCAGATGAAGACTTGGCCACTGCTCCAAATGACAACATGAAGAAGTGTGCATTAGACGCATCGATGAACCGAGGAGGTGGAGACCAAGGAATAATCCCCGACGCAAGCGGCACCATGGAGGAGCCTGGTCTCAACGCTTCGGAGAACGCAAAGGCCCTCGCCCCCGGAATGTCGAATATTTTTGCCACGATCTCGGCCGTGTGTCCAAACATTGGCAAGTGCATGAGCACTGAAACCTTCGATACACGATTGCACCAAAGCACCGAAAAGCTCGAATTGACGTCTGACTCAATCGGGTCAGTGACGAAGTACCACGTTGCTGGAACTCCCAACGATGACGCCGTGATTGGCCCCAAAGTTGCAACAATCGAGCACTGTGTCAAGACCTCCGACAAAGTTGTGCCTACTTGCCGAAGTGCTGCCATGGCGAATGACGAATTTGGCATGCCCATCTACCAGAACAATGGAGACCAAGCACTTGCTCCTGAAGCAATCGGCGCTGTGGACAAGGCGGATGCTTCAAACACATCCGAGCTTGAAGGAGTCGTTCTCAACACAGAAGGATTGGGCACATTGGAGGACAGAGGCACTGATGATCCAGTAATTGCGACTGAATCAAGCGCGGGCGTTGAGACGGAACCTGCAACGGCCAATTTTGACAATGAAAACGGGATTGATGTCACAGTTTCGACAGTCGAATCTTGTTCCCTGTCATGTGGCTCGTCGCACGACGACGACATGGGTCCTAATCAAGTCCCTTCAACAAGCGTGTCGGCACCAAGCACAAGTGAAGACTTGAAGACAAGGCAGAGCATCCCGCCAGAGGGTGATGACCCGACCGACAGTGTTGTCTACGGATTGGCCTCTACAAGTCCGACTTCCGCGGCGAGGAATGGACAAGTCGTTTCGACGCCAAGCGATTTAGAGGCGACAAGCGAGCTGACTTCAATGAGTGGTGGCAAAACGTTTGCTGTCTTACCAAAATCGTTGCCAGGGGAGCCTGTGGGAAACGAATATGTGGAAAACAGACTCGTGACCGGCCACTTCAGCCCCGTGGCAGTCACGATGGGCGACAACTTGACATTACGAGTAAGCGTGGGAAACGGCAAGGGTGACGCCAGTTCTACGGGCGAAGACGTGCGTGCAATCGCAGTCGAAATGACCAGCCCATGTTTGGAGGCGGTTGATGAATTCCAAGCCCTCCGACAACCATACGACAAGGACTCTGGAGGCTTACCCACGGGATATTTGTTGACGCCGCTTGAGGAGAGATTACCAACAGAGTTGTGTGTGGCGGCTGAGAAGAGCGCACAAGTCGATGACAGTTCCAACGTCCAAGAAAATGCCAAAGGTAGCGACATGCTGTTGATCTTTAGATTTATCACACATCAAATTTGATATGGCCTCTGATTTGCTTCACGCAACAATCAATCATATCGGTAGGTGTGAAAGCGACGGAAGAAAAACAAGTGGTCCAAGACGACGCAACCAATTTCACCTCCTGTCCACCATCCTCGGCAGCTTGTGTCAACTTGGACAGTGCAGTATTACCGAGAGCACTAAGTGAGGAAGTCGATAGTAAAGCAGGGATGCTTTGTCCAACAATGCCAACCACAAAACAAGTATCGAACGTTGGACGAAAGATCGATCTCGGTTGCAATGAGCTATACATGGAACAAGGAACATTTGAGTCCAGCCCGCCAAAGTTATCATGTATCAAGGTAGGCACGAATCAACTGGAATGCTCGGTGACTGGAATGGTAACTTTTGGACAGTTTTATAAACAGATTTCTATTCATGATTTATTCGAGTTAATTTGTTGATGGATAGGTGGAAAGTCGCCTTGGCTTTTGTCAAGACACTGCTGACTCCACTTCCACGGCATGTACTCTGATGTCTATGCAACCTGCGGCTTCATTGGTGGAGGAAAAGGCAACTGAGGTGATACCACGACAAAATCTGGAGTCACCCAACAATGGAAATAGGAGTACTTTCACACAGTGCCATTATCACAGCGACAAGGAATCTCAATGACCGATTTGTTCGGCCATTCGCTTCGCGAATGCACCAACCCTTCGAGTCCGTTTAGCCCTACCGTCGCAACGAACATCGTCACACCTTCCGTACCCTGGACGCCGTCACCACAGCGCGATCTCCAAAAGGTATATCAAGATGCACTTTTCTCAAAATTGATCGCAGCATAGGACGTGAAGAGATCCGCAACGATCATACGTTCGTGCGAATCGAACGACGAATCTCCAGTTCGAGGGCAAACTCAAGGATTCAAGAATCGACGCCCTCCTACGCCAGGCTATGGTTTGCGCGCATCGTCAAAATACATGAACGTGGCCAGCAATATTACGAGCGTCCATGAAGTAAGGTCTCATTACCCGTCCAAGTCACCATTACCTCCAAAGACCGCAACAACGAAACATGCTTCGTCGAATTCAAGCCCATTCGCGGTGTACGTTGACAAGCACGACACCAAATTCTCTACGCCAAGTCCCAAAGGGCGGTCAACAAAGAAGCCACGAACGTCAACTGGAAAGTCCAAGAAAAAACGGCTGTACTCAGAGGCCGACAAGGAAAACGTGAGTCCCAACTCTACCCCAAAGGGAGTCCATGGCAAGGCTGACAAAAAGCGACTGCGTACAATGACGTAAGAGCCTGTTGAAACTCCCTCCATGCCCGTCTTGCTCGATGCGTCTTGAGTGTGCCTTTTTAATACATGTTTCCTGGCGTCAAATCTACTATCCGTCGCCATGACGTGGCGATCATGCGTGTTGTGGGCACGTAATCCGGATAAATCCACTGGCGTCCAATCCAAACACGTGGCATCCGGACGATAAGATTTCTCGGAATTTAGTGTATAGCACACTAAATTCGGGCACTCAGCTCACCCGAGTGTTCGTCTGTTGAGTCGGATGAACTTCCTCAAGAAGCCTGACAACATTGCGTTGGATAGCTGGTTGTTTGGGGATGACATCGACAGCAAGAGACAATCAGTGGATCAGGTGCACTCTGCTCCGTCGTCACGGCCGCACTCTCCGTCCACAGCGACTAATGCCGCGGGACACTCCCCCGTGTTGATGTTCAACCCGAAACTGGTTGCCGCGGCTACAGATGCAGCCATCAAGATACAAGACACGTACAAGAAGATGAGCACGAAAGCACTGAATTCACCGTACCCCATGCCGATAAGCAAGCATTTCCGCAAGTACTTGAAGGCAAAGCAACACAAGGCAACTGCCGACGACACCGACGACGATGAGTTTCACTTGTCGCCGTCGTCGTACACCCGACTACGCTCGTACACACCTGCATCGCTGCCCGAGATCGTAAAGGACCCCAAGAAGCTTCCGTATCTGCTCACGTTTCTCAGCGATGCGCAAACCATGGAAGGCAAGACAAACTACCACCAAGTGCTGTTGTTCCTGCTTGAATTGGAGCAGCAAAAGGCCGTGGGCGCGCGACCTCCGCTGCTCAAACTCTTCACCAAGTACTTTACCAGGACATCCGAGTTTTGCATCTCCGACACCCTCGAGCTCACGGACGAGTTGGAGCAGCTGGTGCTGACCAACATCCAGCAGCCCGACATCGGATGGCTCGGTTTCCGGCCGCTTCAGAAGCTCGCGTTCAAGCGACTGGCACGAGAAGAGCTGCCGCGTTTCATCAAGAGCGACGCGTATCTGAAAATGCTCAAGGAGGTCGAGCAGACGGCGGCGTTTGTACCGATGGACCGCTTCCTCACGCATCCCCGCGCCGCGCACTACTTTCTCCTCTTCCTCATGCAGCAGCGCCAGCACTTTGAGCTCTACTTTTGGCTCCACGTCGAGTACGTCCTCCAGCCATGTGCGGTGACGCAGCCGGCGCTCTTCTGGTCCCTCACGGCGGACCTCGTCGCCAAGGCGGCCGTGGATTCCGCCGCCATCCAGGACGCAACCAAGGACTCGTTGGCAGCCGTCGTCGCCACGTCGCGTCGTGAGGCGCCGGCCGCCATCAGCACTGCGCTGGCGGCGCTCAAAGCCGCGCAAAAGGACATCGTGGCCCTCTTGTCGGCGTCGTGGTACGATCGGTTCGTCAAGAGCCGACTGTACGTGATCGCCCTCCACGACCGCAAGTCCAAGAAGCTGCTCGACAGCGATTCGGAGGACGAAGCGGCGGCGCCGTCGTATTCCGAGTACGACACGGACGTGTCCATCCCCACGTCGTCCCTTGTACACCACGAAGAAGTGAGTGACGAAGACAGCTCAGACGAGGACCTGAGTGACGACGGCAAAGACGGGTCGTCCACCTCGGAAGACAATCATCGGCGGTCTCCTCCCAACCACCGCCGCCGCCGTCGGTCTTCCAACCCCAAGAAACTGGACCTTGAAAGCATCCTGCGCAGTACGAACCTCCCCCCAGGCCTGCAAGTGCACTACCGCCCCAACTACGTCGTCACGGCCCATACATTGTCCGACTACTTGACCCACAAGTCGACCCCCAACGGTGTAGACGCGGTCGTGCTGTTCAAAACCAGCTTGGAGCGCAGCAGCGGACTCGAAGTATCGTACGTACGACGGGATAAGACGGCGGTGACGACCCCCGACGCCCAGCGCAAGATTCAGGACCTGGCCAAGCGCATCCAGCCGTTCTTGGTGCCCCACGGGCTCCTCACGAAACCCGAGCCATCCGCAAAGCCCACCATGTTCCCGTTCCTGGTGCTTCAGAACGGCCACCACGACCATCTGTACGGCGTGAGCTACTTTACATCGAGCGACGTGCCGCTCCCGACTTCCGCGGACGACGGAACAACCCCCACAGACGAAGCAGATACAAAGCGCTACGGCGTGCAAGGGTTGTGTCTGCTCTCCACGTACCCTCTGCTTGAGACGCTTCGAGATCTCATGCTTCAGCACACACGCCGCCACCCCAAACTCTCGTGCATGCTGCCAGACGCTGCCCGAGAGCTGTACGTGGCCCCCACGTCCTCATCGATGGCACTTGCCGACGAAGCGATTACTTCAACCCCCCCTGTTGAAAGTCGTCAACGACGACTCTTGACGGGTCTGTCATTTCTAGAGTTGCCGACGCCCGCCCGCGTCGACTTTTCACTAGACCAACTGTTTCACCGGTTGAGTACGTCCGTCGTGTTGGAGGTGGTGGCGAACGCTCTCTTGGAGCACAGCGTGATCTTTGTCAGTAATAGCTACACAGCGCTCACCACGTGCGCCGAGTCCATCCGGTCGCTGCTCCACCCGTTCACGTGGTGCCACATCTACGTCCCGCTGCTGCCCAAGTCGCTTCTGTCGTACTTGCACTGCCCGACGCCAATCATGGTGGGCGTCCACCAGGGCACCACGTTCAGGGACGACCTGCCGAGCGCGTCGGATGCGTCGGCAACTGTCCTCGTAGACCTGGACCGCGGGACCGTCGAGTATTTGGGCACTCGGCGAGTCGTGTGGGGCACCATGGGTCTGCTAGAATCCTCCAGCAGCACGTCCCACCACCATATTCGCGTCGTCGATGCCTTTCACGAGGCCAAGCGCCGGCTGGATGCGCTGCTGCCGTGGGGCCTCCGAGGCGACGCCGTAGAGGAGGAGGAGGAGCGAGGCATGCCGCCCGACGATGCGGGGACGATGGACCAGCGCCGAAGACACATCTGCCACGACCTGGTGTCGTCGCTGTTGGACCGTCACAACGCGGCGTCGTTGGTCGTCGGCGACGCGCACGATTCGGTCATCATGTTTGACGAGAAGAAATTCACGGCGCTCCGTCCGCCGCATGAGACGCCCTTCCTCGAGAGCCTCGTGCGAACGCAAAGCTTCTCGGAGATCATCAGTACACATCGCATCGGCACCACAGTCTGAAGTGCCGAAACGAATCCATCTACCTACCTCTATACTACGTAGTATATCTCAGTTAGTTGCTGCCATGTCCGACTTGTACTACTAGGTGCGTTCTAATAGATTTGGCGCATGATAATCTGATAGATGCAGCCATACTTACTGGATGCCAGAATGTGAAATCATGGCGAGTGGTGCTGTGACAATTGAGAATGAAGAGTAAAAATGACAATTTGTGCTTATTTCGAATGGATCCCGTCGTACATTTGTGGTGGCGCTTAATACTACTAATAGTATTAGCCAGTGTGGAATTTGAAATTCCCCAAGTCGTTGGGATTACATTGCGCAGGCAGTGAGTGGCATGCGATACGGTGACGTATAGTCATTGCGCAGGCAGTGAGTGGCATGCGATACGGTGACGTATAGTCATATAACGAAACCAATTCGACTCGGTTTGAACAAACTTTGTAATTGTCCGAGTGTGAATACGGTAACGGTACTTTGTCCAAATATACACATCGATCGATGGATTTAGCGAATCGGCACACAAATCCAAGATGATGAAGGTGGAAACGAATGTTGTGAATTCAAATTATCTTCATGAATTGTCCAATACTACTATTTATAGTAGAAATGAATTACAGTACAAACTCCAAATTGAGATTAGTTCCAAGTCGTCAGAGTTTTCCAAAAGTAACAGTTATACACTATAAATACTTCAGATGTGCTAACGTTAGTAGAAAATCCCAATTCATTGGCTGATATGACTTTGTTATTAACCAATGATGTTGGAGGCGGCCAGAAATCGCATAAATTTTGCAAGGGAAACAATAGAATATATGCCTTCATTATAAAATAAACTGGAACAACTAATATTTGCATTAACCTCGATGGAGGTGGAGGTGGATTGGCGTCAAAGACACACTCAATTGGGATGGTGATGATGCTACGGCCTGCGGGCAGACTCCTGAAGCCATTGGGCTTGCGCTTCCGAAGCTCGTATGCTGCCAAGAAAGGATTGGCACCGAAGAATGAATTGGCGCCGAAGAAGAAGCCAACGGCTCCGTGGCTGGGGCTGGCGGTGGGATCTGCCTTGGGGACGTACGGCGGATACGAAGTGTGGAAGACATGGAGCGACGAGAAGAATCCTGCGCATGTGTACGATCGACTTCCGGGGGGAAAGACGGCAGAGGAGGCAAAGATGGCATCGGAAGCGCAGGTTTGTCCGTGAGCTGCTTCTGTGATGCTGTATATTGAGTACTGTTGGTAGATGTTCCTGTTGCACCTCGTGTCGTACCGCGCCATTTCTCGCGCGTGGGGTGCCGTGAACGACATCGAATTGTCCGTCCTTCCATCCGACATGCGTTGTATCCGATACTCATGCCCTGACACCCTTGTGTAGGCCCGTGTGGATGCGCGAACCCATCTACAACGCCTGGACACGCGCGTTTGATTGCAAGTTGGACGAAATGAAGTACCCGTTGGAGCATTACAAGAACCTCGGGGAATTCTTCTCTCGTCCTCTCAAGGTTCGACACCTCCCTCCTCTTCCCTCTCCATGTTGTGACCTCTCAACCGAGTCTAGGACGGCATCCGCCCCGTGAATTGGGACCCTCGGTGTGTGTCGAGTCCCGTCGACGGCACCATGGCAAGTTTTGGCGTGGTAGACTTTACCGATGACATTCCCGTGATGGAGCAGATCAAGGTATATTCCTGACACCACACGTCATCGCATCTTTTGATGTATGTCGGCGTGGGTAGGGCGTACGGTATCGCATGGACGACTTTCTTGGCGACGTGCCTGCGTTCTTTGACAAGCCGACTAAAGCAGGCAACAAGTACAGTGCAGTACACTGTACCGTACACTACATTGACATGGGTGTAGGTTGTTTCACTGCGTGATCTACTTGGCGCCGGGCGACTACCATCGGATACACTCACCGATCGACTGGAGTATGGGCGAGCGGCGCCACTTCCCCGGGGATCTCTTCCCCGTCAACTCTCGCGCCGTGCATTTCGTACCCAGTTTATTCACGTGGAATGAGCGAGTGGTAGGTATATTTCCGGTGGTTCTCTCGGGGACTGATCCGGACGGCGGCGGATGTAGGCGCTGTTGGGGCGCTGGAAGCACGGATTCTTCTCCATGTCGCTGGTTGGGGCGACGAATGTTGGGTCCATGACGCTGGACGTGGAGCCGGTGAGGATTTGCATGTTTCGATATGAGATATATCGGCAAATATGTATGTATATACATCATTTGAATACCTTTGATTTGATTTCATATGGGATGTATGGTGGTGGACTGACAAAAATGCCATTTTTTATGTAAATAATTATAAAAAATAGACCTATTTTTGACATTTTACGACGACGAGCCACCATAGGACTTTGCCACAAACAAGTGGGCGGATTTTTACTTGACCAAGCCGTGGGGCACCTGCGACACGAAGAAGTACGAGCGCCAAGAACTGGTCACTCGTGGCGACCAAGTCGCTCAGTTTAAGGTATATTTGTCAACCCATCATAATTGTATGGGATACAGTATACGACGGTTGTAGCTCGGGTCGACCGTCGTGTTGGTGTTTGAAGCGCCCGACGATTTTGAGTTTACGGCCAAGTCTGGTGACAAGGTAACTAACTATATATATATATATATGGAACCTCACTGGTGGTTATTCGAAGGTGCGCTATGGGGCGTCGATTGGGCACTTTCAGCAGTCGATGGACGGGGACGTGGCCGCGTCGACCTTCCCGAGCACGTCCGACATGATCCGACTGGCGAGCCAAGCCAACGACCAACAGACCAAGGCATCGTACTTGTCTGAGATCTCTCAGTCCATCGGCCAAATGTTCTTTGGGCGCGCCAAGTAGACACACATGCGAAACGCACCCAAGTGTTGTACATACCTCCACAGCAACCAACACATGCGGGGACGGACGGTGGTAACGTTAGATGCTTAACAGAATATGCAAGCAAGTCGTCGTCACATGTTGAGTGGGCACGCTGAACGGTGTCTTGACGAGAGTAGGGTTGAATGTACATCACGTTAGGACAGAGATGAAGCTTGACTGAGGAGGACGGCAGGAATGATGATCACGGTGCAAATGTGTGTGTGGATGAGATTCCCCTTATTCCTTCCTGTGGTGAATGATTGTATTCACACTAATTTCATATTGATATTGATATTACGCTGTAAAGTTAAAATCACTCAGCGGGCACTTAATGGCCTCGGCCGCGTGCTAGCTGCATTGGCAGCTAGCGGGCTTAACTAGTATTCACACTAATTTCAGTCACATACTAATTCGATGACGGTGATAGTTTCCTGCAATCTGATTGGCTCAATTCTTGTCACATAAGCTTACAGTAACTACAACAATAACATCGTTTAAGGGCCTGACCCAAGTAAATATTTTGAAAAAGTACTAATAGTTCCAACTATTGTGGCTATTTGGTATAAATTTCCAGATCGAATCACGAAGATCGACGTTATTGGCTAATCCATTTTTGAGTGGATTTGATTGGCTCTTACAGAAACGACAAGTATATTCAACCAATCAGAACTCCAGCGTGATTCAATATTGATTAAACAAACCAGCGAATAATTTTGGAAGTTCATAGCGGGAATTCACAACACAGTTTCCAACTTTTTTACTTCGAAGTACGTCTTTTTGTGCGACTAAACCAAAAATAGAAAAAGAGGTCCTCGACTTCATTTTCTAAATCGTGAAAAAAGAAGTTAATCGATTTTGATTGGCTCATGCTATTTCTGAAAATTATTACAGTTTCACACTTTTTTACATTCAAAATTCAGTAAGCATCGATAACTGTTGTATATTAACAGTAAGTGTAGTTTGGAACTGTACCGTAAAGTCCGATTTTTGCCATTTTGCACGACAGACGGCAGCATGACGAGAGCGATACTGGTGCTATTGCCAGCATTATGTGTACTTGCCAATGCTTCGAGGCTGAAGAGTGGGCATGATGTGCGGAGGAGTGTCGTTGAGGCACACCGTGACACCGCTGAAGTCCTTCTTCCCTCGGATGACTGCACATGGAAGCGCATTTGGCGCGCAGACATCTCGCAACAAGCTTCTTCGTCGGACAAAGAATCGAATGCAAGCGGACACAATACACGCGCCGATGGGTCGGGATTCGTGATTGAGGTCGCGCAGGACTGGAACGGGTCGTACGTATCAAGCCACGTCGTGTTCTCTCTGGAAGGCGCAACCTTCCCACCGCAGGGCAAGCTGGTGCTACGTGCGCAATTCCCAACCGTATTATATCATGTATCTTAGACAAATCGTGTCACGACTAGTCTTGGAGTAGGGTCGCGGCCTTCGACCTGTGCTGAAGCTGGTCAAGCACGCCAAGGAGTTGGTGGTCGTCCAAGGCAGCAGCAACCACCCCACGAGCTTGATTGTCAATCCACGGGTTCCTGGACCGACCGCCGCCAAGGCAGCATCCAGTCGTCTGCGTCTCCAGGACTTTCCCTGTCTCCACGTACGATGCAAATCAAAACCCCAGTCCATTCGCCATGATGCAATGCTCACTCTGTCGCAGGAATCGTTTGCATCCGCCACACACTCATTTGAACTGTCATGGGACAACCACTGGCTTCGGTGGTACGTGGACGGCGCGTTTTACGCAGAAGCCCCTCACCCGACCTCGTTCTTCACGCCCGACGCCACGTACCCCCTCTCCGTCGTCGTAGCGGTCGACGTGGTCGGCGACATTGCTCCGCCGCCATCCAGTGCCGCTGCTGCGGCGGCGGCATTCCATGTCCAAGATCTGCTGCTCCTAGAACAAACGTCGAACACGTGCACCCCGGTCTTTGTCAACCCCGCGGACTGCCGCCAGTACTCTGCCAACCCCCCTCGGCCACCATCTTCCCCTCTCCGTAAGCCCCCCTCGTCGTGATGAAAATACATATGTACACTGGCTGATGCGTACGTACTACATCCATGTTGGATCTGTAGCTCCGATTCGATCGGGGTCGCTGGAAGGCTCCATGTCCCTCGCCCAAGTGTACGACTTTCTCAACGACGCCATCCCCGACCTGTTGTCGGACATGCCCCACATGTGGCGCAATGAAGTGATTGGCACGTCTGTGGAAGGCCGGCCGATCGTCGCGCTGTGTCTGGGCCTGTGTCATGCCACGTCATCGCCTCCTCAAGCGTTGTACACTGGTCTGCACCACTCCCGAGAGGTGCGTCTCTATTGGTCATAAACCAAGTGTGCTGGTGGTATCCTCTCTTGTGTGTATCCAACTGGCTTGGGGCTCATCGCCAATGTGTTTGTAGCCCATGTCCATGATGGTACGTCAGTCAGTTCCCATCCTCGTCGTCGTCGTCCATCTTAATTGGGCCGCCACCCAAACCTCACTCGGTGTAGCAATATATATGGAAAACTCTTGAGATATATTTGGTTTCCGTTGGGGGGGCCGATGTATGTGTGTGGCTATAACATGTCTATTTCACTGTGTATGACAGAACTTGGCATTTTTCATTGACCATCTGGTGCTGGGGCTGCGAGGCCACCATCCAGCGATCACGTCGTTGCTGTGGTCGCGCCAGTTGTGGTTCATCCTCGTGGTAAACCCCGACGGGTACGCATATAACGAAGCGCACATGCCGCTGCATCCGGACCAATCGTTTGCAGGCCAGCGCAAGAACCGGCATCCGTCAACGTGCGGCAAAGCTCCCGACACTGGCGTCGACTTGAACCGCAACTACGACGTGTGCTTCTCCGAGGACGACGTGGGCAGCAGCGACGACGTGTGCGGAGAGGTAGTACCAACCAGACATATTCCCAATACATTATATATATATACATAAAACAACCAGTCATATTCCCAATACATTATATAACCACATGTCACAGCTATTCCTTGACTGGATTGCGTGTATAGGACTATCGCGGCCCCGCGGCATTTTCCGAGCCAGAGACCCGCGCCGTTCGAGATTTGGTCGCCCGGCACAACTTTACGTAAAGAGTGTTGGTTTTATGAGCGAGTACTGTATATGTGTGACTAGTACGGCGTTCAACTACCACTCATTTGGAGAGTACTTTAACATCCCGTTCGCGTGCCAGCCCAAGGGCGTGCCGCCGCCGTTCGCTATGACCGTGTTCAAAGCCCTGGCGACTGACATGACCAAGCTCAACGGGTTCAAATATGGCCAGTCGTGGAAAGAGGTATGTACGACGAGTAGCCTTGATGGGGAATATGTACGACTGACATTGTATGGGGGGTGGGGGATTCGTTGTAGAGCAACTTGTACTCTGTGAACGGAGAAACAAGGTATCACGAATGTGGATGTGTGGTTATATATATTGACTGCTTTATGGTAGCGACTGGATGTGGCACGCCCACGGTATCTTTGCCATGTCCCCCGAGGTATGTACATGCGTACGAGCAGTTTTGTGACGTAGGTCAGTTGATACCTGTCGTTTGTGTGTATCATGATAGACTGGGCCACGGTTTGACGTGGGGAGTTTCAGAGGGTTCTGGCCGTCCGACCCGTCGTTGATCCTTGCAATATGCGAACAATTGCTGCACTCCAACTACGTGTTGGCGCAGAGTGCCGGGCCAGAGATCGAGCTGACCATGGACGTGCGTTTTGCATATTGATGGACAATCAAGTCGAGTTTTTTGTTCTTATATCGAGGGGTGGTGGAATCGCTTAGAAATGGACCACGATCGACATGGACAACACTGACGGTGGTGGCGGCGTGGCTGGGGTGACGTTGGACATCACTGTACGTACAGTGTACCTCTCCCGTAAAGTGAAATCGTCATGTGTGGGATGTAGCTATGGAACCACGGCCTGCGGTCGTCGTCGAGGGCGGTCGAAGTCGTAGCGTCCGTGCACCTGAATGGAAGTCAAAGCAGTCCCGTGTACTCGCTTCCGACGCTGTTACATGCCGCGGACCCGCATAACGCCGCCGTGCGGCTCACCATGGTCGTGCCAAATGACAACATGACGACATCGCTGCCCAGTCGCGTGTACTTGGTGGTTCGCGACGGGTGGACCTGCTCGTTTTACCGCATATGTACGTATGTCTCGAATGTCTTCTACGCTATCGCATGTGTGACAGTGTCATGTGACGCTGTGTTGGTGGGTTCGAAAAATGTGTGATGGTGTTGGTTGTAGCGTTGGGCCATGCCGCCGCCGACGGGGCGTTTCAAGTGTGGCGGCCGCTGGTGCTGCCGCCGTGCGGCACGTGTGCATCGTTTGGATCGGATCTGTCTGTTCACAGTGATCATGTGAACTGCATGACATTGCACGCGTCCTTGCTGCATGTGACAGTGTCGCATACTCACATTGACGACGTGGATGGGAACTTGACCAAGTACGACGACGACATGGTTGACACGGTGGGTGTAGTCACTTTGAGGCCCAACAGCATGCCAGAGGTGGCCCATCATGAGAAGAAGGCTTTGCTGCTGGTCAGTTTGATTGTGCTGCTGGGGATGGTGGTCGGCATGATTGGGCTTCGACACGCCAAAGCCAAACGGTCGTCCGACCGTGACGAGTATGCCAAAGTGTCCAAGACCGAAGCCGCCGCCGACGACAACGACGAAGAAGAAGCACTAGACAACATGCTCGACTTGAGTTCGCCGAAGTCGATTCCGGAAACCCCGTCATCCATGATGGAGACTGGAACGCAGAGGCGGGTGCGGTCCCCTCTGCGGGAAGATCAACAAGGACTTCTAGTCAAGGACAATGCGGTCAGTCGTCGAGTTCGATCGCCACCGCCGCCCTCCACTCGTGGCGGCAGTAGCAATAGCCATGACGAAGTGTAACGTATGTATGTACATTACATCACGAATCTCTGCTCAAAACGAGCTGGCTGCTGGTCGTTCGTCCTAGTCCGTCTTCTTCAGCTCTTCTTGCCTAGCCGCGCTGGTCGCACCGTCTTCAGTCCCCCACTGAAGCTTGCCTTGGGCTTGCAAGCTGCGCGCTTCCATAAGGAACCAGTTGATTGACAAGGTCAACCCCACAGCGAGAAACAAAAACACAAACATGTGAATCGAGTCTTCGATGCCCGACCATATCGTCAGCCCGATCACCGCCAGCAGCGTCACGAGCACCCCGTTGAGCACAATCACAAACTTGTCCCCTGTGCCTGGCTCCAGCGCCGACTTGATGGCATCGGCGAACACTCCCATCGTTTGTTGTGTTCTGAAGCTGCTCCGGATAACGCGTCGCATTGAAAGGGCACCATCCGGATACTTTTTTCAAACGACGGTTACTTTTGGTGTTGAAGCTGCATGAAGTTGGGGTTGGTAGTGGGGCTCGATGGCGCCGGCAAGACGATGCTGTTGCGACAGCTTAGCCGCATGTGCAAGGACGAATTCCACAACCCCAAGCTCGGCTCCGTCTTTGAGAAGGTCCGCACCCGCCTGTTCGCGGACTCTGCACCTGCTGCCGAAGTCGACGGCATCGATGTCGCGACCCTACCAACGACAGGTGTCCGTCACCAATCCTTTGCCCATGCGTGCGTCAACGTGCTCACACAAACTAGGAGTGGAAGAAGAGACGATCGCATACCGCAACTTGGCAGTCACACTGCGAGAAGTGGGCGCGCCGATGCTGTCCATGTGGAAATCGTACTTTGAATCATGCGATTTCTTCATGGTACGTTCGTTCGTCGTGTCCATCGATGATGTGCATGTTCACCCCCCGTCGCTTTAGTTTGTGGTGGACATGACCAACTTTCCGCAATTGGCCGCCGCCGCCGTCGAATTCTTCAACGTCGTGCAGGCCCCCGCCATGCAAAGCAAGGTCGGGTTCCTCCTCCTCAACAAAATGTAATGACCCATGACATGCCCCGATCACATGTGCATCACCTCGGGTTGTAGGGATGCGCCGTGCACCGTGTCCACGCAATGGTTGCGGTCTCTCTTCAGCCTCGATCAAGTGTGCGCGTCCATGAACATCCACGTGATTCAGATCAGCGCCACGACCGGCGACCACCTGGACTCGCTGCTCACGACGATGGCTATGAAGCTCCAGTCCACACGATATAGCCAACGGCTGACCCAGTTCCGTGACGCCGGTCAAAACCGCATCCACCCCACCACCACCACCACCACCACCACCACTACCACCACATGATCATTTGGCAACCTTTTTCAACGTTGTTTAACGTTAAGATGACGTTAGCGTTGTAGTACGTATTTGTGGACGCGGTCAACATGTTGTCTGCGCTGCTTTCACATCTTGGTGGAAGTGGTCAATGCAACATCCAGACAGTCATGCACATAACTGTTTAACAATCTGTCCATATCCCATACATCCCTTGGCATAACCTGCTCTTGCGTGTGCATCTCGCCACGCCAGCGCGTCCTTTCGACTTGCCTGCGTTCTTTTGGCAGGGTCAGAGTTGGTGGCTCTCGCGTGGGCCAATCACAAACGTTCACATCAATGGTGGGGAGGTCCAGTCGTATTTTAATTTATTCGTACGGTACACCATACTCAAATCAAGTCATGTGGATGAAAATGTTTTAATTGCAACCCAATGTGCCGTTTCATTCGACTCATTTTGAAACTTGGATCAGTCCTTGAACATGACGACTCCCGTGACGAACCGTCCTCAAATCGCTATCCTCGACTTTGGGTCGCAGTACAGCCACTTGATTGCGCGCCGCGTCCGCGGTAAGGATCTCATTTCCCTGGAAGTGTCCGCTTGTCTCATGCAGGTGTGTTGGTGTGTAGAACTGCATGTGTTTTGCGAACTCTACTCGTGCTTGGTCACCGTGGAAGAGTTGAGCAAGCATCAGCTCACGGGAATCATCCTGTCGGGTGGACCCAACTCGGTGTACGAAGAAGGTGCGCCCCACGTCCGCCCCGAAGTGTGGAAGTTCATCGAAGACCAAAAGTTGCCTCTTCTTGGCATTTGCTACGGCATGCAAGAATTGGCCTACACATTCGGCGGCATTGTCGCCAAGGGCCAACGCCGCGAGTACGGCAAGGCCATGGTCTCCACGCACGCTGTGGACCGCTCGGCGCACCTTGGCTTCCTCGACGGCCTCACGGACGGCGACTTCCAAGTGTGGATGAGCCACGGTGACAAGCTCACCAAGACCCCCACGGGGTTTGTGGACATTGCGTTCACGGCCAACTCGGAGCACGCGGCGATCGCGAACGTGTCCAAAAAGTACTTTGGCATCCAATTCCATCCCGAAGTCACGCATTCCCCGCTCGGCAAGGTCCTCCTCAAGAACTTCGTCGTCGACATCTGCGGGTCGCCCACCGACTGGAACATGCGCAGCATCGCCGACGCGTTCATTGAAGAAGTCCGCCAAACTGTCGGTCCCCACGGCCACGTGATCGGTGCCGTGTCCGGCGGCGTCGACTCGTCCGTGGCCGCCGCCCTCCTCCACCGCGCCATCGGCGACCGCTTCCACGCCGTTCTCATCGACAACGGCTTGCTGCGGGCTGGGGAAGCCGTCGAAGTCGTGGACCGCCTTCAAAAGCACTTGGGCATCAACTTGCACTGCATCGACGCATCCGACCGATTCCTCGCCACGCTGAGCGGCGTCACCGAGCCCGAGACCAAGCGCAAGCTCATCGGCAACTTGTTCATCGATCTCTTCCAGGAAGAAGCCGCGCGCATCGACCACCCCGTGGACTTTTTGCTCCAGGGCACGCTGTACCCCGACGTGATTGAAAGCGTCAGCTACAAGGGTCCAAGTGCCACCATCAAGACGCACCACAATGTCGGCGGCCTCCCCGACACGATGCACCTCAAGCTCATCGAACCCCTGCGCGAACTGTTCAAGGACGAAGTGCGCGAACTTGGCATCGCCCTCGGCATCGACGAAGCCAGCGTGTGGCGCCACCCGTTCCCCGGTCCCGGCCTCGCCATCCGCGTGCTCGGCGAAGTGACCAAGGACGCCCTCGACATCCTGCGACAGGCGGACACGATCTTCCTCGATGAACTGCGTAAGCATGGCCACTACCGCTCGACCGGTCAAGCGTTCTGCGTGCTGCTCCCGGTCAAGTCGGTGGGCGTCATGGGCGACGGACGCACGTACGAAAAGGTGATTGCCATCCGCGCCGTGAGCACGTCCGACTTTATGACGGCCGACTGGTACCACATGCCCCACGATGTGCTCGCCATCATGTCCAACCGCATCATCAACGAAGTCCGAGGCGTCAACCGCGTCGTGTACGACATTTCGTCCAAGCCGCCCGCCACCATCGAATGGGAATAGACCAAATATCTACGTACATACAACTTAATCCTGAACCCATCCATCCGTACTTGTACATACTTGTGAGGAGTCAACTACTCCTACTTGGACGACGTGGAATCGTGCCCTTGTCTATGGACTGAAGCTGCTCATTTCGTTTGTCGTCTTCAGCTCCTACCTGGAACGCGGAATGTTGTCCTTGTCTTCGCTCCGACGGATCGCGTTGTCATCGAGACTTGGTGTTTGTCCGCATATGTCCTCTCCCAGAAGCTCCATCCACCTACGGGTACATACTACTCTCCATGCCGTGGAGAGCCCAGCCGGGTGGGTCTTCATGCTCGCAGGCAGTGACCGTTAAGGGGCCGTCGATTGCTTATCCGGTATTCCGGATACGTACCGACCGCCCAATATTCAGGCCAGCAGCTCTCAGTGTGGAATTATACTCGCACGAAGCAAAGATGGACCTCGTGGATGCGAATGCGGAAGACTTCTTCGCATCGCTGAATGCAGGGAGTGCGTCTGCCTTCTTCCATAAACCAGTAGAGGAGCCGGTGGCGAAGAAGCCCAAGGCCTCAGCAGTCGTCACGACGGCGACAGCCATGAAGTATGACATGTCGGCACAACCGAAAACGCCAGGGCCAGCACGCGTGACAGTGTCCACGGTGCTGGATCCAAAGGAACCGCAGCTGCCCATGGAAGAACGCATCGCGAACCTTCTTGTGCCGGACATGAAAGTCGGCGATGTGATCCAACTGATCAAGAAGATGAAGCAATCGGGCAAGTCGGACGCAGACGAGTTTTCCGAGCTCGACGCGGAAATGAACTCGGCGCCGCGCTTCGTGTGCGAAGTGTGCGGGAATACCGAGCAGCACAACTACATCACGGACTACGCCCGAGGGGACACCGTGTGCATGGGTCCCGACGGCAAAGGCTGTGGGAACGTCGTGCAAGACCACATTGTCCACGAAGGCAGCGCGTATCGCAAGTTTGAAGGCGAGGAGGACAAGAGTCACCACGGCCCCGCGCCCAACAAGTTGTTCTCCATGGGCCACAACCTCCGCACCATGATCTCGCAGGTACATACATGGCGTCGCCTGTCTTTTACTTGTGTGCACTCATCGCGAACTTGCGATCTATGTGTGTGTAGGACGGCGAGCAGTCGGCAAATCTTCGACGCGCGTCCGAGTTTGTCGAAATGAACTTGAGTCAGATGGGCAAGGACGAGCGGCGGACGCGCATTGGGTACAAGGATCAGGTACGCCCCCCCCCGCCGTCTGATTCGGAGTTGCCACGTCGTCCTGCGTCTGATTCTGAGTTGCGGTCGTCCTGCGTCTGAGTATTGTGTGCCCACGGTAGATGAAACAAAAAGCGTGTCGACTGATCGACCACACCGGCGCCAACTTGGACTTGCATGAGATCGTGTGCAACCGCGCCAAGAAGATGTTTGCCGAGTTCCGCGACCTCCGAGAGCATGTGCACCAGTTTGAAGCGGTGGTCGCGGGGTGTATCATCGACTCGTACATGACGACGGGCAAGGAGATGTACCAGGCGCAGACGTCGATCAAGATTGGCAAGTTCAAGCAGGCCGGGATCGCGCAACTGACGCTCGCGCCCAACAAGGCTGTGGACGAGAAGAAGCTGCACCCGTTTCACTGCAAAGCGTGCGGACTCACGTTCAATGCCAAACGCGCGCTGCAGTTTCACACGTGTGAGGTCAAGGGCGGCGCCGGCGGCAACGGGGCCGTGGCGTCGACGGTGGACGACCTGCCGCCGCTCCACGGACCGGACGAGTCGGCGGCGCCCGTGCGCGACGTCCGCGACGGCAAAGAGTGGTTCCAGTGCCCCGTGTGTCCGCGCAAGTACGAGCGGCGCGAGGCGGCTGTCGAGCACATGATGCGACACAAGAAGCAGAGCGAGAAGCGCAAACTGCACATTGAGACGGCGACGATGGACTCGACGCGGTTTCAAAAGACCAACTCACTCGCGAGTGCCAACCCAAGTGTCCAAGTAAACACGCACGAGCAGGTGCTGTTCCGAGGCCAGGGGCGCCGGCCGTGGCTGCAGAGCAAACTCCAGGAACAGCAGCAGCAACTGTTACAAAGGCGCGACCACGACTCCAAACACGACTAACACTACGAATGACACCACTACAACTTCAATGTCTCAGGCTACGACGTACTACAGTAGTACTTACTAGTAGTAGTACGTACTAGTGGGGTGCTAGTACTACTGTAGTAGTAGTACGTAGTGGTGTGCTACTGTAGTACTGTATTTACTTAACGTTTGGTTTAACCCGATATACCAGTACCACTGGCGGCTTTCCAGTTATTATAACGTTAATTACAGTAAATCATACATACTGTTCAGATGATAATCTTTCTCAATGTATGGGATACACATTTGGAGATGTACGTTTTCTCTATGATTAGTTGATATTTCTAAATAGTGTGATTTGATTGGCTAGGTCTTTCTAAATTACATTTCCCACGCGTAAAATTATTAGTACTTCGAAGTACTATTAATACATACAGTAGTAGTATTATACCACGTAGTAGTACTATTAATAGTACTAGTAGTACAGTAGTACAGTACTGTAGTACTACAGGGAATGACGTATTAAACGCCCCCGTGGTACTAAAATTTCGTATTGATTAAAGTATTGAAATTTCGAAGTAGTTTGTCCCAATACACAATTGAAATGCCAATTCGAAGTACCACGGGGGCGCTTAATACGTCATTCCCTGTACTTGATTTGAAAGTGTAAATTTGACAATAGAGTATACATACACTCTGTGTGTACCCTTGATTAATTTACATGTTAGGTCGAGTTGGAAGCAGAATTGAAGAAGAGGAAGCATGTTGTTGACGTTAGGACGACGAGCCGGACGAGGAAGATGGCGGAGGTGAGGAATCAGTGGCCGGGGTGCCAAGGACGTCTGCTTCCGTGAGTTCGAGGATGTTGTCGTGCGTGACGATGCGCGCATTGCCGCCTTTTGCCGCCAGCACTTCTTGGACGTCGTATCCACCGTCCTCAAACCACCCGAGGCGATCTGCGATCAAGTGCAAGTTCTGACACGTCGGGCACCGAATGAGGACGACGCCGTTGTAGTACGCATGCTTGCTGATGGTTTTGGCGGCACGGGTGTCGCATACTACAATGAAACGCATGAGAACGACAATTCCATGCGGGATTAGTGACGAAGATGGACGTACCAGTGCACGTATACACCATGACGAACTTGTCGCCGGACGTGAGTGTGGCGCCTGGAATGTCCGAGCCAGACGACGGAGGATCGGACGGTGGTGTAGTCGTCGAAAACGACCGAAACGCCTGTTGCCACCCCAACTTCGTGCTAGGTCGATGGCATGCGTGTGGAATAGACTTCGTCATCATGGAGAAGGAGATCGCTTCAACCACGGCGGGAGAGGTGCATCGACGTGGCAACGCTTGGGCCAGGACCCGAAGGGCCGCCAAGCGGCGAACGCGGGTGAACATTTTTGGTCTCAGCATTGTGATTATTGGTGCAGCAAGAATCCGGATAAACTGTTTCGTCCGAATAATTCCTTGTAACTGACCTTTCTTGATGGCACGCAATATCGATAAAATGATGCAACATGAGCCACGACTGTCGCAAATTGACGTAATGTACGTGCTGCGGAGCCTGTCAGTTCTGAAGCGCCGTGGAGTGGTGCCGCGCTCAAAGCTCCAGGTACGATGCACGCTGCATGAACCACGTCCTGTTGCGAAGCACTCGTAGGAGTACAAAGACATGCTCATCGCACGCCATCCTGCGTTGGTGGCGATGGTCCATGAGGCCGCCAGAGCAAATCAAGATCTAGCAGAGTGTACGTGGCCGACGCCATCAGTTTGTGATGCCACTTGACGATAGATCTCTTGGCCCAGTCGACTCGAGACGTCCCCGTCGTAGTGCCAACCCACGAGGCCGTCGCCATCGATGCTCTTGACGTATCCATCTTACGTGCACAGGTATAACGTATTGCGAAGTGATTTACGACTGACTCGGTGTATAGTTTGGCATGGACGAAGCCGAGGCGATCCGCGTATTAGTAGAAAGTCGTGGAGACTTTGTCACGGCCATCCTAGCAGTTGACGCAGCCCGCGACACAGATTAACCGCATTTAATCACCAACATATTTCCCTTGACGGTGTTCTGCTGATCGCGATCCGTTCCTTTGACAGTGTTCAGTTGTATCTTTGACATCAGTGCCATGTGATGGCAACTGGTCACCCGTGCAATCTGGTGTAACAAGCATCGAACTAGAACGAGGTCGTAGCACCAAGGTACAAACTTCGTACAGAAGCTGGCCAGGCTTTGTGCATCCTGTCGAGTCGTGTACTGCCATCACAATCGAAACCTTCATCTCGACATTGAACTTTAGCGACATCGTCGAACCGTCTTTTCAAATGATATAGAATCACTTTACCAAGTCACATTATCGCATAAAGTGCTCACAGGTTTGGTCAAGATCCTGCCATGATTATGATGCTTCATGACTTGGGGGGACGCTTGCCGCTTGGACTGGTAGAACTATTCCGTTGAAGTTGTCATTGGAAATACGGCAGTAGGAATACACGAGCGTAATTAGAGTGTCCTGCAGCATGAAATTGACCATTCTTGTTTTCCGTAGCTTCCATGTCAACCAAAACTATAATCCAAATCAGTCGTGCAAGTGTTGCCACGAAAGGAGATTAACGCAGCATGCAAACTCGCGCTTCGAGTTGAGGTTCGGGCTCTGGTTCCACCCCGGCTTGTTGTCAGCTACTACAGTACGAGTCGAGGTCGGCGAATGGGCTGCCGCTCTGCTAGACGGCGCGCCTCGACCTTCTTCATGGCCCGGTAGGCGGCCCGACGATCGCGTTCGTCGCCCGCGAGAAGCACGCGCTTCGACGACACATTTGGGCTGGCCTTCCAACCGCGCTCTCGTTGGCGCACGGCGTTCATGGCTTCGGTGTTGTGGTGCATGATAACGTGCAGGAATCTCGTAAAATGCTCTGCGACTTTCCTGCAAAAACTCAAACTCTTTCCTATCAATCTTACTAGCAACAAAACTGAGTTACTAAGATTATATCCCCGTGACCCTTCAAGATCGTCTGGCATAGGCCATTCTCATTGGCCACGAATATAACTTATATGCATTTCTGCTTGCTAATTCACTCGATTGACCAGAAATATCGTTTTATCAATTTTCAACACATCTGTGACATCGTTGGTTTCGTCGAACCGGCAGTCCACACCAATAATAGTCACGAAAACTCATTGGAAAGAAGGGAGGTGATTCAAGCACATCTGGTAGTGATACATCACCATCCACACGTTCAACCACTGTCTACAATACTAGGAATTGTTGATTTGAGTGGTTGAATTATCACTTTTTTTAAGCCACGGGGCTCGACGGCGCGTCGTCTCGCCAGTGCGACACGAGGCTCGAGAAGATCCCGCTCTCGTTCTGGAGCAACGCCGCGGGCGTGTCAAACTCGGCGACCCCTCCCTGGTCCATGACGAGGATTCTCGACGAGTCGAGGATCGTGTTGATGCGATGGGCGATCGTAAGCACAGTGCACGCGGCAAACTCGACGCGCATCGTGGCCTGCAGCGCCGCGTCCGTGGTGGCGTCGATGGACGCCGTGGCTTCGTCCATGACCAAAATGCGCGTGTTCTTGAGGAGTGCGCGGGCGATGCACAGCAACTGCCGCTCGCCGACGCTGAAATTCCACCCGCGTTCTTCCACGGCATCCTCCAAACTACCCACCTACATGCGTCCCCACAACATTTACATGGTATCATTTGCCTCGATCCCATTCTTTCACACACGATTTGGACGATTATATAAATATATATATATCCTGAACCCCCCCAGAATGCCCGGGATTTTACACGTATGACATGACATGTCACACAAACACACGGTCCCATAAAGTGCAAACTGCACCAATGAAATACTACGACATATTATACCTTGTGGTCCAAATGCGATCGTCTCAGCGACGCCCACAATGCGTCGTCGTCGTACAAGTTGAACGGGTCCAAATTTGACCGTACCTACCCCCACCAATAAGACAATCGCAGGCAACATATATGGAATGTATGAGACAAGTATATATATATGTATGACCATGGTCTTACCGAGCCTGAAAAGAGCACTGGGTCTTGGGGGATGATGGCAATCTGTTCGCGAAGGTCGTGCAGACCCACGAGGGACACGTCGACGTCGTCAATGTAGATGATCCCACTTTGCACTTCAACCAGTCGCAACAGCGCGACCACGAGGCTCGACTTGCCCGCGCCCGTACGTCCGACAATTCCAATCTTTTCCTGGGGTTCAATCGCAAACGTGAGCTGGCGGAGCACGGGCGGCAGCCCCGCGCGGTACTGCAACGTAACGTTATCAAACACGATGCGGCCGCGGGCGGGCCACGCCGCGGTCGGGGGGACGACTCGCTCCAGGCGTTGGTGGGCGCGGGTCCGCAGCGCGGCTTCGGACGGCAGCATCGTGTACGCATGGATGCGCTCGACCGACACCATTTCCGTCTCGAGTTCGCTGAGGGTGGTGACGCCAATGTTCAAACTGCGCGTGATTTGAAACGCATAGGAAAGCGACACACCCGCGAGGCCAGCAAATGCGCCCCCCGACTGCGTGGGTTTGGTCCACACGGCAAAGAACGCGGCAAACGTGGCGATGATAGTGCCGGTAAACTCGAGCCGCAGCCCCAGCCAGCAGTTGACGGCAAAGTTGAGCAAGTACGCGCGCTGGTTGGTGTCCAGGAGCGTACGCAGCCGGCCAAGGAACGCCGACTCGACGCCGTACGCTCGGATGGTGCTCATGCCGTCCAGCGTTTCGGTGAGCAATGCATACACGGGGCTGCGGGAGATCGAGTCAAGTCGCTGCAGTTCGCGGGACGTGGCAATGAAAAACTGCTGTGCCGACAGGTACCACCACCCCACGGGCACGAGCACGACGCTGAACATGGGCGTGACGTACACGATGGTGGCGATGGTGGAAGCGGCGGCGATCGCGGCCGTGAGGATGGACCCGAACGAAGATGGAATGTCTTCGTCGGTCGTGTACATGTCCTTTGAGAGGCGATTGACGACGCGGCCGAGGGGGGTCGTATCGAAGAAGGCCATGGGCGAGCGCAGGATTTGCGTGATGAGGCGCTGGAACAGTACTTTGGCCCCCACGAGCCCAAAGAGGTAGATGCTCACGGCGCGGAAGAACAGGCACAAGATGTACGCGACGTTGAGTGCCACAAACATGGTCAGGTAGAACGACTGGTCCGACGGCAGAGGGTGGTTGGACCACTGCGACAGCCACAACGTCGACGACAGCGTCATACCCTGTGCGACAAGGTACACGACGAGCACCCCATACGCCGCCACGAGCCCGCCGCTCGCTTGGATCCACACCGAATAGATGGGCCACCCCACTTGACCCGTGGATCGGTCCTCCTGGACAATCAGCGCGGCCGACGGAACCACTTGGGTCGTGTCTTCGTCGTCGTCGTCGCCGACGTCACTGAGGGTGATTGTGCGGCGGACGACGGCTGCGTCAACCTGAGCCCCCGCCGCCCGATCCGCGGCTGCATCGTCTTCGTCGTCAACGGGAAGATGGGCCCCTGCGACATTGACGGCGATCACGTCATCATGTACAACGTCCAGACTGCTGGATCCGCCCTGAAACTTCGCGACCATCTCGGCCAGTTGGAGTTTGGCGTCCATGAGGTCGGTGTACGACCCTTGCTGCACCACGTGGCCATGGTCCAGCACGAGAATGCGACTGCAATGCGCCAACACCCCCAGGTTGTTAGTCACCATGACGACCAGTTTATCATGGAGCATGTCGAGCATGCATTGCCGAAAGATGTCGGCGCCGACGTGGCTGTCGACGGCGGCAAGCACGTCGTCAAACAAGTACACGTCGGCGTCTTGGTAGATGGCGCGGGCCAACGCCACGCGCGTGCGCTGACCGCCGCTGAGGTTGATACCTTTCTCGCCAATCTCGGTCCGGTCGCCAAATGGGAGCATGGCGAGGTCGTCTACGAGGCAGCTGACGGCGATAGCGCGCTCGTACCGGCGGTGGTCGAACGCCAAGCCAAACAGAATGTTGTCCCTTAACGACGCATTCTGGACAAATGGCTGCTGGCTCACGTACGCGACGTTGCCGCGACGGAACACGCGGCCGGCGCTGCATGTGGCGTCGCCCAGGATGCCCTGGAGGAGCGTGGACTTGCCGCTACCGACGGCGCCGACGACGGCGAGGAGGTCGCCGGACCGGAGAGATAGAGATACGTCGTGGAGGGCGGGGACAGACGACTCGTCAAATGAAAAATCGACGTGGTCGAGGACGATCCCGGGGTCAACGAGGGGGCCGACGGGCACCTCGACGCGTTCGTCGTCGAGGAGGAACTCGCGGAGGCGGCGGACGCTTACAGATGCCTCGACGACGGCGTTGACGACTTGGGGCAGTTTGAAAAGGGGAAATCGGAGGACATTGAAGAGCGCGAGGGACGTGAGCGCGGTGCTCACGTCGAGGGCGTTGCCAAGCACAACGTACGACACGAACGACGCCATGGCCACGAGCGATGGCACGCCGTTGTAGACGGCGCTCGAGATGGCCTGGGTGATAATATACGCCTTGAACTTGTCGAGCTCGTCCGTGCGGTAGTCCATCACGCGCTTGGTAAAGCTGAGCTCCCACGCCTGCAGCTTGATCACTTTGATCCCGGCCAGCACTTCGTAGCACAGCTTCACGCGGCGATCTTTCACTTCCATGAGCGCTTTCTGCAGACGCTTCATGACGCGGGACAGGCACAACGTGATGGGAATCACAAGCAAGATGACGACGATGCCCGCGACGAATGAAATACCCAGCTCGGCGTACAGCATGAAGCACGAGATGAGAATCAGGTACGGCACGACCCACACTGTGTGCAGGTCCACCGTGAGGCGCTGGATCCGCGAGGCGTCGATGGACATGAGGTTGGTGATCTCGCCCGTCGAGCGCCGCTGCTGCGCCCGACTCGACAGCCGCAGCGACTTGGCAAACACTTGGTCCACCAATGCGCTGCGGAAGCGGAGGCCAGTCTCCTTGACGTAGTACATGTATTGCCGAAAGCAGAACGACGACACGACGCCGGACACGAAGATGGCCGCCACGAGCACGTACCCGTCGAACGGATCGGCGTCGGGGTTCCGAAGGTACGCGATCGTCTTCTTGATGACCACGGGGGCCGTGAACTGCAGCGTGCTGCGCACGAGGCGGAGGAATCCGGCGAGGACGAACGGTCGACCGAACGACCGCGCCAGCGCCCACGACAGGCTCGGCGACGCTTTTGCTTGCTCGAGGGTCCAGAAGTGCCCGAAACGCGTCGCAATGTGCGTGGCGCGATTCTCTTGATCCAGTTGATACAGGTCTTCGAATTCGAGGGGTTTCTTGCTGCCAAGATCCATCAGCGGTGTGAGCCACGTGAAGAAGATCGCCGACCCGCACCCGCGGTAATCTTCCGGCGCGGTGGTGGCGAACAACGGCGCAGCCGACGTGGACGCCGCGACGGTCAATAGAGGAGTCTTCTCCTTCTTAGTCGTCATGACTGTGTTGCTTCCAATCGAGCAATGAACTACAACAGCTATCACACGACTGCACCATCCACCAGCGCATGGATTTCCATGGACCAGGTGTTGTTCGATGGGGACGTGCCACTGTGTTCGGAAATTGTTGACCTCGGAATGAGAATATCTCAGCGAAAGGTGAAAAAGGGGGAAAACAATTGCCAATATATTGCCAATTATTTAGACGTTTTTGTCAATGTGTAGAAGTGTGGTCGCACTCACAATGGTGGCTTCGCGAGGTCCACCAGTCACATGCATTGATTAGATCACGTGGAAGCACAGGCCACCCACTTACCTTTCGAATTGGAACTGCTGAAATGGCATGAACATACTCGGGAGTACATATTGCAACATGGCAATGCCCTTCTGGGGCCTCTCCACTCGTCAAACTCGGGGAATCAAAACAACAAACTCGAAGTGATTTCACAAAAATTTCTCAAAAATACATCCATTTTGAAACTGCCATGGTTTGTGAACTTCAACTTCCAAATCTAAGACGGTTACTGTGTAACCGACATTGGGTCGTTTCACAGGAAACGGTCAACGTGGTCGCCCGTTGAGGCGAAACCACTCTGTCGAAAGGTCGCCGTGTTTTGAATTACAGTATCGCATTGGGTTGTCATTCTCCATTCGATCCTACATGACCCACAACTCGTTTGCATTTCCAGCTGTCGCCAGCAGGGCAATCTTGGTGTCCATGACTTTGCCGCCGCTACGCCACAACGTTCCCGCCACGGCCGCCGTGGACACAAACAACCACATGGAGCGTCTTCCTACCCTCAACGACGAACGCGCCACCCCACGAGTCAGTGCACTGACCCCACTCAAGGCCGCCGATCGATTACCTACCCAGTCGACGCTGAGTCCGTCGAAGGATCATGGCAAGGCGATGTCACAGTCGGTGCAAGGGACGACGATGACCAAGCTATGGCATCGATGCAACATGTGCCACAAATCGTTCGAGCGCGAAGAGAGTTTGGCCGAGCATTTGAGCCGTCACAAGAATCAAATGCGAAAGCGCCAGCAGCGGATGCAGGAAGATCAAGCCGCCGTGGAACGAGCAACCAAGGAGCGTCGGACACTAAACACTACGTGCGCCAAGACATCGCCAGCAGTGCGCTTGAAGTTCATTCTGTAAGCACAGGTAGATTCTGCATGTAAGTGTATGTGTAGGTGAAATAGGACGAGTGGTTGTGTGCAGTAGATAGACAGTTGTACTGGGGTAGGTGTACAGTAGTAGGGTAGTAAGTGCTACCGTCATAACTGTGACGATGGCGTGTAAATACATGAACTGCACAAACGTATGCAAAACAACATGTTGGGTTACTCGCTGTTTCGTGGAAGCGTTTACAACTCGGCACCGACGCCGCGCTCGATGGAGATGGCTTCCAGCATCACCGACAAGTTTTCCGTCTTCTTGATCTTGTCCATTAGCGCCTTCCACTTGGGGTTGGCGTCGGCATCGCGGATGCACGAGGCCGCGTCCACGGCACGCAGCGCGCTTCGAATGACGTCGTTGATGCGCTCGACTTCGCTGCCCACCTGCGTTTCCTTTGGGCGACGGTTCAATGCCTTGTCCAGCACGACACAGAGCACGTCCAGGTTGCTCAGGACCGTACCGGGGGCGACCGTGGTCAACTTGGCCAAAATCTGATGCGACAGCATCTGCACGTCGTCGTGGTCTTCCAGACCCTTGAGCAAGTACGGGGCGAACGCGTTCACGTCCACTTCGCCCGGCAGCGTGTCCAGCAACGTGTCGAAGCACCCGTACGCGCCTTTTCGAAGCACGAGCCCGTCGTCCACCTAGAAAATTATTTGGAAATTATTTGGAAAAATGAAAAAGCCCTCTCCCGACCACATCCAAGCGTACCTTGTGCTTGAATGGACCCAAATCCACCACGCGTTCGAGTTTGATCTCCATTGTCTTGAGCAGGATGGGCACAATCGACTCGCGGACGTGTGGCTTTAGGAACGCGGCTTGATGGTGGGCGGCGGAATTCAACGTCACCAGCGCCGCACGGCGCACCCCCATGTCTTCGTCTTGCAGGGCACTCAAAATGGGATGCACCTAGGGACAACACACATTTTGAGCGACAGGAACAACTCTGTGACATCGTACCGTCAGGTGGTGCATGGGCTCGCCGTCGGGGCCACACGCCATGCAGTACTTCAAGCACGTGACGGCGGTCCACCGCGTCTTGACGGGGGTGCTGGCGTCGCAGAACTTGGTCACACTGGGCAAAATCAACGCCGGGTTGAGCAGAGCCAACTTGCCGAGGCACTCCGCCACCATGTTACGCACGCCTTCCTCGTCGCTTTCGCAGTGCTTGTTGAGCACGGGCAGCACCGCCGACACGTACTGGTTGACGACGTCCGTCTTCTTGGTCGACAACACTTCCTTCAACGCGCTCAGGAGCAAATACACGTGCGCGCCGCTGTCGTGCGTCAGTTCGTCCAAGATCGTCGGTAAGTACACGCTCATGTTGCCCACGCACACACTGCCCAGGGCAAACGCCGCCGCGTGCTTGACTTCCTCGCTCGTTTTGCCAGTCTGAAAGCAGCCGAGAATCAACGCCCGCACATCGCCAAAGCTCGCCACGTTTGTGACGCGGCCGAATTCCCCTAGGCAAAACAGCGCCACGTGGGTCTGCTCCACGCCCGACCCGCCAATGTCTTGCACAAACAAGTCGAACGCCTTCTTCTGCGATGCCACAGGCGCCTTGACGCAGATCGCCGCCACGCACCGCGCGACGTTGTGCAGCGCATGCTTGGTGGCGTCCGGTCGCGGCGTGCTGTATAGTTGGTCGAAGAGACGGTCAAAGCCGTGGTCAGCGACCAGGTGCCCGAGGAACGCAAACAACGCGTCCAAGGTTTGGCCTTGCAGCAGTGCACTGGCGGCCAATGACAGGGCGTTCGGGAGTGCCTTGGTTAGCAACGCCGGGTCCTGGGCCACCGCTGGGGAGGCTTCCACTGTGCGGAGCACCAACGTGAGCGCAAGGGTGCTCAGCTGGAGGTCAGTGTCGGAGATCAAAGCCGCCGCCTCACGCACAGTGTCGCACAGGATGGGCAACGGGATGTCCGCCCCCTTACTGGTCACAAGGGCGATCAACGTGTCGAGCGCCGTTTGCTTCAAAGTGCGCGATTGCTGGCGCAACAACTGCGACAAACTCGTGACCACGTCCGCCAACACAATCGACAAGTCCAGCTGGAGCGGCGACCGCGCAATGATGCCGAGCGCTTTGATCGCGGCGATGCGGGTGATTTCGTTCTGCACACGCTCTTGAATGAGTGGCAATACCACTGGAAGGGCGCTCGTCAAATGGTCTCCTACTCAGAGACAAGTATTTTCAGGACCTCAAGAACATGACACACATATATATATATTGTCAAGTCGATTCGAAATAGGGTGCTCAATCGAATGAGCAGCACCAAATCGACAGTCAAAGATCGACCAATCAAAACCCAGAACACGAATCAAGTAGCCAATCAAATCTACTCTTCAACCAATTCAACATCGAATTAGTGTGTGAATGAAACTAGTGTGATACTGGACGATCTTTACATACAAAAGTCAGTACAAAGAATCGATCGGTATAGATTTGGCGAATCAGCACAAAAGTCCAAATTTTAGGTAAAAGGACAATATTACTTGAAACACAAGTGTACTTACCCAACGAGGCGACAATCAGCCCCATGCTGGCAATCGCATTGTCTTTGATTTCTTGGTCAATGTCGTACGCTTGCAAGCGCGGCAGCACCGCCGTGTACAGCGGTTGGACAAACGACACGAGGGGGGGTGGCAGGGGAGTCGTGCCAGGCGACGGGCGAAGCACTTGGACGATGGCCGCGACGAGCTGCAGCGCCTTCGCGACAATCTTGTACCAGTCGTCTTTGGCGTTCTCGACAGCCAACGGCACGATCGCCGACAAGTGTTTTTGAAACAACGCCGCGTCGTGGGTCGAGAGCAGCAGCCGCAAAAATAAAATCGCGTCCAGCTTCAAGCTCGAGTTGCGGTCTTGGAGCGCCTTTAGCACGTTGGGCACCAGCACGTCGAGGTACGGCCCCAGCTGACCCTCTTCCACCTTGGCGAGTTCGCGCAGCATGCCCAGCACCGCGCACCGCGTCGCCACGGACGTTTTGGGACCCAATTGCTTGTTGGCCGCGGCAATGATCGTGCCCACTCGGGAGTGCAGCTGGTCAACGCACGAGCGCTGGCGGGCAAACACTGGACGGGTCGCGGCTTTAGCGTCGGCGGCGGGGGAAGGGGGGTGGAGGAGCACCGTGGCGCGCAGCAGGTCCGACACAACGCCAAACACGTCGATGCGCACGCTTTCTTCGCGCTCCTTGAAGCGATTGATGAGCGTTTCACTGTACTGGTTGTAGATCAGCTCAAGCAGCTCGCGACGGGTGCCGATGATCGCCGAGACGACGCGAAGGGCAGCGCGGCGGACTTTCCAGCTCGCGTCATCGTCGTCGCTGTAGTCGTTGTCCCCGTCGTCACTGTACTGGTCGTCGTCGTCCGCGTCGTCGCCTTGCATGGTATCGTCATCGCCGTCGTCGTCGCCGTACATGTAGTTGGGGTCGTACTTGGAAAACGCGATCGCCACCGACAAAATGTCGGTCGTGTGCGGGGTGATTTCCGCGTGGCAGCGCAGCACAAACGCCTCGAGGCCTTGGAAACAGTTCTCGCGGAGTTCGTTGGCCGTGTCGTTTTGCATCGCTTCGTTGTCGGGGGTGCCGCAAAAGGTCAAGAAGAGCGGCACGATGGTCGGCAAGTGGCGCCCGAGGCGGTGGCCCACCGTGCGGCTGAGGGTGCCGATGGTCTGGATCAGCGTCCGGACTTCCGATGAGTCGGAAGACGACGCGGCGGAGGCCTGCTTGACGTCGCCGAGCAGATGGTCCACCAGACGATGCAGCAGCGCGTCAGTGGCGACGATCCCGAGCGCACCCAAACACGACGTCACGCGCTTGCGGACAAACGCGCGGTCGTCCTTGAGCTCCTTCAATAGCAAGTCCATGATCGACACGTGTTCGCTGGGGAAATCGTGGCCGAAGCGTTTGAGCAGCTCCGTGAGAATGTCGAGTGTGTCCGACTTGACGGCTTGGTCCGCGTATTGCGCAATCCCGATCAGCAGGCGGCCGCACAGCGCCGTCGACACGGACGCGCCAGTCTTGGTGCTCACGTCCGTCAAGATCGTTTTCAACCCGATCGAGTAGATGTCGCGCAGTTCTGGTTTGCCGTTCAGGATCAAGTCGCACAGCTTTTCGCAAATGTCGCCCACTTGCTTTTCTTGCACTTTGGTGACCAAAATTCCCAAACTAGAAAGGACATGATTAGCTCTTGTCGGAGAGGGGTATGGAAGCAACTACCATTTCACAGCGATTGACTGCACATCATTCGACTTGTCGTCCAATTGTTTCAACACGGCCGCGCAGATTCTGGACATGGAACGGTTGGTTAGGGAAAGTACACATCCCATAGATAGTGCTGCTGTCCATGCATGATGTTCTGATCGAACGAGGGAATGCTGCGAGGGAGAATGGAGAGACAACGACGTACTTGCGTTCGAGATCGGGGCCGAGCTCGACGTCTTTCTGGAGTTCGTTGCACAGATCGGAGGTCGCCATGTAGCGCTCATCCTTGTCAAAGTCTGTCGTCTAGGAGGACGCAGGATTGCATCAATGAATGCACACGCATGTCGATGGGAAGGGGATGACGCATGAAGCGATATATGCGGGGATGGCGGAAGGAACCTTCAGACGGACTCGTCATGTACCTTTTCCAAGAGCGCCACAAACGTGCTCGTGTTGCTTTTCATGGTCGTTGCCTCCGAAATGAAAAAGTGTACGGAAGAAAGGAGGTCGAGAGTGTTGGTCCTTCCTAATTAGGACTTCTTTTCCGAATCAAGTGGCATTTTGCGATCTTTGGACACGAGGAAGAAGGCTGGTGATCAAACGATGTAAGTTATGCAGCATGCATGAAGGTCGAATACACCGCCATTGCCCGGCGAAGTCCATGGACCCTGGATTCGTGCTCGTACAACCTGCCACACAACACAGGCGCAGGTTGTTGCCCCAGGTATCTCGTTACTAAGTACCCGGGTTGACGACCTCGATACTATGTCGTGTTGTTAGCTAGGTAGGGGTCATCATCAAGACCTCCTTTCCATCTTTCGTGTACAAGCCGTCCATGTCGTCGTCGTCGTCATCGTCGTCATTACCGTGTGCAATTTCTTTGCCATTCGTCAACTCGTCTTGGTATTCGTCCACGAATGCTTCCTACAGTCGTTCCACACGATGAGATAAATGCACGCTCATACGTCATCTCCGATCGATCGATCCCCCAACGCGTACCAGAATCGACGCCACGACCAAATTTAGCAACAGCGTCACCGACACGACGTAGTACACGATGAAGAACCACCGCGACACCTTGCTCGTGACAAGCACGTGCCCTTCGGCCAACACGAACCAGTTGTTGACAATGATGAGCTCGAACAACGTGACGATGCCACTCGCCATGTCGTTGAAGTTGTTGGCCATGTAGTCGTCTTGCGTGTACGCGCTGTCGTTGAAGCGGGTGGTCATGACCGCGGGGGAGATGAGGCCGCCAAAGCACTGCATGCCAAGGAGGGCAAACATGTACATGGCGCAAAACATGATGACAATCAAGTTCTTGGCAAACGGCAGCAGCCGAAACCACGTCATGCAAAACACGCGGTACCTAACAGCAATCTCGTCATGGTACTACTAGTACTAGTACTACTAGTAGTAGTAGGATACATACTGTTCAATGTTGATGATCAACCGAAAGAGGCGCAGACACCGCGCGACGAGCAGGACCTTGACGACGACAATGGACGAATCGTGGTTGGGTTCGGGCAGGTACACGTACACGTCCACGGCGAGGATCAAGAGCGTGAGGAGTCCATCGAATCGGTTCTTCATGGAGCTCCAGTACCGCGAGACGCCGTAAACTATGACTTTGAGCCCCAGTTCGACCAAGTACACGATGGAAAACACCAGTTCAAGGCGTTCCCACACGTTGAGCTCGAGCACGACGGATATGGCGTGACCGTTGAGCACCGGCAGCGACTCGGCGACCACGAGCAGCATGTTGACGACGAGGAGGACGTCGATGGCGGTCTCGAAGCGCTTGTGCTGGACACATCGGGCGACCGCTTGGAACGGCGACGACGCGTACAGCCGCGGCCAGAACCGCTCGATCTCGGAGGACCTGGCGCGGCGCTTGGTTAGGGCAATGTGTAGCAGATCGCAGATGCTCTGAAACTCGACCCACGTCAGCACGCCGTCGCCGTCCGCGTCGAGTGTGTCAAAGAGCAGCCGCATCTTGGAGCGCTTGAGGAACCCAATGTGCCTATAGTGGTTCATCTGAACGAACAGCCGCTCCATGACGTTCCACGGCACGCCTTCATTGACCGACGGCTCGCCGAGGAACCAGTCATCGTGGCGATGTTCCCATAGATCCTTGGCCGAGTACGACGCCACGGGGGTCGGCGCGCGCCGAAAAGAGGATGATGGGCCACCGATGGGATGCAACGACGAGTCGGTGGACGAGATGTGGCAGAGGAGGTCGAACGCGAGCTGGAGCTTGGTGACGCGGGTGTGCTGGCGCCGGGCGTCTGAGAGCTTTGAATTGCGCGAAAAGTTATTGAAAATCACGGCCAACACGACGTTGAGCAGGAAAAATACGCCAAAACACAGAAAAAACCCGAAAAAAATCACCGAGAGCCGGTTCTTGTCGTACGCAGGCATCATGACGTCGGGAAAGTTGGCGGCCGTGAGCAAAATGAGCATGTGCCAGCTGGCATCGTAGATGTCGGGCATGACCTTCTTGCCTACGTACGTACATCCATCAGTCGATGGAGGGCACGACATGGGGGTGACAATACCTTCGTCCGTGCCCTGGAATACCATCGTAGCGACCCACGCAAAGAACACGACAAACACTACTACCAACGACAGAATGTTGTGGACCTCGGCGACCACGAGCCAGATCTTTCGCGCCGTGCGGCGGACGTTGCGGTTCTTGACGGCGAAGATGAGCACGCGAAAGTACCCGCAGACCTGCTTTGCGAGCACGTCCAGTTGCCACGTGTTGGCGAACACGACGCGCACGACGAGCAGGAAGGACGACGTGACAATCATGGCCGTCACGGCGACGCTAGGCACTGCGTAGGATCAAGCACTCGTTCAATGTCGTACCTGTCTTTGCGACTCGTAAAGTTCTCGCGCAGGTAGAGGTACCGAACGTACTTGTTCGCCAAGAGGACGATCAAGCACGCGGCTTCAATGCACACGCTTTGAATGTCCGTGATCCATGCCATTTCAAACGTGAGCGGTGTCGCGGGATCGGTGGGGTCGCCGCATGAAGCAGACTCGTCCGAGCGTGCGCACCAAGGCGGAATTTCAAAGAACGACAAGCCCAAGAGCACGACGACCGCTATACCCCGCAAATAGTGCATGTCTGCGTACAACGTGTACATACGACTGGCAAACGCGGTGCGCACGGGATGCGGCCGCGAGATGCCGAGGAACGCATCTTCGACAAACCAGCTGGCTGTGATCAATAGGTCGTTGTCGGTGGACGAAGGACGGGGAACTAGTGGTGTCTCTTCCATGGACATGCTCCGAAATGGAAAGTGCACCTTGGACGGCGGAGGAAGGCCCTTGAGTGACGACAAGCTCCTTTGCATCAGCTTCCGTGTTCAGAATGAAATCGTCAAATGAAATGCGCCCCCCGGAGCTCGTAGGATTGGCGTTCCGGGGCGCCAGTGTAACTGTACGCATATAACTCGATTAAGTACGATACACGAATAAGCCATGATAGCAGGGACAGCATAGCCCACCGACCTGCATGCAATACAGTAACGTTAGTGCGGCTAGTACTATTTATAGTGCCAGAATAGGCGAAGGCTATACGGTAACCGGTATGCCATTGATGAATACGATCAAATGATGAGATGTGGACGGAGGTGTCCAGCTTGGATGGACCGTACTTAATAGGGAGAGCGCATGTGATTGGGTTGAAGTGAGGTAGATTATCACAAGTGGTCACTACAGGATCCGATCCTGTAGTGTCCGCTATGGGCACGAAGTCTACCCTCCAGGGCATCGTGGCATCGTTCGTCCAAGCACCAAAATGGCATAAAGTTCATAGGAAGATAGGCTTGGTCGTTCCTAGATAAGAAGTTTAGAGAAAGACTGGCACCAACGTAAAGTGCCGAAAGAGCGGGGGCGATCGAACACAGTGCAAAGTTATGTGGTATGAACCATGCGACGGATGCCCCCTGGGTGAATCCCTTGCCCTCCAAGTGTCAAGTTGACGAGAATACATACATATCCTCGTCACTACGCCTGGAACAATACACCGACTAGTATTAGCCCCTTCATGCATTGCGAGTAGCGGTCAATGCCAATGACACCCCTACGTTAAGTTACGTCAATATCGACCTGCGTCGGCAACATGCGCAAGATTATAGTTGTTTCAGCAATGCAGTAGAAGCAATAATAACGTGATTAGTACTGTGGACTGGAAAGAGTTATATGTATAAATCTAAGTATGTTCGACAGCAATTCTGACCGAGGGCCGTCGACTACGACGAGTTGGTGGTGCCATAGTGGGTCCGCTGGGTCAGGGATTTGTTTAATGCAAGGTCTACCCGTTGAAGCGGCAACGTGATGGAACTGGCCTTGTCGTCTTTGGAAGCACACTCCAAATTATTGGCCTGCTCTGTCTTGTACTCGTCTAGGAACACGTCCTACACACCGCCACCACACAATCGTTAATCACAAACCACCTCTAAACCATTACTTTTTCTTTTCCGTACCAAGATGGACGCGACGACTAAATTCAGCAAGAACGTCACGCCCAGCACGTAGTACGTGATGAAGAACCACCGCGCGTAAGTTGACGTGACGGCAACGTGTCCGCCCGCAATCACGACCCAGTTGTTGACGAGGATGAGCTCGAAGAGTGTGACGATGGCGCTTGGCATATCGTTGAAATTGTTGGCCATGTAGCCGGCTTGGGTGTACGGGTCGTTGGGGAAGTGGGTGGTCATAATGCTGGGGGAGATCCGCCCGCCAAACAGTTGGTTGCCGAGTAAGGCAAAGATATACATGTGGCAAAACAGGAGCAGGAGCAAGTGCATGCCGAATTGAAGTAGCCGAAACCACGTGGTAATGATCACTCGGTACCTACACAACAGGTGCAACATGGTCATCACCGTGTTACATATTTAGGTCGTACAGACGACAACGCCAACCGGATACTACGAAATAAAAAATAGGAGTGTTGGTAGGAAACGTTACCCTCGAATGTTGATGATGAGCCGAAACAGTCGCAGACACCGGGCAATGAGAAACACTTTGATCAACTGTGGGGATGGCGACGCGCGGCCGACGTACGTGAACACGTCGACGCCCACCACGGCCACGGTGATGATGCAGTCGAAGCGATTCTTCACGGATGCCCAGTACCGCCGCGTGCCGTCGATGACGATCTTAGCCATCATCTCAAACACGTACAGTGTCGTGAACGCCACTTCAAAGTGGTCCCATCCAGCCCAGTGGTCGGCGGTGGATGTGTTATGGCCGTAGATGACGCCGGACGACTCGATGACGACGAGGACGGCGTTCAAGACTAAAGCCGCGTCCACTACCCATTCAAACGACTGGCTGCGAATCATGGTGGCAAACGTGGCAAACCAATGGGCGTGGGCCACGACGGGGCACCATAGTTCAACTTCAGACTTGGACACGTTGTCGGCAAAGAGGAGCATCTCCAGGACGTCGCACGTGTGCAGGAACTCGTCGAGTTGGATCTCGTTGTCGCCGTTCGTGTCGAGGGCGGCAAACACTTGATGCATTTTGGTTGTTTGAATATGCGACACGTGTTGGCATCGATTGAGCTCGTCAAACATGCGGACGCACATGTCCAATGGGATGCCGCCGGGTCTCGACGCCGCCTCTTGCTTGGTGGCCAAGAGCTGGAACGCCTGCGTGAGCTTTTCCTTGCGAATGGCATGCCGAAGGGACGCTTCCGCCTCGGTGTACCGCGCAAAGTTGTTGAAAATGACGGCCAGCACGATGTTCATGAGAAAAAATAGGCCAAAGCAAATGAACAGCATGAAGAAGAGGCACGTGACGCGGTTCGCGTTGTACGCAGGCATCATGATGTCGGGAAAGTTGGACGTTGTGAGGAGAATGAGAAAGTGCCAGCTCGCTTCAATCATGTTTGGCATTTGGGCATCGCCTACGCACGAAGCATGTGACAACGTTCGATACGTATAAGGGGAAGTGGGGAAGAGACCTTCGGGGGTACCGCTGAAGAGGACGATGGACATCCACGCGTAAAACAAAATGAACACAAACACAAGGCTGAGGATGCTGTAGATCTCGGACAGCACGAGCAAGATCTTTCGGAGCGACCGACGCAGCACCGTGTTTGTCGTGATGAGCAGCGCGATGCGAATGTAGTCGTGGAGGCGCAGGCTGGCTATGGGTGCATACACCGTCGGCAAAGCCGCGGACAAGGTCAAATCGAGTAAGCTCACCAGAACGAGTCCGAGCTCCACCCGACTACCACCATGAGTATGAGGACGACACTCGCCGCAGATGATTGGGGTACCTTTCATGTCGCACCAAGAAGCGGCCGTGTAGGTACATATACGGCACGAGGATATTGGCGAGCAAAAGCACGAGACAGGTGGCTTCGATCCAGTAGCTCTGCCTCGTGGAGAGGTAGTTGATCTGGAACGTCATGGGGGTGGAGCGGTCGCTGGGGTCGCCGCATGGGAAAACTGGTTTGGATTCGTCACACCAGTGCGGAGTTTGCACAAAAGCGAGTCCAATCAGCACGTACAGGACGAGCCGACCGACGAACGCGAGCTCCGAGTGCACGACGTACATCCGACGGGCGAGTGGAGTGGGCACTGGTTCTGGACGGGAAACACATAGGAACGCGTCTTCGACCAGCCAACTCGCCGAGAACAGCGTGTCCTCCGAGTCCTTGGACAAGAGCGGCGTCGAATCCATGTCTCTTTGATGCTGCCGCATCTCGATTCTGGTCGATTTTCGAACACCCACCTGATATTGCCGGTTGGTTTCGAAACGTCGGGGGTTTCAGACCTACCCATTGAAGTTTCGTCCGTTCGTTTAGTCATCATGACCTCTTGGTGCAATTTTCAAGTGTACTGTAATGTAGCGAGGCTACTGCAATGGAAGTCCAACATGTGAGGGTGTATACATCAGCATGCGCTAGTGTTACGCGGCTCGTTGCAAGTTCAATGGTATACTTGACATTACCCTAGCAGTAGGAGGGTCGAAGAGTATATGGGGCTCGTTCAGATGCTCCGGAGGTGGCATACCAAGTATGTATATGTATGTGGAATCATAGCCTGCGATAGAGTACATTGAACCAATTGCAGATGAAAATGATCTTCCGAGCAGACTATTAACGAACACAAGACCCCTATTGCGTTACAACGTGATTGTTCACTTGAGACCGTTGCGTCGGTGTCCGACTCCCAACAGCCCTTGCAAAGAAGAGAGCTCCGTTGAAAAGGCACACAACGGTTGACAAAAGACTTATGCACGTTAGCGCAATGTGTACAGCACGTTACGATCGCATGTATGTGTAGCTAGCGCCTCCTGTGGGTCGTGGATTGTGAAGGAGGTTCCGGTGTAGTCGCCCACATACACATCGTATTCACGATCCCTCGTCATCGTCATGTCATGTCGAGCGACGTGATTGTCAAATCCACGCCTGTGATTGGACAGTATGGAAATAACGACGGCTCGTTTGATTGGCTGAACCTTTGTGTCACCAGCAATTTAAAGTTCACCTGTCAATACAAAATCCAAGCCACCTTCCAGATTTTATTAAATTATGTCCCCTACTGATTGTAATCTCCGATTCTGCGCCCAGTTCAGTTCGACCATGCAGGCAGTTATCGACCTTGGCGACGACGCGGACGTGATGGAATCATCACCTCATGCTCCTACTCCTCCTCCGACATGCCTCATCTGTATGGATGAACTGCCTCGGGCCATGAATGGCGTACCAGGCAAACGGCGACAGAAGACGGTGTACAAACCCGACGACTGCTGGAGGTTGCGGTGCGGTCATTTCTACTGCGTGGGCTGTCTGTCGGGGTGGATCGAGAGCAAGATCGACGAGCGCAAGGTGCCCATTGTGTGTGCGTCGCTCGACTGCGCCCGCGAAGTTCGTCCTCCCCACGTGGCCGCGGTCCTGAGCAGCACTGTGTTTGAAAAGTTCAGCGAGCTCGTGACAGCCAAGGCGTTTGAAGCCGAGAGCATGTACTGTCCCAACAAGGAGTGCTCGCAAGTATTTGTCAAGCCCACGTTCAATGCTGGCCAAGAGAAGACCACGTGCCTCTTCTGCAAGACCAAGCTGTGCCTGCGATGCCAAGTGGCGTGGCACGACGGCCTCGAGTGCGATCAGTACAAGCGCATGGTCGCGGCCGGCGGCGACTCGGACGAAGCGCAGCTGCACCAACTCAAGGAAAAATTCAAGTGGAAACAGTGCCCCAAGTGCAATGTCCTCGTCGAGCGTTCCATAGGGTGCAACTACATGCGCTGCAACTGGTACGCCCATGTGTCCTCAATATCAATCTCTCGTCGATTGTCCTAACAGTAACCATATATATGTATGATTGCGAATATATTGTTGTTATACCCCATATACGTAGTATATATATTGTTCAATATATATACCCCACAATCCACCATGTATATTGGGAATATTTTGACCGAATATGACAAACCCTGCTGCATTTTTGTTTGAAATATATCGTGATGACTATCAATACACACACGTAGCGGCGAGCCATTTTGTTATGCGTGTGGCACTTCGTATGCTGAGAAGACCCCGTCGCCAGGCAACCCCCACGGCAAGGTATCTTCTCGTTTTCATCACGGATCTAGTCCATTGATGGCGTGGGGTGCGTGCATTAGCCGGGCTGCAACTGCGGGCTGTATCCCCCGACCGCCCCCAATCCTGCAGGGGGGATCCAAGGGGCCATGGCCGGCGCGCTGGATGCCCTTCGCCGACAAATGTTGCACTTGCCCGCCGCCGCCGCTGACCTCGTCCAACGGCGCATGGAAGGGTACCGCATTCCAATTGAATTTGAAAACATTTTGAGACGCCACCTGCCCCAAGAGATGCAGCAGCACCGCGACGCTCCCCTACACCACAACCTTCACCTCGGTCGCAACAATATCATCCAGCACCACCTGCCGCATCCGATAGCGGCCGTGGTGCCTGGACTACTCGCAGCGGCGGCGCGACCCCCCCGAGCCCGTCGACCCGCGCGTGCTACTGCTGCGCTCCCGATTCCTCGTGTTTATTTACCCCCACCTGCTGCACCAGCAAACAACCCACCAAAAACTCAACGCCAGATCGCACTCGCAGCAGCCCAGCAAGCGAGAGAACGTCACCGAAGAGCCGAAGCCCAACGACTGTTGGACGCGCCACCGAGAAAACGAAAGGCGGCAGGAACGTAGTAGCTGTTTTCTGCAATTGGAGTTTGGTTATTTTGTTTGGTCTGGGGTGGCAGCAAGTACAGTACATAAAGACCATATCAGTGCCATGTCCGTTGAGGCTGGTACATAACGTTAGATGGAGAACTCTGGAAGGGGAGGATCTGGCAAGAGATCGAACTGTACAGGGGTAGGACGAAGTCCCGGGGTTACAGGTTACAGGGTTGCGGAGAGAAAATTTGCTTGAACGGTTTTCAGTCTTGGCTGAACGGTATCCAGATTTCTTGAACGTTTTCCCATAGTTTCCGAGAGCCCATTAATTTACCGCTCCTACGACGACCTAACCCCTTTGCACCCATTTTGGGCAGTTTTCATTGGCTATAATTCATTTTCTCAGATTTTGAGAGCAATACAAACTCCAAGTTAAGGTACTTGGTCGTTGAACAGGCCTCGTCTGGGAGCGGTACGGCCTACGGCCTACCTGCCGCTTTTCCCGACGAGAGGAAAAGATAGGAAGCCCCCGTGGGGCACGATGGCGTCGCGCCGCAGCGCTCGCTTTGGTGCGAGTCTCTCTACACTCTATCTACGCTACGCTACGTATAAGTCTATCTACGCTACGCTATAGAAGTCCTGGTTAATGGGGAAAAAGATGGCAAAAAGTTGGGGTTGAGCTGGTGACCTTTCCGACCCCATGTTCAAACCGTTAGACTACGGTGGCTGGTTCTTATGGAATTTCTGTTAAGCTTAGCGTATACAAAAAGAATCTGAGCACAATGAATTATATCCAATGAGCAGCGACCACACCCATTACTACAGGGTTAGGTCGTCGTAGGAGCGGTCAATTAATGAGCTCTTAGTTTCCGGAGGCCATGCAGTGTACTGATACTGTAGTACTCCAGAGTACTCCAGAGTAAGAGCATCCCAACTCGCCATCGCTAAAAGGGGGGGGAATAGCTCAATGTCAATGGAGGTTTATTAGAATTAATATAGCTCAGGTGGTAGAGCATCGGTTTCTTAACTCAAAGGTCGTGGGTTCAATCCCCGGATTCCCCCGGATTATTTCTGCAAGGATTTATCCGTCCCTCTCCTGGGGAATCCGGAAAACAAGGGCCGCGTATGGTGCATTTCATCTAAAGACTACAGATCGGCCATCCCCAGGAGGAGGCGTTTTAGTTTAAACGCCTCGGTTCTTTCAGTTAAACCCACGTAATGTTGACGTTAAATTATTATTACTTACGTTTTTATCTGGTAAATAGGTTAAACATCCTGAATAATCCGGATACAATGGAAACGTTCATACGGATAAGTGCTGTATACAAAGACCAAGATATACTTGATGCACCTTTTCGGCCAATATGTGCCTGGCTCGATATATTTCCATACAAAAAGGCTGGTTGGTTTAAATTCTATTTCTCGATCAATTTTTCACCAATCGAAATTTTGAACCGTAACTTCTGTTGGTCTTGACCAGTTCTATGGTTAGGTCGTCGTAGGAGCGGTCAATTAATGAGCTCTTAGTTTCCGGAGGCCATGCAGTGTACTGATACTGTAGTACTCCAGAGTACTCCAGAGTAAGAGCATCCCAACTCGCCATCGCTAAAAGGGGGGGGAATAGCTCAATGTCAATGGAGGTTTATTAGAATTAATATAGCTCAGGTGGTAGAGCATCGGTTTCTTAACTCAAAGGTCGTGGGTTCAATCCCCGGATTCCCCGGATTATTTCTGCAAGGATTTATCCGTCCCTCTCCTGGGGAATCCGGAAAACAAGGGCCGCGTATGGTGCATTTCATCTAAAGACTACAGATCGGCCATCCCCAGGAGGAGGCGTTTTAGTTTAAACGCCTCGGTTCTTTCAGTTAAACCCACGTAATGTTGACGTTAAATTATTATTACTTACGTTTTTATCTGGTAAATAGGTTAAACATCCTGAATAATCCGGATACAATGGAAACGTTCATACGGATAAGTGCTGTATACAAAGACCAAGATATACTTGATGCACCTTTTCGGCCAATATGTGCCTGGCTCGATATATTTCCATACAAAAAGGCTGGTTGGTTTAAATTCTATTTCTCGATCAATTTTTCACCAATCGAAATTTTGAACCGTAACTTCTGTTGGTCTTGACCAGTTCTATCGTTATTACGGCTTATTTTCCTAAAAAATATCAATACAAAGTTGGAATAGCTGTCGAAAGACAAGGCATTTTTTTGTAGTCTTTAGTTGAAATGCACCATACGAAGACGAGAAACGAACTTCGAAGAAGATCGGTCGAAGCACGAGGTATGAATCGTTGAGCGAAGTAAAAACCGAAGATTACACACCGCCCCTGGTGGAGCAGGCACGTTACAATTGGCGAAGCGGTTCCATAACATGTGGTTCTAGTGTCGGCCCTCGCGGAGGAATGTCTTAAAAATGATAATCCAAACTCAATTAATCGCCATCGCTAAAAATCATTACTACAGTTGTACCTCGTAGTTACGGATACTACGCAGAATTTGGGGACTTATCCGGGTGATTTTGTCCCGGACATCCCAAAAATTATTGGGATATCCAAGGCAAATGGGGACAGAATCACCCGGATAATCCCCAAAATATCCGTACTGCAAGCTGAAGTAACGGTACAATCGAAGTTCTGGTTTATGGGGAAAATATTTGGGGATGCGGTGGAGATGCTCTAACGCTAGTATTGAATTGCGCGCCAGATCTGATTTATCCAAAACGCAGCCAAGCAATCTGATAACAAATTAGACCGAGGGTAGGGTTATCATATGTGTAATGCTATATCGGAGTTGTATTGCAGCTAGCTAGCTTGGTGTCCTTCGATCTTGAAGGACTCCCTCGACGACCACAGCGATCCACCGCAGCCAAGCACCAGTCATCGAGTCCGACGAACACCAGTCGCAATGCTGCCGGAAACATCCCCCCAGGGCAGCGTAGGCCTTCAAAGTACAATTGAACCGTCGTTGCTTGCGGTACTGTATGATGCGGCCTTTGACTGGCATAATGGGTGGAATGTGGATGTACTATAAATTGTTCACTATGAATTGTACACTATGAATTGTACACTATGAATTGTGTCCTACAGTACTGTTATTCATCACGAACCACTGTAGGGGTCTAAATTAGCTATCGCCACGGGCCGCAAAGTGGCCTTGGACAAGAAAAATGTCGCCCAGTCCAAACGATGCCGTTCAAGGTCATTCCTCGTTTTGCTGTTTCCCACCACAATGGTTCGCATTGCTCTCTTCGCTGCCCTCTCGGCCTCCGCCGCCGCCACCGTGTCCGTTCGCACCCTTCGTGAGTTGGAAACCTCCAGCACTGTCGACGTCCTCGTCCACTTCGACGGCGAAAGCGGCCTCTCCAAGCTCGATACTGA